TCTTTTTGAGCATGAGCCATTAGTCATGCATCGAGCACGCGAATTAAGTTGAGGACCACAGGGTGTGTGAATCATGTTGCGGGTAACTGTGGCATATGCCTGTGGATAACGGTGTGGATCCGGGATTTCAGCCGAGACAATATCATCGACGTCTCCAACGGTGCGGTTTTTCGAATCTTCATGCAATATCAAAATAATGTGTGCATGGGGAAGGCCGCGTTTCTGGAATTCAACAACTTGAACCCACGCAAGAACATTTCCGAGAACATGTCGATCTTTGAGATCTGCCATAATGACTTTAAGCTTTTCTGAAAAAACACGGGCAACCAAATCAGGGCGATCAGATGGCTGCTGACCGTTAGGAGCCAGAGCTTCCCTGATTTCAGGCCACTCAGGATTACATGTTACGGTGATGAAAAGGTCCGGTTTTCCGAAATGGCGGACGATCGCCATTGCATCCTGATAAAGTTGTTGCATATACCTTTTTTTCATGAAAATATTGAATAAGCAATCTGCGATGTTTACTGACTTCACACTCAATCGCTCTAGACCCTACATAAACCCCTACTGAACTTATGTTGTTTGATACTAATAACCTACCGTGGACTGCCAGTGTGAGAAGAAGGAAGAATAACACGGCGTCCCAAGTTCTGGGCTAGTTCGGTGTTATCATCTCCCACATCTTGCTGAAGTGCATCGGCCATTCCGTTGTACAGCTCAACGCGCAATTGTCTCTGGTTGGTTCGATAATAGTACATACGTCGATGCTCAATCTTCGCATACATATCGACGATGAACTGATGCCAGAGCCGCTCGTATAAATGCAATAGAGATGCATCGCGTTCTTGGATTCGATGGGCATAAAATTGACGAACGGAAACAGTTCCTTGACGACCATGGCGTTGCTCGCCCGGCTCGGCTGGCACATGCTGACGACCACGAAGGGAGATTCCTTCACTCCATCCAGTCTCCCCGTTCGGAAACATTAAAACATAATGAAGAGGGTCGTATAGACTGTTCGTCTCATTTATGCTCTCCATTCTGCCATCATCACGGAACAAAACAACATCGCGGTATGCAGGTTCTTCGCCTGGATTGTCAACAATAAGAACAGCAATTTCATCAGCAGTAGGGGCTGCATATTGTCTACCACGGCGTTGATCCCCCGAGATACGAATATTCAGGTTTACAGCAGGCGTTTCACGTAGACGTTCAGCTGCTGTACGAAACGTTTGTGCATGGCGATTGTGTTGCTGAAGCATTGCATGCAGAGTAACCAACAAAGTGCGATCCAAGCTTGCTTCTGTAATGTTAGGATGAGATTAGAAACACGCTAAATACCCTAAATACTACAGTGTATATATTATCCACCACCCAACCTGGAAAAATTGATTGTCTGATAGCTGCTTGCTCTTGAGGATCGTATATGTAAATCTGAGCAAAGCGGGGAGGATGGCCATTTTGTGGCATAATTGGTGCGATTCTGTGGTACACAGAACCTTGGATTCGAAAACAGTAAGCACCTCCTCTGGAGTTCGTATACTGCTGGTCAATATGATCCACACCAAGAGAAGCAAAAGCAAAAGCACCGTTGTAAAGCCGGATTTGCTCGCGAAATCTCGATGATTCACCATTCGTTCCAATGAGCAATGAATAAAGAGGTTCAGGCGGACGCGAAGTTAGTGGTAGATCAACAGCCCCGTATCCACAACAAATGCTGTAAGAGTACGTGCCATCTTCATTTCTGCGACGTGCTTCCCAAGGCCACACGCGGGCACCGCAAGAGTAGCATCGAGCACTCATTGCCGGCAAGACATGGCGATGGACATGGTCTGAAGTAGGATCAGCAACCACGTTTTCTCCGGCAGTCAAGTTTTCTTCAAACTGGCTTTGAAAGCCAAGAGGAATGCGATTACGTCTAGCAGGTCTTCCTGCACCACGACCACGGGAAGTACCGAGATCAATACGACCAACCAAACTTCCATCAGCGCGTACCTGAATACCAAGCAGTCAGTTTCAGTCGAATCCCAATTCTTAAATGTAGCAGCAGAAAAACTCACAGTGGCTTCGGAAGTAGTATTATTTTGTTGAAGATTTTGGCTCATTTGGAAGTACAATCAATGGAACGACTATATATACAAAGAAGTTTTTTGTCTGCAGAAACGCGTAGCAACAGGAGCTCGTAGCAAGCAAAAGAGAAAAAAAGAAGCGGATGTTGAAAAACCAAGGCTGAATCCATATAAGGAAGGTAATTTTTGTGGATTGTCTATTATATTATAGATAGATTGATACAACTCTTACATCAATCTCATACTCTATCAATTATGCTGCACATCTATTTCCAATTGTATTTTTTTTAAACTATTACCAACAAATCATCTACTGTTTACAAAAATTCAAATTGTCTACAAAATTGAATTTTATTTTTAAATAAAAACAAAATCATCCAAAGATTTAAATTATTTATAAAATTGAATTTTATTTTTAAATAAAAATAAAATCATCCAAAGGTTTAATAATGGTTGCAATTAATGATTATCTTCCACTCAATCACATTCAACTTCAACAGAATTTACGTAAAGAAATAAACATCTTTATGGAATCTGAATTTGATCATTTTTTAGAAAATGAAAAAAAATTAATAAAAAAAATACAAAAAAAAATTGATAAGAAAATAAAAGATACATTTTCATCAGACTATTTCTTATATTTGAGTATGAATAATGATTTTTGTACTCATAAATTTAAACGGGGAAAACGAGAAGGTCAATTCTTTTCCCGTAAAATTAGAACAAATATACCAGAAGGTACTAAAAAAGATTATCTTTGTTGCAAACATAGTAAAGTTCATATTCGTAAAAAACAAAAACAGTTAGCATTTAACAGTAACAACGATATAGAATTAAAAAATATATCTATAAAAAATGAAGAAAAAAATTTAAATATACAGTATGCAGATAATTTTTATAATGAAAAAGAAAAAAAAAAGAAAACCTATAAAAATTACAATAGGAAATCCCTTTTTCTTATGCTTCAATAACATTCTTCCATAAAAGATTATATATATTATTTATAATATGCCTAGATTATGCTCTTCAATATATGCTTTTAATAAATCTTTTTGGTTAAACATATCAATAGATAACCAACTATTATCATCATTACTATATCCAACCCATTTTACCTGAAACAAATATGCATTATTTTCTTTTTTATGACCAATAATACTTTCTATTTCATATGATGCAGTTGACCGCTGTTTACATTTTATATTTTTTCGTCTTTTTCTAGTACGTTCATTAAAATTAGGAACATCATTATCACTTTCACTATTTTCTGAACTATTAGATTCAGTATCATCTACTGCCATTCTATTATCTGATATAGTCATATTTAATAAATTATTTTGTAGCTGCATCATTCAATCAAATTTATCTTTATTTTGTTTATTGTTACTAACAACTATATCAATTAACTTTTTCTCAATAGGAAAATCAAAGTTATTACTATGCCATAATTTATGATGGGGTAAAATGGGAATATTAAATAGCTCAACAAATTTATTTATATTTTTTAATAAACAAGCTACCCGAAATTGAAGATTATAAAACTTAACATTATCCATTTTCACAACAGATTTATTATTATTAAATCTATAAAATTTATTACCAATTTCCGAAAACTGATTTTCTATTTTACTTCTAAAACTTCCAAATGTATTATTAAAATGCTCATCAGTTATTGTTAGATTTTCATTTATGTTTTTACGAATTGGATAAACAAAGTTATCATTATTAAATTCATAACCTTTTTCATTAGCAAGTTCAGTAAATTGCGTTATAAACAGAGTATATCCACCATCAACTGCTAAAGTATCATTTTGATTCATTTTATTATAAAGTTTCATATTCAAAAACATACTACCATCTGAACTATCTGCACAGAATTCACTTTTGGATATAAAAAGTATCATATCATTAATATCAGCTACAAATTGAGTACGTAAACCATTCTTTTTAAATTTATATGAATATAAACGTGATCTATCTAAGTCAGTGTCTGTATAGTTTATTCGTGAATCATGACCATCTAAAATAAGAGTTACATGTTTAAATAACTCTGGATTATATTTTCTAGCAGATAAAATACGTAATTTTATACTTGAAAACATATTTGTTAATGAATCATTTACTATTTTATTTATTCGTTTATAATTTTCATCATCCATCCAAAACTTTTTATAAAATGTATGGAATGTACTTCGAGGTAAATACTTTTCAATATCTTCTCCCGAAATTCCAGAAACTAGATGATATAATAAAAATAAACCTTTTTCGATCTCAAAATAAGGTGCTGGGTATTCCTTATTTGTATATAGAATCATTAAAAAGAAAAACACAGCAGTATAACCTAATTTTCTTAATAATACATCTTTAATTTTTTCAATAAATTTAATATGTTTAATTTCTGTTCTATGTTTAAATCTATTATGTATAATTGGCCAATTTAATTCAAGAAATGTCCAATAATTGGTAATAATAATGTTTACTTCATCTGTAATAAGTGGTGTATAGTCCATTGTACTGTCCATTTTATTTATTATGTAAAATTCAATTTAGATATAAAAAAACAGTTATTTTTATTTAAAACAATTATATCTTTGTAAACATTGTGTCGTTGCACATCCCACTATATAGGATCAAAAATTGTTTATATCGTTCATCTACTTCTGAGAGTGAACTTGACTGTGTGGAAGATTGTTACAGTATCTTGAAGATCATCTTTCGCGGCAAAAAGTACCATTTCCGTCTGTAGGTATCAACAATTTTGAAATTGCATATTGCCTTGCAAGGATCATTTGCTGATCATTGTCAAATTATATCATGCAGGGGAGAACAAGCATGTATCGAGAGCAAGGCCGTTAGAGAAACAATGAACTGAATTATTCCATTGGAGGGGTCATCAGTACAACGCATAATGTCATAGGCAGAAAAGTAGACATGCTGGTGTTGGCACATGGACAAAACATATCAAGCTGTGAGTGGAAGGCGGATGATGCCACTCCTGCCTCCATCCGTAAACAAGAATGTAAAAATATCCATACCAATGCTTGTATCTTGAACCAGTTGACCACAATGCCTTTTGATGAAGATGATTATGACGCCACAACACTTAGTATAATGTATATGGACTGGGTGGGTAAGTATCAAAAAAGTTGCATGAGAATGATATCCGTAAGGTTGGTATAAGGTTGACCCGAAAATACCTTGTTATAGGCCGTGACGGTGTACTAAAAGCAATCATCAAGAAGGACGATATTCAAGTTGTGACCAAGATTGACAGCTTATACATTCCTTGCTCGATCCATGAAATCAACTCAAAATTCAAAAAGTCCATTCAGCTACTATATACTTGGAAGGTAATTATATATATAGATATATCAAGTATTCAGGTCGATGGGATATATTAATGCCACCTTTTTTTGAAATACAGAACAATCTAGAGCACATCGTTAGTCTCCTTCCACACGCCCAATCCGAAGCAGAACGAAGAAAAAAAGAAGCCAAGGTCTATTTGTTCGATCTCAGAGAAGAACAACCCCCTTTCATTTTTTTCACACCAAAAAATAATCGTACCCGAGCTGTCTTCGATCTCGACAATAGCGACGGCGAACATGGAGAAAATGACGACGACGACGACGACGACGACTTATAATTACACTGCAAATAGCCTTAGTCACCATCATCATGCAAATTACCATACCATGTTTTTTATCATTTATCCTTATAACCCCTTATAACTGTATATGAACGTAAGTCTGGGACGGGTTTATTTGGGTTGAAAAAGAAAAGGTCATTGTACGATGCTCATCCTGATTTGATATGTAATACCACAGCCAATTCTTTCATCGAGTCGCCATCAGCATCACTACCACTAGTCAAAAAGCGTGCTCGAGAGAATAAAAGTGATAAAACTGAACAACCAAACACAGGTAATGCTAGACAATAAATGACTCCTGATTATTGAAACATTCATGTAAGATCGATGCGTACTAACATGAGCATCCCCTTTGTGGCTGGCACTAGAGTCGCCGCCGGAGCAGTCATCGCCAAAACTTTCAAAAACAAAGAATCTATAGCCGCTCGAAGGTCACTCGACATTTGTAAATAGTTCGTCAAACAAACAGAAGATACGCATAGCTACCTCGACAACGCGAAACGATTCGAAACTGATATGCACATGAGCACTATTACAATGAGACATGTGACATTCACCATCATTTTTTAAACAAGTACACTTTTTATTAAGTAACAAAAGCCAACAGTATGATATGTACCATCTTTTTATCATTGCTGTAAAATTATACTATGTACTGTGTATTTCATATATACAAAGGATCAATTGGTTTTTTACGTAGTGACAAATAAATTAATCACAATCTGTCATATTGGATCTGAAGAAGGATGTAGAAAAGAAGATTGGATTGGGAGAGAAGATGTCCATACAAATGAACCACAAGAAATATCTATTGAGTAATACAGTGAACCCCCATTAATGTCAACCCCTTGAGGTCAACGTTTTTCTCGTTTTAGCAGAGAAAAATGTCAACTTCTACTGTATGTTGAAGTCAAACATATCCAATCAAAGGAGAAAATATTTGGTCAGGGGTGACTGCGTAGCGTGTCAGGACGTGTAGGTTCAATATCTTTATTATCCGGTTAAACTTTGTACCTAATTAGTCCATCCTCGCCAAACGTCAATTCCGTCAGTGTAAACACTTTCCGCTGAATTTGACAGTGGACACTAACGGGGTCCACTGTAAAAATCCAGCAAGGGAAGTGCTACAGGTACGCGTACGACTTTTCTGAGCGGGTTTTCAAACATGGAAACCTCATATAGCCAATCCGATTGCCGTCTCACAAGTAGGAGTTTCTTCTAAAGGAACTGAACAGCATATGCGTACGAATTTTTGTCTACCCATCAGTCTCCCCTTCTTTTTATTTGGATGGCCTTGTCAAAATAACTAGCTATAAGAGCATCCCCATCGGTTGTTTCCAAATTCTATCCTAGATTTGGAGTCAGTGTTGTATCCAACATGATCAATAACACATATTCCTTCATCTGTCATTAACGATTGCTGTTATCACCCTCATAACCTCACTTGTGCGGACATTTCCTTATTCATACACATCTTGGTGAAACACCTATTAGCTATGCTCAGGAAAAAGTTGTCATTAGTTGGATCACGTAACTCACATTAGCTACTATCTGAGGCATTTACTCAAGTGTCCTTTTACTCAGGCATCATACATTACTTATTCCTATAAGATTGATTCATAACATCAATTCATCCGTTCAATGAACACGCTGTGGTGGTTGCCAAGGATAAGCCATTTCTCATAAATAGTGAGAACTTCTGTTATCATAATAAACCAGTTTCAATTCCTTTCGGGTCTCGTTGACTTATTCTGTCTCTTTTGGTTTATGGAATATTACAGTCAGTTATCATGAGGGGGGACCATAGAATTCGTATATTTTCCCAGCGGTTCCAAAATAAAACTTTACTGTAAAACTTTTTTTGACTCTCCCACTTGTATTTTTTATTTTCTTCTCTAAAGTCACATGGAGAAGCAACTAAAGAGAATGCTCGAAGAAGATGCCAAACGACGCACTCGCCAACGTTTATTGACGCGTCTCATTGAAGTGATCGAACAAGATTTCGAAAACGAAAAGAAACCAAAAGGTAGAGGAGGTTCTGTCCCTGGTCGCAGAACTATCAACTGTAATCGCGTCGGAGGTCATGATAGACTTTATACTGACTACTTCTCACACAACCCAGAAGCAGAAATTCCCAAGCGTGAAACCCCCTAGTGTATCCTTCAGGTATCCTACAAGCAAGATTTGCAGTGATCCAACTTCCAGCAAAGCTTTGGGATCTCAACAAGCTGGCCAATATTATGAAGGCATGTATTATCATGCATAATATGATAACGAAAGTGGCCGCAAAGACCCGGATGAAGATGAAGAGCACGAGGAAGTGAGATGTGAAGGGCCTGTACCATCATTAGTAGTTGAGAGGAATCCTAATACGATGAGGGAATTTTTTCAACACTACAGTGAGATCAGAGATGAAACTGTTCACCTGCTAAATGGAAAGTTAAATTAAAGGATGATAAAGATTATGTAAATTGGAGATGTGGTAGACATGCTAGAGATTTGGATAAAATTCCATTACATAATAAAAAAATTTAAAAAATAACAATCTTAAAAACAACCATCAATTGAAAAATGATCTCATTGAACATTTATGGGCTCATCATGGCAACAGTGCTTAAAAAGTCTATTTCTTAATAAAAAACATTATGAACAAAACTGTACTTTGACTTTAAGCAAATGAGTTTTTTTGTACAAACATTTATCAATGAATAGCTTCTGCTTCTGTTTCGATATCAGATCCATCTTGTCCCTCTTGAGGAACACAAGCATGGGCTTCAGCTTTTTCCAGTCTCTCAAGTGCCTGTCTCTTGCGTTTCATAAAATAGGGACGAGGGAGCTCATCCATGCCTTCCAAATTCATACTCAACAAGTGGTTGTCGGCAAGCCCTCGTTCCATGTCGACTCGACATTGCTCCCGTTGGATAGCCAAGGCTTCGGCGTAGCTTTCTTGGCGTTTACGCTTATAAAAAGCCTCTTCTTGCTCTCGCTTCTTTGGCTTGCTTGCGACCAATTGGACGAGCTTGACCTCCTTCGGCAGGGACACTGTTGCCAGTTGACTTCTCTATGTAACGGACCAAAAACTTTGGCTGATTATGAAGGAGCTTGTAACAATGGTCAAGAGTGAGCCTTCTTTGTTGGTGGCAATGTTTGCCTGAATAACTCTTTTCAATAATAAATTCTTTTGGGTACAAAGACAAAAACTACACGGTCAAAAAAACAACGGTACAACGTCTTCAAGGCCATGCATGTGGTTGATACTATATAAATAAAATGATATTAAAATTAAAAAAGTTGACCAATCTAGTACAAGGATACCAAGGCAAAGTCGACTAGAGCAGTTGATCTTGAACCCTTTTGGAATGACGTGGTTGGAGATTATGGTGTGGTGGGAATAAATGCCTTGTGACCCAAACATTCTTCTATAAACCTGTACTCTATACGTAATAGTTAGTAACCATTAAAAAGTTTGCTGAATTTGATTGAACAAAACAAAAAAAAATTGGACTTATCTTTATCATAGTCCCCCACAGGATTTACTACACATTTTGCGCATTACACCAAGGGGCTCCTTTGCAAAAGAAACCACGGTCAAAATGTAATACTTCCCACTCCGTACAGTAAGATGTGACAATGAAGTCCCACCCGACAACGGAAGTTCTCACTTGGAAACCATTTCTGATTTCCTATGCAGGGCGTATATGTCGTAGTAAATCCCGTAGACACGTTTGCACATTACACCGAGGGGCTCTTTAACAAAAGAAACCACGGTCAAATGTAATACTTCCCACTCCGTACAGTAAGATGTGACAATGAAGTCCCACCCGACAACGGAAGTTCTCACTTGGAAACCGTTTCTGATTTCCTATGCAGGGCAGGATTCATTGCTGTAGAACCAAAGAGGTTGCATATTTCGGTTGGGATGGTTAGTAAGAATATTGAATGCTGTGACTGCTAATGCGGAATCAAAATTATCTTGGATGGACAATCGTTGCGAGACGATGGTGACGAAAAGTGCTGCTACGCACGGAAAGAAAAGATAATTCCTCCACCCGACACAACATCGGGCACGAAAAAGTGCTTCACCTTTAATAAAACAAGAAGTTTGAATACGGTTAAAAGTTTGGACTTTATAATACGTCTTAATTTGAACATAGCGTCCAGGGGAAGACATGCTTGTTCGAGACAGGTCAAAGAAGAATAGGGAGATGAAAACCCTGTGAGTGAGACAGCTAAAAGGTCATGGGGAAGTCGCTTGGGAGTATGTTGTTGGGTTAGGCGTAGACATGTAATAGAAAGAATAAGGCTGCTTACCCAGCTTGCTGCAGGTAGAGGATTGATCCAGTTGAGGGCCAGGGAGTTGATGGGCGTCGAGTTTTGCTAATATTATGCACACAACTAGCCATGCCGTTTGCAGCTGTTGGATGCGGCGGACTGGAGTTGGTTTCGATTGCGGGAGCTGATTGAGGAAAGAGGACAATGGGTCTGTGGTTTGGGGCGGTGCGGTGTGGAGGCGAGCGTGCATTCGAAGGCAGGCTATTGCACGCAGTATGTCTGATTCTAGGTCGAAAGAAATTCCTCGTAAGAATTTCTTGAGACCGTCAGAACAAAATATATAGGAGATGTGATTATGCTAGAATCTCATTTCGTAGCGTATATTAAGGCAATAAATCAAATTATTATAACATTAATCTTCATTTTCATTCAGTTATTACCAGCTTACTACTGTACATCTCTATTCTATCTATCACTTACATTCTCACTTTTAATGTTCCCACCCCCCCCTGGAAAAACAATTACACATGATGGAACACCAAATTGCTGCTCTTCAGGAACAACTCCAAGGTGCTACTACTATCTCTATGCAGTCAGTGGATGGCACTGCTACCCTTCTTTACACTCAATGGGTATACTCGACCCCATTACGACTGGTCTCTTTCTGAAGGGCTTACTGAATATGGATGCTCCATTACACACTTCGGCGCTACTCTCAGACTCGGAACGTAAAACCATCATCGAGTCCTACCCTCACATGGCCCATGTGGACTACAAGGCCCCGGCTACTATCCCAACAGCTGAACGTGCAATAAACAAAGGTCAGAGCTATGTGGACAACTCCTTGAAGCAGCTGCAATATCAATGGCAGCTGTTTACCGCCCTCAAGATATTTTCAGTCATGAATTCTTAACATCTGAAGCAGGCAGCCCTGATTTGGAATGCTATTGTACAATGCCTCGTTATATCCGCAAACTCTTATTGCGTGCCGGTGCCTTTATGACACATGCCTCGTACCAACATCGCTCTTCGTGCCATTAATCCTTTCTTTTCGTCAAAATCTGGTAACGAAGTCAATTACACCCTCCCTCTCAATGAGATCCAAAACACATTGATTCAACAAACCGTAGCACGCAAGGCTGCTCGAGAGTCGACTATCAATGAACGTCAACGTCATCGGGCTAACAATGACTACTCTCAATTTTCTGGTCCTTTCTCGAATCTTCCAGACCAGCAGTTTTTTTTTATCAGGACACCCTCTCAACATGGTGGTTCCAGAGCAAGTTTATACAAATTGGACTCAAAATTCAATCAACTCATTCGTCGACACCACCATCGAACACGGCTACAAAAATCAATTTCACACACCACCACCAACGACAATAACGCCAACCCCATCTAGCCTTTTGGCCCGGAACAGACTCCATTGATAAATCAAGCAAACCAAGATTTACTGTCCAAGCAAGCAATCGAACCCGTCTCCGGCACGGAAGTTCGTCAAACACCAGGCTTTTACAGCTCAATGTTTGTCATCCCAAGAAAAATGGCGGCGTTTGACCAGTCTTCAACCTCAAACATCTGAATCAATATCTGGATGCCTCTCATTTCAAGATGGAGACCAATCGGGAAGTGGCTCTAATGATCAACCCAACGATTATCTAATCTTAATCGACTTGTCCGACCCATGGTCTTCACCCAACTTCGAGAAGGTTCCTTACGCCTGCCTAATTTGGAAAGGCCACGCTTACCAGTATTGTACGACCGCCTTTGGCTTGTCCACAGGTCCCTTTGTCTTCACCAAAGTTTGCAGGCCTATATCAGAACACTTGCGCTCTCTAGGAATTGGGATCTCAATATACTTGGACGATTGGCTTCTATGACCGAGTGCAAGCAATTGCGATGGAACAGCCTTATCAGGTTGTCTCCCTCTTACAACATCTCGGTTGGGTAGTCAATCATACGAGTTCAGTTCTAACCCCAACTCAACAATTGGAACATCTCGGGTTCTGTACTGTATAGAACACCCGCTCAATGACAGCTCTACTAGCGCCAGCCAAGCCTCGGGATATTCGTCAATCGATCAAGCAAGTACTGGACAAACGACATCGTCAATCCCCCAGGATCATTCACAGCTTAACGATGATTATTCAGTCGACGACTTTTGCTATACTACAAGAAACAGTAAGTCAGATGCGGATTGAGATCTTCCTCGCCCTCTCGATCAAGCGAGTCTGTAGGAACTTCAATGGTGGTACATACACGAACATCAGCAAATGGAACGGACGCTCACTTCTCCCTTCGACATCCTCACAAACAATATTTGTCGATGCCAGCAATACCGGGTGGAGTTGCAGTTGGAACCATCTTCGAGCTCATGGTTATTGGACAGAGGAGGAAGCTGCCCAATTCATCAATTGGCGGGAGCTTAAGGCAGCTCATCTAGCTTTAAAAGCTTTCCATCTACCGGAGAACTCGACGGTGATGAGGATAGACAATACGACCAGCATGGCCTACACCAACAAGCAAGGTGGAACTCGCTCCCTCCCTCTCTTGAAATTGGCATCCGAAGTGTGGACGCGGTGACTGGAGAACAAGATCATGATTCAAGCCCAACATATCCAAGGAGTATAGCCGATTTCGAGTCTCGTCGACAGTATTTCAAAAATCAATGGAAAATAGCCGTAGATAATCCAAACAAATTTACCAGACTTGGGGCCCTTTTACGATCGGTCTCTTTGCAGGCAGGACGACCAAATTATTGCAAAAGTACGTCTCCTGGATACTGGATCCAGATGCTCTCCACACGGATGCGTTCTCCGTCCCGTGGAAGAGTTTCCATCATCCTTTCGTAAATCCACCCTGGAATCTCATATCTCGAGTCATCAACAAGATTCTTCAAGAGCAACTTCCTCTGGTCACGCTGGTGGTCCCGTACTGGCCGAGCGCCATCTGGTTTCAGAGAGACCATCAAATGACTCTATGCCCTCCTTGGATACTGTCCCCACATTCCGTCCAGACGACCTCCCCATGGACGCCACACCCGTTACTACCGTAGAATTGGATGCTTTCCGTCTGACAATTGTCCGGCAAAACTTGGTAACCAAGAATCTCAATGCACAAGTGGTTGAGGATCTCTTAATTAAAAGGTTGCCCAACAACAACACCAATATGATAGGCTCTATCGTAAATAGCAACTTCGGTTCTTGGCTTAGGCTAATCGCAAGCAAGTCTCCCATACACCTTTCACGTCTGCCAATCTGATGCACTTCTTGGCGGATATGCGACAAGAACACAATCTACAGGCTTCAACCCTCAAGACGATGCGCGCAGCGGTAACCCATTTACACACTGATGGTAAACGTCTTGGCGAAGACAACATCATCACCTCGTGTCTGTTGCTCAGATAGACTCCTCCCGTCTCCATTCACCGACCTCAAATCGATGTGGCTCCTGCTTTGGAACGTGCCCGTTCAATTCCATCAAGATCGTCTTCCTCTATCAAGTCATTATAACAAAAGTTCGTTTTTCTCTTGGCTATGGCAGCATTCCTTTATCCCTCTGATTTGGCCCGCACCCCTTCTCCTCTTGCTCTCAAATGACGACGAATTTCATGATGCTGTCGAGTCTTTTCTTTCTCTGGATTAGAATAATAACATCTCCTATTTTGTTCTGACGGTCTCAAGAAATTCTTACGAGGAATTTCTTTCGACCTAGAATCAGACACACTGCATGCAATAGCCTGCCTTCGAATGCACGCTCGCCTCCACACCGCACCGCCCCAAACCACAGACCCATTGTCCTCTTTCCTCAATCAGCTCCCGCAATCGAAACCAACTCCAGTCCGCCGCATCCAACAGCTGCAAACGGCATGGCTAGTTGTGTGCATAATATTAGCAAAACTCGACGCCCATCAACTCCCTGGCCCTCAACTGGATCAATCCTCTACCTGCAGCAAGCTAGGTAAGCAGCCTTATTCTTTCTATTACATGTCTACGCTTAACCCAACAACATACTCCCAAGCGACTTCCCCATGACCTTTTAGCTGTCTCACTCACAGGGTTTTCATCTCCCTATTCTTCTTTGACCTGTCTCGAACAAGCATGTCTTCCCCTGGCCGCTATGTTCAAATTAAGACGTAATATAAAGTCCAAACTTCAAAACGGAATTATAATTATAGTCATGCAAATATGATATCATATACATAATAAAAGCAATAGCAACATTTTTTCTGATTTCATTTTATTTTTCTGTTCATCATATTACAATAAAGTCATCGATGTAATTTTTACTAGCTTTCCGAATGTAGTCGCAAACACGTATGTCACTGCGACCCCTTCCCATCACAACCCCTTGTATTTGCGTATTCCACAATAAAGTATCAAACGCATGGAAAAAGGATTTGTGCGATTACAGTACTAAAAGCACCACAGGCTAAGAAACGTAGTATAGAACGCCTCCCGAGGACGCCGCGGACGAATATTCTTGGACACAACAACAGTTATCGCATAAAGATGATGTTGATGGTTTTAAAAAGTAAACCGATTACATGGATGTTTGTTTTATCATATTCGAAAATAATCAGCACTATCATCATATCTTACCTTTTATATCTTTTTATCGGCATCATCTAATAATCTATTTTATGAGGAAACCCAATTGTCTTGTTTCCCCTACAAGATGTTTCTGGAACATTTGCAGACTCGATAAAATTCGCCGACGAGGTTTAAGATTTAAACGGGTCAGGAAATCTTGCATATTTGACACACTTCTTCGCAGCCCCAACTTTTCCGCAGCCCCAACAGTTTACTTTAACTTCATCCTAAAAATGACACAGGCCTCTGCACAAAATAATCCCAGGCAAAAGAAAAAAGAAGTGCCTAATGACGTTCAAGTTCTTGAGAGTTTAAAAGATGAATTAAGTGTCCATGGTAAGCTTTTTTTTATCGAATTGTGGGTAGTGATAGAACTTATATTCAAAGATTTATGTTATTTCACAATAGCGTTTTGGATCGAAACAGAATGGCAAAAGTGGTCTATCCAAAGTTTCGACGCTGCTGCAGTCAAATTGAATCCTGGTATTACAAAAGCGAACGCCCACCTTGACCTCACGTACGACATCAACATAATTTTGAAAGCTTTGAAAGACAAGGCAAGCCGCCGCTGCTTACGACTAAAACAAATGAAAAACGATCTGAAAAGTAAGTCGTGTAGTCCATCTTTATGTTTCAAAACAAACGCTGACTTGCTTTTTTTCTCTATACTGTTAGCCATTGGCAAGGACAAAATCAATAATCACTTTTGGCGAGAACAAGTTGTCAGCGAGGCCTTGGTAGAAAGTGAAGAGAAAGCCATGAAGAGAAAGCGAGCTGTTGCTGAGGTTTGTATATGATCACCTTGCGGTTTTCGGTGTACCCAGCTATGGTTATTCACATTTGGTTGGATTTGTTGTTATGTAGGAATGTTTTGCAGTGGCTACCCTTGAAAAAATGACAAACCAAACACAAGAACTAGTGGGGGCTAAAAGATCTATTGAGCAAGTTGGTGAAAGTAGCTCAAGCACGCCCAAACGACAGGAAATGACTAGTCCACTCAAGGAGAGGTAGGAGAGATCTTTAATTATCAAGACGACAATAATTATACTGAACGTGGTGGACTGAATCCTTCTAAAATTGATGACGATGTACATGAAAGACATCAAGCAGATAACGGTGAAAATGATGAAGAAAAGGCGGATCAAGATTGCATTATGATGAAGATACGACAGCAACTTTTCCAAAAAGCATTCGATTTGGTAAGTTAAACCCTTAACTAATTTTTCTTTTTCGTGATCTACATCGTTAAGGATTCTTATTAACAACACAATTTGACTAAAGAAAGCGGAGACAAACATGGATCGTCTGAATGCTTTGTCTTTGTGTCTGTTGCAGAATTGGCCCCTTCAAGATGAAATATTAGAGCAGATACTTCGGTGAGTTTTTTTCTATATATATGCTATATCTACCCTAACACTGAAGCGTTTGGATATGCATGCTTTTTACGAATAGTATCTCTTTATGCGGAATCGTTGACAAGGCTCACGATTGGGTGTCAACGTACATGAAACGTTGCTTCAAAGCAGATGATTGGGATAATCTGGATACACTACCACACCATATTCATGAATTCGACTCTAGCACCAATGCCATATTTGATCATACAATCAAGGTAAGTGTTGAGTTATGGATTTGGATGGATGTGATTGGATATTGGAGAAGGAGACAAATATCGACACCCCTATATCCTTTATAGATTTTGAAAGGAAAAGCCAAGACCGACGGTGTTGATGATCATGTCCACGAAACCCAACAAGCATTGATCTACCTTGCAGAACAAAAGGTGGTGGAAATCAGAAAAAAAACCGACTCACCTGTTCTACAAATAATCGACGTTTTGGAAGCATCGTAAGTCTCTTTTTTTATTATTTCTGACATAGATTGATACAACTCTTGCATCAATCTCATACTCTATCAATTATATAGGATCAAAAATGGTTTATATCGTTCATCTACTTCTGAGAGTGAACTTGACTGTATGGAAGATTGTTACAGTATCTTGAAGATCATCTTTCGCGGCAAAAAATAACAATATTAAAATCAACCATCAACTGAAAAAAGATCGCTTTGAACATTTATGGGCTCATCATGGCAACAGTGCTTAAAAAGTCTATTTCTTAATAAAAAACATTATGAACAAAACCGTACTTTGACTTTAAGCAAATGAGTTTTTTTGTATAAACATTTATTAAGGAACACAAGCATGGGCTTCAGCTTTTTCCAGTCTCTCAAGTGCCTGTCTCTTGCGTTTCATAAAATAGGGACGAGGGAGCTCATCCATGCCTTCCAAATTCATACTCAACAAGTGGTTGTCGGCAAGCCCTCGTTCCATGTCGATTCGACATTGCTCCCGTTGGATAGCCAAGGCTTCGGCGTAGCTTTCTTGGCGTTTATGCTTATAAGAAGCCTCTTCTTGCTCTCGCTTCTTTGGCTTGCTTGCGACCAATTGGACGAGCTTGACCTCCTTCGGCAGGGACACTGTTCCAGTTGACTTCTCTACGTAACGGACCAAAAACTTTGGCTGATTATGAAGGAGCTTGTAACAATGGTCAAGAGTGAGCCTTCTTTGTTGGCGGCAATGTTTGCCTGAATAACTCTTTTCAATAATAAATTCTTTTGGGTACAAAGACAAAAACTACACGGTCAAAAAAAACAACGATACAACGTCTTCAAGGCCATGCATGTGGTTGATACTATATAAATAATATGATATTAAAATTAAAAAAGTTGACCAATCTAGTACAAGGATACCAAGGCAAAGTCGACTAAAGCAGTTGATCTTGAACCCTTTTGGAATGACGTGGTTGGAGATTATGGTGTGGTGGGAATCAATGCCTTGCGACCCAAACATTCTTATATAAACCTGTACTCTATACGTATTAGTTAGTAACCATTAAAAAGTTTGCTGAATTTGATTGAACAAAACGAAAAAAAAATTGGACTTATCTTTATCATAGTCCCCCACAGGATTTACTACACATTTTGCGCATTACACCGAGGGGCTCCTTTGCAAAAGAAACCACGGTCAAAATGTAATACTTCCCACTCCGTACAGTAAGATGTGACAATGAAGTCCCACCCGACAACGGAAGTTCTCACTTGGAAACCATTTCTGATTTCCTATGCAGGGCGTATATGTCGTAGTAAATCCCGTAGACACGTTTGCGCATTACACCGAGGGGCTCTTTAACAAAAGAAACCACGGTCAAATGTAATACTTCCCACTCCGTACAATAAGATGTGACAATGAAGTCCCACCCGACAACGGAAGTTCTCACTTGGAAACCGTTTCTGATTTCCTATGCAGGGCAGGATTCATTGCTGTAGAACCAAAGAGGTTGCATATTTCGGTTGGGATGGTTAGTAAGAATATTGAATGCTGTGACTGCTAATGCGGAATCAAAATAATCTTGGATGGACAATCGTTGCGAGACGACGGTGACGAAAAGTGCTGCTACGCACGGAAAGAAAAGATAATTCCTCCACCCGACACAACATCGGGCACGAAAAAGTGCTTCACCTTTAATAAAAGAAGAAGTTTGAATACGGTTAAAAGTTTGGACTTTATAATACGTCTTAATTTGAACATAGCGTCCAGGGGAAGACATGCTTGTTCGAGACAGGTCAAAGAAGAATAGGGAGATGAAAACCCTGTGAGTGAGACAGCTAAAAGGTCATGGGGAAGTCGCTTGGGAGTATGTTGTTGGGTTAAGCGTAGACATGTAATAGAAAGAATAAGGCTGCTTACCTAGCTTGCTGCAGGTAGAGGATTGATCCAGTTGAGGGCCAGGGAGTTGATGGGCGTCGAGTTTTGCTAATATTATGCACACAACTAGCCATGCCGTTTGCAGCTGTTGGATGCGGCGGACTGGAGTTGGTTTCGATTGCGGGAGCTGATTGAGGAAAGAGGACAATGGGTCTGTGGTTTGGGGCGGTGCGGTGTGGAGGCGAGCGTGCATTCGAAGGCAGGCTATTGCATGCAGTGTGTCTGATTCTAGGTCGAAAGAAATTCCTCGTAAGAATTTCTTGAGACCGTCAGAACAAAATAGGAGATGTTATTATTCTAATCCAGAGAAAGAAAAGACTCGACAGCATCATGAAATTCGTCGTCATTTGAGAGCAAGAGGAGAAGGGGTGCGGGCCAAATCAGAGGGATAAAGGAATGCTGCCATAGCCAAGAGAAAAACGAACTTTTGTTATAATGACTTGATAGAGGAAGACGATCTTGATGGAATTGAACGGGCACGTTCCAAAGCAGGAGCCACATCGATTTGAGGTCGGTGAATGGAGACGGGAGGAGTCTATCTGAGCAACAGACACGAGGTGATGATGTTGTCTTCGCCAAGACGTTTACCATCAGTGTGTAAATGGGTTACCGCTGCGCGCATCGTCTTGAGGGTTGAAGCCTGTAGATTGTGTTCTTGTCGCATATCCGCCAAGAAGTGCATCAGATTGGCAGACGTGAAAGGTGTATGGGAGACTTGCTTGCGATTAGCCTAAGCCAAGAACCGAAGTTGCTATTTACGATAGAGCCTATCATATTGGTGTTGTTGTTGGGCAACCTTTTAATTAAGAGATCCTCAACCACTTGTGCATTGAGATTCTTGGTTACCAAGTTTTGCCGGACAATTGTCAGACGGAAAGCATCCAATTCTACGGTAGTAACGGGTGTGGCGTCCATGGGGAGGTCGTCTGGACGGAATGTGGGGACAGTATCCAAGGAGGGCATAGAGTCATTTGATGGTCTCTCTGAAACCAGATGGCGCTCGGCCAGTACGGGACCACCAGCGTGACCAGAGGAAGTTGCTCTTGAAGAATCTTGTTGATGACTCGAGATATGAGATTCCAGGGTGGATTTACGAAAGGATGATGGAAACTCTTCCACGGGACGGAGAACGCATCCGTGTGGAGAGCATCTGGATCCAGTATCCAGGAGACGTACTTTTGCAATAATTTGGTCGTCCTGCCTGCAAAGAGATCGATCGTAAAAGGGCCCCAAGTCTGGTAAATTTGTTTGGATTATCTACGGCTATTTTCCATTGATTTTTGAAATACTGTCGACGAGACTCGAAATCGGCTATACTCCTTGGATATGTTGGGCTTGAATCATGATCTTGTTCTCCAGTCACCGCGTCCACACTTCGGATGCCAATTTCAAGAGAGGGAGGGAGCGAGTTCCACCTTGCTTGTTGGTGTAGGCCATGCTGGTCGTATTGTCTATCCTCATCACCGTCGAGTTCTCCGGTAGATGGAAAGCTTTCAAAGCTAGATGAGCTGCCTTAAGCTCCCGCCAATTGATGAATTGGGCAGCTTCCTCCTCTGTCCAATAACCATGAGCTCGAAGATGGTTCCAACTGCAACTCCACCCGGTATTGCTGGCATCGACAAATATTGTTTGTGAGGATGTCGAAGGGAGAAGTGAGCGTCCGTTCCATTTGCTGATGTTCGTGTATGTACCACCATTGAAGTTCCTACAGACTCGCTTGATCGAGAGGGCGAGGAAGATCTCAATCCGCATCTGACTTACTGTTTCTTGTAGTATAGCAAAAGTCGTCGACTGAATAATCATCGTTAAGCTGTGAATGATCCTGGGGGATTGACGATGTCGTTTGTCCAGTACTTGCTTGATCGATTGACGAATATCCCGAGGCTTGGCTGGCGCTAGTAGAGCTGTCATTGAGCGGGTGTTCTATACAGTACAGAACCCGAGATGTTCCAATTGTTGAGTTGGGGTTAGAACTGAACTCGTATGATTGACTACCCAACCGAGATGTTGTAAGAGGGAGACAACCTGATAAGGCTGTTCCATCGCAATTGCTTGCACTCGGCCATAGAAGCCAATCGTCCAAGTATATTGAGATCCCAATTCCTAGAGAGCGCAAGTGTTCTGATATAGGCCTGCAAACTTTGGTGAAGACAAAGGGACCTGTGGACAAGCCAAAGGCGGTCGTACAATACTGGTAAGCGTGGCCTTTCCAAATTAGGCAGGCGTAAGGAACCTTCTCGAAGTTGGGTGAAGACCATGGGTTGGACAAGTCGATTAAGATTAGACAATCGGTGGGTTGATCATTAGAGCCACTTCCCGATTGGTCTCCATCTCTTGAAATGAGAGGCATCCAGATATTTTCGGGTAAGTTGATTCAGATGTTTGAGGTTGAAGACTGGTCAAACGCCGCCATTTTTCTTAGGATGACAAACATTGAGCTGTAAAAGCCTGGTGTTTGATGAACTTCCATGCCGGAGACGGGTTCGATTGCTTGCTTGGACAATAAATCTTGGTTCTATCAAAGGAGTCTGCTCCGGGCCAAAAGGCTAGATGGGGGTTGGCGTTATTGTCGTTGATGGTGGTGTGCGAAATTGATTTTTGTAGCCATGTTCGATGGTGGTGTCGACGAATGAGTTGATTGAATTTTGAGTCCATTTTCTATAAAACTTGCTGAGCCGACCTCCTACTGGGTCGGATGTTGTTGTTGTTGTTTCTGTTTCTGTTGCGGCTGCTGTTGCTGTAGTTGCTGTTGGTCCTGTTGTTGTTGAAACCACCATGTTGAGAGGGTGGGCCTGATCAAAAAAACTGCTGGTCTGGAAGATTCGAGAAAGGACCAGAAAATTGAGAGTAGTCATTGTTAGCCCGATGACGTTGACGTTCATTGATAGTCGACTCTCGAGCAGCCTTGCGTGCTACGGTTTGTTGAATCAATGTGTTTTGGATCTCATTGAGAGGGAGGGTGTAATTGACTTCGTTACCAGATTTTGACGAAAAGAAAGGATTAATGACACGAAGAGCGATGTTTGTACGAGGCATGTGTCATAAAGGCACCGGCATGCAATAAGAGTTTGCGGATATAACGAAAGCATTGTACAATAGCGTTCCAAATCAGGGCTGCCTGCTTCAGATGTTAAGAATTCATGACTGAAAATATCTTGAGGGCGGTAAACAACTGCCATTGATTTTGCAGCTGCTTCAAAGAGTTGTCCACATAGCTCTGACCTTTTGCACGTTCAGCTGTGGGGATAGTAGCGGGGGCCTTGTAGTCCACATGGGCCATGTGAGGGTAGGACTCGATGATGGTTTTACGTTCCGAGTCTGAGAGTAGCGCCGAAGTGCGTAATGGAGCATCCAATTCAGTAAGCCCTTCAGAAAGAGACCAGTCGTAATGGGGTCGAGTACTGTATACCCATTGAGTGTAAAGAAGGGTAGCAGTGCCATCCACTGACTGCATAGGGATAGTAGTAGCACCTTGGAGTTGTTCCTGAAGAGCAGCAATTTGGTGTTCCATCATGTGTAATTGTTCTTCCAATGGGGGTGGGAACATTAAAAGTGAGAATGTAAGTGATAGATAGAATAGAGATGTACAGTAGTAAGCTGGTAATAACTGAGTGAAAATGAAGATTAATGTTATAATAATTTGATTTATTGCCTTAATATACGCTACGAAATGAGATTCTAGCATAATCACATCTCCTATATATTTTGTTCTGACGGTCTCAAGAAATTCTTACGAGGAATTTCTTTCGACTAGAATTAGACACACTGCATGCAATAGCCTGCCTTCGAATGCACGCTCGCCTCCACACCGCACCGCCCCAAACCACAGACCCATTGTCCTCTTTCCTCAATCAGCTCCCGCAATCGAAACCAACTCCAGTCCGCCGCATTCAACAGCTGCAAACGGCATGGCTAGTTGTGTGCATAATATTAGCAGAACTCGACGCCCATCAACTCCCTGGCCCTCAACTGGATCAATCCTCTACCTGCAGCAAGCTAGGTAAGCAGCCTTATTCTTTCTATTACATGTCTACGCTTAACCCAACAACATACTCCCAAGCGACTTCCCCATGACCTTTTAGCTGTCTCACTCACAGGGTTTTCATCTCCCTATTCTTCTTTGACCTGTCTCGAACAAGCATGTCTTCCCCTGGACGCTATGTTCAAATTAAGACGTATTATAAAGTCCAAACTTTTAACCGTATTCAAACTTCTTCTTTTATTAAAGGTGAAGCACTTTTTCGTGCCCGATGTTGTGTCGGGTGGAGGAATTATCTTTTCTTTCCGTGCGTAGCAGCACTTTTCGTCACCGTCGTCTCGCAACGATTGTCCATCCAAGATTATTTTGATTCCGCATTAGCAGTCACAGCATTCAATATTCTTACTAACCATCCCAACCGAAATATGCAACCTCTTTGGTTCTACAGCAATGAATCCTGCCCTGCATAGGAAATCAGAAACGGTTTCCAAGTGAGAACTTCCGTTGTCGGGTGGGACTTCATTGTCACATCTTATTGTACGGAGTGGGAAGTATTACATTTGACCGTGGTTTCTTTTGTTAAAGAGCCCCTCGGTGTAATGCGCAAACGTGTCTACGGGATTTACTACGACATATACGCCCTGCATAGGAAATCAGAAATGGTTTCCAAGTGAGAACTTCCGTTGTCGGGTGGGACTTCATTGTCACATCTTACTGTACGGAGTGGGAAGTATTACATTTTGACCGTGGTTTCTTTTGCAAAGGAGCCCCTCGGTGTAATGCGCAAAATGTGTAGTAAATCCTGTGGGGGACTATGATAAAGATAAGTCCAATTTTTTTTTCGTTTTGTTCAATCAAATTCAGCAAACTTTTTAATGGTTACTAACTAATACGTATAGAGTACAGGTTTATATAAGAATGTTTGGGTCGCAAGGCATTGATTCCCACCACACCATAATCTCCAACCACGTCATTCCAAAAGGGTTCAAGATCAACTGCTTTAGTCGACTTTGCCTTGGTATCCTTGTACTAGATTGGTCAACTTTTTTAATTTTAATATCATATTATTTATATAGTATCAACCACATGCATGGCCTTGAAGACGTTGTATCGTTGTTTTTTTTGACCGTGTAGTTTTTGTCTTTGTACCCAAAAGAATTTATTATTGAAAAGAGTTATTCAGGCAAACATTGCCGCCAACAAAGAAGGCTCACTCTTGACCATTGTTACAAGCTCCTTCATAATCAGCCAAAGTTTTTGGTCCGTTACGTAGAGAAGTCAACTGGAACAGTGTCCCTGCCGAAGGAGGTCAAGCTCGTCCAATTGGTCGCAAGCAAGCCAAAGAAGCGAGAGCAAGAAGAGGCTTCTTATAAGCATAAACGCCAAGAAAGCTACGCCGAAGCCTTGGCTATCCAACGGGAGCAATGTCGAATCGACATGGAACGAGGGCTTGCCGACAACCACTTGTTGAGTATGAATTTGGAAGGCATGGATGAGCTCCCTCGTCCCTATTTTATGAAACGCAAGAGACAGGCACTTGAGAGACTGGAAAAAGCTGAAGCCCATGCTTGTGTTCCTTAATAAATGTTTATACAAAAAAACTCATTTGCTTAAAGTCAAAGTACGGTTTTGTTCATAATGTTTTTTATTAAGAAATAGACTTTTTAAGCACTGTTGCCATGATGAGCCCATAAATGTTCAATGAGATCATTTTTCAATTGATGGTTGTTTTTAATACTGTTATTTTTTAATTTTTTTAATATGTAATGGAATTTTATCCAAATCTCTTGCATGTCTACCACATCTCCAATTTACATAATCTTCATCATCCTTTAATTTGACTTCCATTTAGCAGGTGAACAGTTTCATCTCTGATCTCACTGTAGCGTTGAAAAAATTCCCTCATCGTATTAGGATTCCTCTCAACTACTAATGATGGTACAGGCCCTTTACATCTCACTTCCTCGTGCTCTTCATCTTCATCCGGGTCTTTGCGGCCACTTTCGTTATCATATTATACATGATAATACATGCCTTCATAATATTGGCCAGCTTGTTGAGATCCCAAAGCTTTACTGGAAGTCGGATCACTGCAAATCTTGCTTGTAGGATACCTGAAGGATACACTAGGGGGTTTCACGCTTGGGAATTTCTGCTTCTGGGTTGTGTGAGAAGTAGTCAGTATAAAGTCTATCATGACCTCCGACGCGATTACGGTTGATAGTTCTGCGACCAGGGACAGAACCTCCTCTACCTTTTGGTTTCTCTTCGTCTTCGAATTCTTGTTCGATCACTTCAATGAGACGCGTCAATAAACGTTGGCGAGTGCGTCGTTTGGCATCTTCTTCGAGCATTCTCTTTAATTGCTTCTCCATGTTACTTTAGAGAATAAAATAAAGAATAAGTGGGAGAGTCAAAAGGGATTTTTACAGTAAATTTTTTATTTTGGAACCGCTGGGAAAATATGTGAATTCTATGGTACCCCTATGATAATTGACTCCAAATTTAGAATAGGCCGATGGAGATGCTCTAACTGTGTATTACTGCTTAGCGCAAATAATTTGGAGTGTTGTTTATCCTAAAGCACAACCCCTGTTACGGACTAGCGTAAACTGAGAGTAATGTGTGCTGTTGCATATGCTTACTAATTATTGTTTGAATCGAAACACGCGCCGGCACAATTTTAAAGAACGTGGGTTTTTGAAACGTCTTTTCTCTTGTTTTTTTGCCCAAGTACATGTTGCGAAACCCTTTCTTCGCTAAAAATCTTTGTACATTTGCTATTCGTTCTTTCTCAACTATTACGGCAGGGGCAAACGCAGCGATCATGGTGAAAAACACGCAAGTCATCTTTTCCAGAATTCCAGACAGCTACATCCCGGAGGTTGGAAAGGACATGGCCATCAAAGAAACAGAGTTTGACCTCGACGCGCCACTTTCGAATGGACAATTCATCTTGAAGCAACTTTCTCTCTCTATCGACTCGTATATGCGCGGACGGATGCGCGATCCAAGCGTCAAATCGTATGTTGACGCGTTTGAAATCGGCAAACCCCTGAAATGTGGAACCATGAGTCTAGTTACCAAGTCCAACAACCCCAAATTTAAGGAGGGTGACCTTGTTCAATCTTCAGGCGGATTATTTGAGCAATACACCTTGGTCCAAGACGAAAAGCAGGCCGAAGAATACCAGGTCAAAAACGATCCAAGGGATACCGGACTTCCCCCGAGTTACTATTTGGGCTTATTGGGGATGCCAGGTATGACCGCTTATGTGGGGTAAGTGCTGCACCTATAATACAGAGAACGAGCGCCAAATGAAAGGAACGGTATATGTTTATCAGTTCTTCTCCTATTGCGTCTCCAATGCCTTAGTATGATGAAAATTGGACGCCCAAAGAAAGGCAAAACACTCTACGTCTCTGCTGCAGCAAGCTCCGTGGGTCAGCTTGCAGGTCAAATTGGCAAAGTATATGGCATGACCGTAGTAGGGTCGGCAGGAGCCGATGACAAAACGGTGTATCTCAAGGAAATCGGGTTTGACGAGGCGTTCAACTATAAAAATGACGATATCAGTACTAAACTTAAAGAAGTCTGTCCCAAAGGAATCGATATCTATTTTGATAATGTCGGTGGAAAGACTCTTGAAGCTGCGATTGCAAATTGCAATAATTATGGCCGGTAATTAATAGGTGGCGACGAAAATGAGTTGTAGCGGTGGGAGTTTTTTTTTTCGTGTGAACGTTTAGTTAATGATACTTTGTTTGTCTTTAGAATTGTGGCCTGTGGTATGATTTCTCAGTATGCCGAGCATCCAGAAACTGCACACAATCTCATGCAGATTATTGTGAAGCGATTACGCGTGGAGGGATTTATTGTCAGTGATGAAGCGGATATGAAGGAGCAGTTCCGAAAGGATGTGACACAATGGCTGCTGGATGGAAAAATCAACTACAAAGAAAGTGTCGCAGAAGGAATCGAAAAGGCACCAGAGGCATTGATCGATGTTTTGCAAGGAAAGAACCTCGGTAAACAAATCATCAAAGTCGCTGATGAGTGATTCTCCTCCGCGATGTACTCTAGTTTATTATGCCACCATGAAAAGCGTGTTGAATGAAAAAAAGAAACACGTTTCCATTTACTCCATTACTTTGCTGTGTGCGGCGCGTATGTCGTTGAGGCAATAAACTCCGTCAAAAATGTTTGACACGCTGCGCACGCGAGGCGCGCACTAAACATTCCCCTATTTTAAATTTGACACGAAGACAAAGCAGCTTCTCTACCTTAAATCCTAGAAACGAAATGCAGAACGGCAGCAACAAACGAGCATTGGAAGACGATAATGACAATGCAACTGGCAGTGCGCCCAAGAAGCCTGCCATTGTGCGACAAGCGTCCTTGCTGTCCATGTTTAAGAAAGCAGCGCCCGCAGCAACTGACAAGAAGAATGACACGGCGTCGACGACGACGACGACAGTTGATTCACTTGAAGTTTCAACAAAAGAAAAGCGGGCTACCAAGGACTTATTCACTGATCTTAGTGACGAACTGAAAACCTTGTTGGAACTCGAACTTGACACCTTGCACTACGATTGGGCCAAAGTGTTGAAGGCTGAGCTGACAAAACCTTACTTTACCACGGTACGTTTATCCCTTCTTGATTGAAACGAAAAGGAACCGAATAATACTCATGTATAGCATACCACAGTTGAAAAAGTTTCTGAAGGCTGAAGCAACTGCCAAAAAGACCATTTACCCTCCAGGTAAATGAATAAGGATAAATGAATAGGGATAGATACAACTTATGAAATTATTCTAGACTTACTTAAGCGAGTATGTATATTTCTCTTTCGCTAGGCCCGAAAATCTACAGCTGGACACATTTGACGCCTCCTTCGGAGGTAAAGGTCGTTATCATTGGTCAAGGTAGCGTTGATTGACTCTTTTTTTTAGAAAAGAAATATGGTCAGCATGAGAACAGCGAAAAGGTGATGTTGATTGGTCTCGTCTCTTTCCCAGATCCGTACCACGGTCCGAATCAGGCACATGGATTGTGCTTTTCAGTTGTAAAAGGAGTACGTACCCCACCATCCCTGGAGAATATCTATAAGGCGCTGCGAAATGACTTTCCCGATTTCACAGCACCAAAGCACGGGTAAAGAACAGAATATATGCCAACTAAAGACTAGTGACTACAGCAGTAATAACGCACAACTACCGCCTACTACCTAATGAAAGAATACTTTGGAAAGAAAGTAGTACTGAAATACAAAGCGAACTGCTACGTTGCTTATTGTAGATTTCTTGAAAAATGGGCACATCAGGGTGTGTTGCTACTAAACACATCCCTGACGGTCAGGGCAAAGGAGGCTGGCAGTCATGCTAACCGAGGCTGGGAGAAATTTACAGGTAAGCCATGTATCCTTTTGTTTCTACTTATTGGGAAGGAAGGTGAAAAGAGCGTGTACTTGAGCCAAATAGGATCTGACTGTTTCCATGTGTTTCTCTGTCTTTCTGACGTATATGCAAAATATACCATAGATGCTGTTATCAGACATATCAACGAAAAGAAAGAACACGTTGTCTTTATGCTTTGGGGCGCCCATGCTCAAAGTAAAGGAGCTAAAATCAACAAATCGGTAATAAGCTTTAACGAAGCAAGCAAGGAGTTAGGACGGGGAGATAAGAGAAAGGGATGAGACCAGAAGAAACTAAAACTAGATGCGTGCTGACCGTATCATACATGATCGAATCGTAGAAACATTTGGTGCTCAAATCCGTACATCCCTCTCCCCTCTCTGCTCACCGTAAGCCTGTTTTTTATACTTCAGCAGCATATATTATTGAGAACATGATCGTTTTTTATCTATTTATACGTTTTGCTAAATTACGCGTTATATGACATCTTCTCTATAGGAGGATTTCTCACCTGTGGCCACTTCAAACAAGCCAACGAATACCTGCAACAAAATGCCAGAGACCCAATAAACTGGAACTGTCTCGCTGATAATTAACGGCTGCTCACTGCTGCTGTTGTCATTATGATAATAGCCAAAGTGACCCAGTGCTTGTATTCCTGTCATAATCATTATCTGTAGTTTTCGTATTCGCTTATTTTTATCCGTTCCTGATGAATTTGTATATGTATATTCCAACATCCAAAACATTAAACCAAACAAGAAGCTCTTTCGATCCCGTCTAAATTAATCGGTTTTATTTCTATCTGCGATTTATAGTATCATGATGACCCTGTAGTATAACAGGAAGCATCTTCTTTTGTTGCTGTTACTTGTATGCATATGTTTATGTTGCTGTTCTGTTGTCAATATAAGTTATGTAACCTAACCTACTTCACCGATCATCATTCAAGCGTGAAAATAGTCTTCTGTCTCCTATAAAGATTAAGTAAAGGGACATAAAAAAAACGTCATTTTCTTATAAAGTCGACTGTTTCAATGCGGCTGCTACAACACTCAGGCATGTCATTTCAAGAAAACGCACAACTGTATCTCTTCTTTCTCTTCTTGATGTGTGGAGATCAGTGGGCTTCACTACAGTACATGCTGCAATTTTGTTATGTGCTCCATATAGGTGCCGAAGTTGTTCATTATAGCATACAAATAAGGTTACTATGTTCCCTATAGATGCTTAGTATAATAAAGGAACAAAAGGAAATCAAAACGTGACAGACCAAGTGATGTAGTAATAGTATCGATGTCCTGCCTTCGATTTCCTGGCCAAACTACATCATTTATTTCGCTGTGTGCTGATCTGGCCTCACTGTATAACCACGACAATATGGGACATGCAAAGAGCGTGATATCCATTCAGTAGCTATATGTTAGTTTAGACATCACACCACGATAAACAAGTGGCGTTCACAAAATCGGTCCACATCGCGTTTTAGCTGTCGCGTGCTGATATGTAAGCTAATTGTTCGTCATGATATGCACGAAACATGCATTTATGGATATACACTCTATACCCTCAATCGTGTTACATGGAATCCTGTCAATCATGCCCGCCTTTGAACTGGCTAATTCGTGATGGTCCATGTTAAAAAGGGGCTCCTTGATGTAACTAAACTATATATTTGTTTGTATTTACATAATATAATTTTTTAAAACATCCAACATTTCAAATGTTTTCAAATGCAAGTTCTCAAAATAGTTTTATGAAGCATACACACATCGTGTCAAATCGCCAAATTATAGCGCTCTAGGTATATTGTATATGTGGACAAGCTCTAATTTGAATAATATTATAAGAAAGTTTGAAAGGAAAAGAAACAGATCACTACTACCGTACATGCAGCAGTATAAAAAGAGCACGCACAGTGTACACCTCCTTCTCTTCTCTGCTCACTCTTGAGCAAAATTTGCGTTTACACCAAAGGGCCATTTGGTATTGCAGTCTCCTTACCACAAAAAAATTGGGATGAAGAAAAAAAAGAGTTCAAACGTCATTAGTATAACAGGTAAATAAGGCTGATGACGATAGTGACGGCCACAATCACGTATGCACACCACGCACACTTGCAGCACAACAGCAGCCAAGTGCTCATAGCAAGTAAACTTCAAAAGCGTTACAACAAAGGAGAATAAAACGGTGGTATCAATGGCGGAGGAACGAAAGTGTCATTGTTTCTCGCTGTGGTGCGCGTGAAATAGGAGTGAGGAGGGATGGAGAGAGAGAGAGAGTCAAGAGATGCGTCCGTATATCCAAGGGTGCATGGCACACAAGAGAGAAAGAGAGGGAATATGGGGGATCGGCAAGTGGAACAAGAGAACCTACATAAGCTATACGTCTCATGAAAAATACATCAAACATTGACATGCATTTTCTCTTCGCTCCTCGTCCTCTTTACCTCCCCGCCTCCCTCTTTTACTTTCCCGGATCCTAAGGATAAACCCGCATACGCACTACTAGTAGTACCAATACTATTACGTACTTGATAGCCCTATATCAAATGAAAAGATAAAATTTCGACCGGTTGCATGTGTGTATACGTTTTGTCTGTTTACTACTAGTCACTGCTTCCAAAGTTAATTTTCCCCTCAACCTCCCTTCCCGATAGTCCGTGAATCACATATACTAGGGGAGAAAGTAAGGTGCTGCTAATTCTGGTCTTTCTTGCCTTTCATCTCTTTAATGTAGTGTATTTTCCATGATGGCGTCGAAATTAAAAAAAAGTAGAATATTATATGAATTGTTACGCATGGTGCTGCTTTTTCTTGTCAGATACAACTTTTTCTTAAGGGCAAAGACGTCAAATGGACCCAATGCGGTACGCACTATATGTACAAGAGTTCAGAATAGTAGCAAGGCAGAAAAAAGGAGGCAAAATAATATCATACTGCCAGCTTATATGTGGCTGAATCAGGAGGGAAGGGAGTAGCAAGAGAGAAGCAGAAAATAAGGGGTTAAAGTATCAGTGGAATAGTCAAGGACAGGGAGCGATAATACTCCACCACACAGCATGGTGCACAAAAAACGATGATGGGCATTAAGCAGCATAGCAGCACCAGCAATAGTAGTAGCAGCAAATGGTTATGTGCGCCTATATTGGCTTCAGTGTTTTTTAGGGAGAGCAAAAGATATAAACAAGTACGTGTAAAATAGAAAACACAAAAGATTCTTATTTCTCTTTTGCATCGTTCTCAATTCAAAGATGGATCCAGGCACTCTTGACCCTATTCACAATTCCACTATCGCTGATGAGCTCGTTCAGGCCATGCAGCCCGACACGACCGAGCTGACTTCGCAATTGATCGCCTTGCTTTCTGTCACTGTTATGTGTGTTCTGTTCGGTGTGAAGACATACAACGTTGATTTCAAATACTTGACCTATTCACGATGGCTCGTTATCTGCCTGTACATCAACTCGTGGGGATTCACCTACAGTGCTATTTTGCTTGCTTCGACCAACAATGGTACTATTACAAAAACTTGAACCTCAGACGCAAATTATTTTGAAATTCATACTAAGAAAGGATGTGTGATCTAGGTAACAATATGTCATGTCTGCTTTCCGAGCTTACTTGCGATGTCTTTTACGCAGGAACAAAGCTCACAATTTACTTTTGGTAAAGACACTGCTACGACGATATGCGTTTTGAATTATAAAGTAACTTCTACGAATAACTCAACCCTGAAAATCAATTACATAGGCTGATCGAAAAGGTGTGGGTCGTGTCCGCCGTTCGTAAAGCAAGAATGAAAACATGGTCGTACAAGTTCCATCTTCTTTTGATGACTCCGTTTATCTTCACCTTCTCTCTCATGGTAATGATCGTCCGCTTCGCTCCCCCTCCAGAGAAGCAAGCTTTTCTTTATAACGGACATCAACGACTAACAAACCCTAACTTCTTTCGTGAACGCAATTAGCTTATCTTTCACATTGCCGAACTAAAAGACGACGGTACCTGTATGATTGGTTTGCAGCCAATTGCCAGTATTCCATTGCTGGTCTATGATTTCGTATGTATTTAACCAGCAGATAAAGCTTTCTTCAAAATAACGCGACTAACTCCATACTGTTCTAATTGTCATAATCAGATCTTCAACATGTATATGACGATCCTTTTCGTCAAGCCTCTTGTCCAATCAGGCAAGAGCATCTCCACCGACTGGAAATCAACCCGTCTTCACGACGTTGCACGACGGACACTTGTTGCCTCCGTCGTCTGCTTGCTCATTTCTTTTGCAAACATTCTTGTCTTGACCATCATGAACGGTCGTGAGCGTGGTGTTGTCTGCTTGACTTGCTGCACTATCGATGTGACAATTAACGTCGTTACCGTTCATTGGGTATGTTTGCTAACCTTAACTGTCAGCCTCAAGAAAGGAATGTTAATAACTGGATTGTCACATAATTTCATCGTACTCAGGTCACGAGCAATCCAGCAAGCAAGAAAGCTAAGGATCACATCAACAGCACTTCAAACCCTAATGATACCATGCAAGCCACCTTCTCTGTTGACCACAAGGAAAAGAACGGCTACGGTGTTGGCATGGAGCACAACCCTAGCAACGCGTTTGTCATGGTCACACCCAATGAGGATGATCACGGAAGCCAGTCAACTGCACCGGATTCGAGTCTGCACAAGTCGTTTTAGAAAATTCTAAAATTATACAAGAAAAAAAGCCGAAAAAAGCGTGGTACTGGTATAACGCTCTCTAACTTCTAACGTGTCCACAAACCTCCTCTATACTTTCCTATTGATCATTTCATGATATCCTACACCAACGTTCCTCCTTCACGGCTCACCCAAAATATCGTGTTTCATACTACCTTTACGCTATCTCTACATAATCTACAGCAATATAACAATAGTTTATTTTGTTTGCAGTAATTTATGCTATATCAACATAACCATCCCTACATACTGTATGAGTGGCGAAACAAACTCTATTTAAGTTATATATTTATACGTATATTAATAATAATTAAAAATTACATAAAACATCAAACTTTTTACAGATAGATCAAACTTATTTACACGTACGTATACTACTAGTTCAATTATGATTATGATGACAAGAACTACCGCTTTTGCCCTTGAGGCTGAAAGAAAAAGAGCCTCTTTCTCTTTACATCTTCAGGTGACCCTTTTCTATTATTGTTATTAGTTGACGATGATGGTGATCCTCGTTTGTTGCTGTTGTTGTTATTGTGATTAGAATTATTGCTGTGACTCCCACTTCGTTCTTGATTCTGCAGGTCAAGCGCAAAATGATAATCGGTGTGCTCTTCAATGTTAGTTCGGGGTATCTTCTTGAAGCACTTATCGCAGAACCAGTTATCTGTGTCACCGTCTGTGGTAGTATGATTGGCCTTTTCTTCTTGCAGGATCTTTTTGGAGTAAAAGCTCAAAAGTCCTGTTTTCTTTGGTGGTATCGAGGATGGTGATACTTGCTGTTGAGTAGATGTCACGGATGTCGTAGGCATCGTTATTGATTGTTCCTTGGGAGATTGAAGTCTTTGATGTTCCAAATGTTCCTGCTGCTCCCCTGAACTACTACCAACATCCGGTCGTCGATGTCGCTGCTGCTGTTCAAATAATTTAGCGATGCTATGATTGGTAGCTGACTGGTCCATAACTAAACCAGTTGCTTGTAAGGACATCCCTACGCAAGGGGTCGCATCTTCTATAGGGCCAAGTAGATCGATCGTTTTTTGAGTCAATTTATCTATCAGTTTTAAATTATATACAGAAAAGAGGAGTCACTTGCATTAGTCTCACCTTCCTTCCATAATCATGATGAAAAAAAAAATAAAGCATTTAGACAAGTTTTTTTTTTTTGCTATTCCCTTACCAGGACTTTTCATGCTATCTCGACTTAACATTGGACAAGATTTTGTTCTGTAAGCCGTATCCTGAGTAGTTCGTAAGGACAGCTAATGTTTATAGCGGATATTAAGTTCTTTGACTTACAAACATATTACGCACACAAATCTTTATCAAAGATCTCAAAGTGGACTTACTGATATAGTTCGGGGCCATTGTTGAAAATCTTCAAAGTTCGTCAATATCCGATTGTGCAGTTCAGCAGAAAGAATACCCATCCATCTGTACATATCCTCTGAGGTTCGAACCGGAGGCCGGTGAGATTTAGACGCCATAAGCGATTTAGGGGCTTTCGTCACATTAACTACCAAGATGAAAACATAGAATATTGCACATCCGCATACACAGACACGTATCATGCTAACAAAATTAAGCATACACAACAACAACCATTTTCGAGCCTACATCACCAAAAATATTCTTCTCTCCTCGAAATAATTACCCTCTTCTTCATCATCTCCGCGCACAACATTGTAAATCCACAAGCCTGTGGATTCACCAAACCGTTTCTGAAGATCTTCCAAGTCATATTTCCTATGAAACATGCCAGATTGTGTACAGGGAGGAGGATAGATACTTGTTACTCATGTAATACTGGTTGTGTTCAATAAGAAGAGTAACATGCCTTACCAAACATCACCGGCAGTTTCGATACCCAATTCGCTCTCAACTTCATTGCCCAACTTGCCGCCCAAATTTCTGATTTTGGTAAATGGAATCTCGCGCATAAATTCCATTGCTGCTGATTTCCGCAATACTGTTTGTTTGTTGGGCTTATTACGACTTGAGCACAGTTTTGCAACAACTTTGCAATGAGCAATACCTTTAAACATGCAGTAAAAGAGACAGTTGTAAAGTAGATTGAGTGAGCAACACGCGTAGTATTAATCACCTATGTCTTTTTGTTTCTCACAATACCATCGCCTCACTTACCAGCAGAACACGTATAGTGAAGCTCATCAAAGATTTCTTGCCGAATTTCCTTTGCGATTTTTGCACCTACAGCGAGTTGAAGATCCTGCCATGTTGTGGGACCTTCTCCACCCATAGCGACACCGAGTTCGTCCCAATTGATAGGCACATCACACACGTCATCGTCAATTTTATCCAATAAATGAGGTAGATATTCTTGCATGATACGTTCGTTTACTTTGGTCGTCATATCCATAAATCCTTCATCCGAACCGATTTTCTGAATCGTGTCGCAATATTTTCTGAAAATAGCAAAGATGCGTTTGGAAGCTTGCCGATAAGGATCTAGCGATACTTTGTGGGTTGATCGATTGGGATTTGGATAATAATGCGGTTCTTGGTCATCTGGACCGTACGTAGCAACATGGACGAACGTAATGTCTATGTATGCACATATGTGTAGAGTATTGTTTTAAAAGAAAAGCTCGCTTATACATGGTTTTCTTGTAGTTAAACACATACCAGGACAAGCCTTTTTTGCTTCAACGACATTTGCCATTCGCTGAACCCCAGCTTTTCGCGCAGCATAGTTCACTATTTCAAAGTTTAAGATAAAGTCCTCATTCTTTTTACAATGTGACGAATGGTATGCGTTTTACCTGCAATTAAACCATGCCATTGCTGTACTGCTACTGGCTCTTCTGACGAAAGACCCAGACGTACTTGCTCTATAGTAATTTTAAAATATTTGTAAGCGAGTACTTCGGCATTCACTGGTACTGTGTTGTAGTAGGCGAACGAAACTTTACCAACTTGACAATAGAAGCAATCTTGAATGTAGGAAAAAGCGCGTTAATAGGAAAGTGTATATTTGCAAACCTTTCTTTAAAAAGATATACCCAAATCAATGTGCACAATGCAACGAGACCCTTTCAGGCTTGGTGGCAACTCATTACGTGCTTGCATTCAAATTACGAGGTTTTAACAGTGGCGGAGGAATATATGAAATAAAGGGAAACGCGAATTGGGCGGCGCGAAATACAAAAAATTGGAATATCGCGTTCTGTTTCATAGTAGAGCGCGACAAGGAGTATGGTTGCACAGCATTGTGCTGTGATTTTACTGTTTCTATGTGTTTCTGATGCTAATCAACATTTATACAATACCTCTCTCTTCATTTGCGAGAATAAATTAGTGGATGTTAGATTCATAAAGGCCTATTATCGCCGGTCTTCTGAAAAAGTACGTTACCTGCATCGCGACTCATAGAATTACCTTGTCAACCATTTTTGAAGTAGTATAGGAGATATAAGATGCATATATGACAGATATACAAAATCGTTTTGCTCAAGATACATCGCAAGTCAGACGAAAAGCTCTGTGTTATTATACCCAGATATGCTTTTTAGAGTCTGTCTCAGTGATTGTTGACGATTCAATCCTTCAAAATGGTATTTTAACAAAACTACGCTTTAAAAATTTAATAACAACAAGTTGAAATGTTACTTTATATAATGGAGCGCAAATGAGGGGATAGAGAGAGAGAGAAATGTACATAATCTTTCATACAAAAAGTATCGACTTGCTTCTTTTTTTATTTTATTCTTATTATTTACTTTATTTGATACCACCGCCCTGGACAGTGGCGACCTTGCACTGGACAGGTTCGCCAGAAGCGGTCTTGATAAGGAAGGGCTTGTCTTGGTAGTAAGCGAGCGTATCCTCCTTGGTGTTGAAGTCGGGCTGGACAGCCTCGAAGTATTTCTTCTTGGGAGGAAGCACCTTCTCAGGTTCGCCTGAAGTACACACACAATATGTTAATATTACGATCGCTTTTGCTTTATCTGTTCGTCTCATCCAGTACCTTCCAATCCTTCAATGTAGATTCTGTCACCAGGCTTAACCTTGCTGGTATCAACAGGCGACAACAGTTCGACCTTGCTGCCATCGGGAGCCGTGGCGCAGAGAACCATACCCTCAGACTTGATACCACGCATGCTGGCAGGCTTCAAGTTGGCCATGACAATAACCCATCGATTCTAATGGTTTTCCAAAAATCAATATGGATTTGATCTCTCCCCACCATTTGAAATAGCCAATATGTATGATGACATGATACAATACCTGCATTTCTTCGAGAGGATACCACTTGACGAGACCAGAAACAACGGTACGGTAGACTCCCTCACCATCACCCATATCGATTTCTTCAACGTACAAAGCGTCGGCAGCTTCGTGCTTCTTGCACGAGCGGATATAACCAACACGGATATCGAGTCGAGTGAAGACGGGCTGTTCGGGAGCAGCAGGCTCGGCAGCTATTTTGGGTATACAGCATATTTGTTAATACCTGCTTCATCTCTGTTTCTACCCGCTAACGTATGTTGATATGTTGAGTAATAATAAACGACACTTTACGCTTCTTTTCCTTCTTTTCCTTCTTCTCTTTCTTGTCCTTCTTATCCTTCTTGCCACCTTCTTCCTTCTTTTCGGCTTCCTTCTTATCGCCCTTCTTGTCACCCTTCTTCTTATCTGCCTTCTGTAAAAACATCGATGCAAACCGTGTTGATATTGAGCATTCATTCTAATCCAACCAAAAGCCAAAAAATGAAGATTTGACAGCTTACAGGAGCAGCAGGCTCAGGAACGTCATCCAAATTGACTTCTAAAGGAGCAAAGTCGTTGACCAAGTTGTTCTTAACGATAACGACGTTCTGGATCAAATCGAACCATCGCAATACGTTGGGAGTGGTGGTAACTCTGAGGTTTTTCTATTTTGCAATTATAAAATATAGCACACGTTTAATATAAACATACCCATAAGAAACAGCATGTGCACGTATAAAACTGAATCATTCTTTCATGCGATTTAACATCGCCACGCTTAATAACTTACAGAGACATGGTGGACATGAGCAAATACGATTAAATCAGCCAAGGAAAGCTGGTTGCTGACCAAGAAGGTGCGGGTAGTCAAGTGACCGTTCAATTTCTGAAAGCCGTTTATGTATCACGTCAACCATAGCTGTTTAAGCATGTTGTCAATATGTATCCGTCGCTATTACCTGAAGGGCAGCATGGACTTCCTTAGAAGCCGCACTCTTGAAAGTAGTGGTAGCCCAGTTAGACCATTCTTCAACCTAAATAATGTATTATTTAGCTCTCCGTTTCTCAAATACACACCTTCTCTATTAAACCTAAAAGACGCGCTATTTTTCCATAGTTTCAAGCTACTCACCTCAGCTTGGTTTTCCTTGCCATCGCCCAAAAGCTCAGGCTTGGTTTTCGAAGCAAGGAACTTGCAAATGGTTGTAATGCCATCGACCTTTTCACCAGACACCTGGATGCAAAGAATTTTCACCAGTGAACATCACTTAAGTCTTCCATTCAACCGCGAATTCATATAGCAGAAATCTGTCAGTTCTTTTTTCCAGCGTTTTTATTTACCTCCAATGAAATATCAGTGGCAGTTTCAAGTTTGGCAACACCTTGAGATTTTGTGTATTTATAGACTAGAAGGACATCCTTGGCCGCACTCTCGGGTAGTCGTAAAACTGCTGCCATTTTATAAGTATTGAAAAAAGTACAGTGGAGAACACTTTAAACGGGTTTCGTGGCGTGAGACCTAATCAAATTGACTCAGAACAACCACCGCAATGTGGCTTGGCCTTGAATTTCTCGAAGTTAATAGAGGTTCTAAGTCTAAATCTCTACCTACTAGTGCCCAGTTTATAATTATAGTTATCCTATTAGCAAGTACATATATAGTGAGCTACTTTGAAATAAAGAAGCAAGGGCAGGCAGTAACACGGTCAGCGCAAACATTCGTTAGAATGCATCACTTGCATAGGAGCTCATCGAGACTCCGGTTCTTTTCTTAGCAGTGGTTGAGCATATAATAATAAACATATATAATTCGTCTCAAAGATCATTGATAGTCTAGCTTATATTGAGTATACATACTTAAGTTGCTTCTGACAAGAAGAAGAAACCCTCGATTTCCAGGGAATATCATATTATAAATTTGAGCTACATACTACGCTAATTGTTTCTGTATTATCATCCCTACTACTGATCACTACGACGCATAGCTTCACTACTACTACTGTACACAGTACATGAAATGGAATTTTCTCATATGCATTCCTTCTTCCTATTTATGTTGCTCCAATTTGCAGTATTAGTACTATAGCCGTTATAAAAAGAATTGATCGTCTTGTTATTATGCCTTTACCTCATCAACTACTAGAAGCACAGATAGTCACGATACACTAGATACAATTGAGCGCTCTATGTACAGTATATGTCACTCAACAAGTTAAGTATTGATATTGATACCGATGTGCTGACACTTTAATTGTTGATGATGATGTCGTTTGCAATAATAGCTACCTAAAATCATGCTATCGCGCTGATAAGCCAAGAATCTAACAGAAGCAGAAAAGGAGGAGACTATAAAGTAAAGGCGACAGGAACGTGGGGGCCGAGACACATGCGTTGCTGGGCCCTATTGACGTTCTACATAATCATATGTCCCCTATTTCTCTTTTATTCTCTAACCTCGTTTCCGATCGCTTTCAATATTGAATTTAACCTTCCGTAGTCTCTCCTTCGCCTTAACATTTTTCCCATTGTACGGGTTCTTTTCAGTTGTGGTATCCCTCATTTATAAATATTCTCCTCCTAAATACCGCAAGAAAGCGACCAATAACACAAGCAAGGTCACTAAGTCTTCCATAAAAAATAAAAAATTTACATTTGAACTAACGTCCTATTAAGTAGGCTATTGCTCTCTAAATCAATCTACATCTTTTAATGAAACTCTAATATTTAGTAGTCATGGGAAACGTTTCTCGCCAGGCTAATTTCGATTCCTTGCTGAAGATAAAGACAATTGGTTTATGATAAACCTTTTCACCGGAGAGACAATAATTCATGCCAGGGAAAGCAGGGAAGAGCGCTCACTGCTCTTTCATGCGCTATACGTCTTGAAGCAATCAACGAGATATATGATAATATCAGTTAAGTAGTCTCAGGAAATATGTATGTATAGTTTGTTTATCCGGATACCGATGCTTGCATGTGAATTTGATTGATAGCAGTAATGTTGACGCCTTGCGCATAGCGATTCAGCTCAAATTGTTTGACTGACCGATGAAGAAGTAGAGTATGACGTCTTTACTGCTGCCAATTTGTAATTCATGTTGAAAGTAAAAAACGACAACCACGGTTGCACTAAAGTACTGCATTTTCACTCAAATACTTTCCTCTACGTGTTACTCGAGATATACTATCATATTGTGACATCAAACTTATAAAGCATCAGCTCTGCACAAGAAGTGAGTATACTGTAATCTTAATTCATTAGTAGCGGTGTATTTTTAAAACAACGTAGCAGTGGCTACAGTTGTCGACATCTATTGTACCTTGATGAACTCTGCAGTAATAAAGCTCGGACTATGTAGAGATTTATATAGCAGTCGATGACTCACCAATATATCGTGAAGGATATTTTGTTTTACCTGTTGATGATACAGGTGGAATAAAATTGTGCTACTCTGGTGACGGGAAGTAGTATATGCTTCTCGACATAAAAGTATATTACTGCATATACAACAATTGCTATTGCTTGTCGTTACCACAATTTCAACGAAGCGTCATGTAAGAGATCGGGGCTGTAGAAGCAGCTTCATGAGAGTATTACTTATTGGCTACATGTAGCACCTGTATCAACCTCCATGGCATGTACAATGCCAGCTAACGTCAAATGTGTGCAAGGCGTTTTCAGTTAAATCGTATGATAAACCTAAAGAGAGGAAGCTGTTCATGCATCCGATAGTATTCTGAAAATGGAAATTAAGGAGCGTGCCCTGTGCTGTCTGTAATTAGGCTGACTGCTTACTTTATTTGAAATACCTCTTTCCTACCCTTTTTTTACCCTCGCTTTTTATAAACTTCTTCAAGGGGATTTGGCGCCCTCCGATTTTTGATTCCTGCTCGCGATGGCTGAAAAATCAAGTTTTTCGGCTACCACGAGTGTCCAACCTAGTGTTCTCACAAAGGTAGAATGATAATGCACGTTTCGAACGTATATAAAATAAGCAAGACGTGTTTGATGACTCATCTGACAACTCTTTTTGTATTCAATTTCTGACAGTTTGGCGCTAAGCACGTTTCTTACGCGCATACCGTTTGTGCCTATAGTAGCGTATCACAATGAAGCGTGGTTCCAACAAGATGAAACATTAACGTAGTCGTTGTCTATAGGTGCATTTCTTCTCGCGTTAGCCGTTGGCTGTTATACACATTACTACAAGATCGTCCGCAATGAACACTTCGGATACCCGATTGTAAGGGAGGATCTATACGAGAAGGTGTGGAAGGAAACAAAAAACTTACTAAAGGAACAATATAGGAGTGGTTTCCTAGTGTCAGTGCAACCACTGGCGACCGTTACCCTGCGCGTGCCATTTTCCAAATTCTGATAGCCTTGACGTCAGGACCTCGTTTTGCACTTGTTGTTCTGTGGTACCTATACACGACACGATCGAGCTACTCCAGCTCGCGTGGGTTTGGCAAGTTCTTGCTTATTGTCGGCATTCTTCGGACGGTTTCCTGCGGCGGTTGGGTTTACATTACCTCTACGGATGACCATCTTACCCATGATATTACAATGATTACATACCTTGTCTGCACTCTGCCGTGGCAACTCGGAGTGATCTATACTAGTGCACGCAACAATCCTCAGGCGCTCAAGTGGCGACGTATCTTGACGGCGGCATTCTTCACTACCTTGCCACCCATGATTTATTACTTTTTGCAGCACAAGGTTCAAAAAGTGCCCGGTGGTAAGTACAAATGGATTTGGAAGAGGACTTGGACTAGGCTTATAAAAACTTGGGAAACGAGAGGAGTAGGGTTATATAGATGACCGTGATGATGCTTACATGCATGTACTTTTACCAGCCTATACGACATATGCCTTCTTTGAGTGGTCGTTGATCTTGTACGATGTCGCATTTGATGCTGTGACCGCACTTGACTTCCAGACCTTTGAATTGGCCGTCGTTGATGTCTCAGGTGGCCATGCCGGTGCAGTCCCAGTGACTAAGGAAGGGTATGCATTCAATGTTTAGTTTAATATAAGAAGAGAACGGCAGTGATCTTGTAAAGATTATATTTACAATATAACATTTTTGTAATCATTATATATCTCACTGTTTATATTATGTTTATTAAAAAATGTGGGGATTTTCTGATTATAGTTCGTCCAAGATTGGAAGGTAAGCATCGTGGGATCCGAATATATGCAAACAAAGCATTAGACGCTGACTCTTCTGTGTTCGTGTGCATATATGGATATCTTTGTGTATAGCCCTGAAGATAGCATTTCGCCATCATTCTTGCGTAGCCTGGTCAATTTGCGAGGATATGTCTCTGAAGTGTATTTGGGTACGTGTAAATATGGTGGTTTTAGAGAGTACGAACTGCGACACGATCATGCAAACAACTACTGACCGTGTATCTATTATAAAGCTTTTGTGTTCTGGTCCATGTTGACATCTTTGGCACTTTTAATTTGGTAACTTTCCAATGTAAAGATAAGCCTTCTTTCTAACAATGGATATAGTGTATGCTGAGCGAAATATGTTGTATGAATTAAATTAGGTACTTTCCATTGTGGCACATGGGTATATCCGGTTACGAAGCATTCCTTTTGATTACGATCTCACCAATGGTTTTGGGCATTCGTCCATTGCGCCGCGTGATGGCCAAATATCGTGGCGTGTTCCATATCTTGTCATTGGTCGGTCTCGCCTCATACCTTCAGCAAGACCCTGCCTTGCGTCTGACGATGACAGCGTGCGGTTTGGGATTGAGTGTAACCACCTGGATGGCCACATGGTTCGAAGCACGCGCACACGTTGGCAGCTTGGAACGCTCTATCCTGATTTGGGGTGTTGGTTTGCTGATGCACAACGTCGTCAAGATGGCCTGGTGGACCGAGAACCCTATCTGGCCAATTATGCACGCTGCCAACGGTGGATGGAATGAAATCGGTATTGTCCTTGCTTTTGTTGCGTCCATTGAAGTCATTATTCGCGACGTAACTTCACCAACTGCACCTGAACACGACTTATCCGAATCGACCAGCTCTTCGCCTATTTCTCCTGGCGCCAATGGTAGCGGCAACAGCAGCTGGTTGATGGCTGCTTCCGGCTTTGGCGCGGTCTTGTTTGCCCTTCATTCGATGTACACTGATTCCTCAGCAATCATGCGATACACCGTTGATGGTTATCCCAACTACGGTCCAGAACCTATACCATGGGGTGTTGCCACCATTACAGCACTTACTGGCGGTCTTTTGGTATCTTCTTCGCGCCGCTTAACGACGAGTCCAGCCTATTACGTTGTGGGATGTCTTGCATGCGCAGCATTCTACTGCTTTTCTGCCTGGAAGGCCTATTATGCCGGTCTCGTTCTCGGCTTTTACCTGATGTCGGTCATGCCTGCATTGGCACGCGCTATTACCACTCACCCGCCATTCAAAACCCTATTCACAGCATTCATGGTATACAACTTGCTCTGTTTGGCCCATGTGTGGGTCGTTGCTTACGCCTTTGTGCCCGCAGGTGTTTACTTGCGTGAGCGTATCCACTGGGTCCTTGGTGCAGTGATGTTCCTTATTGGATGCGGCGTAGTCAATGCACGCAAGCAGGCAACATGGGATGTGCAATTCAAAAAGATGGTGCAGCTGCATATTGTTAAATCTGCGCGTTCATTGACACGTGTTGCGTCATTGTTTGTCGTTGTTGCCTCGGTGCTGGTTGCTGCCAATCGTTCGTTCTCGGCCGTCACTCCAGCGCCCTACCATCCTGCCGAAAAATCATTCAATGCTGCCATCTGGACCATTCACTTTGCTCTCGATGATGATATGTGGGCCAGTGAAATGCGTATGCGCGACGTCATTCAGGAACTGGAGTTGGATGTTGTTGGTAACGTATATTGAAATGGGTGAAAGAAGAAAGTGTGCGTGTGCGTCAATAATTGGATGTATCAGAACGGAATTGCTGAGCTTATCGAATGTGTTGTAGGTCTCCTTGAATCGGACACAATGCGTATCATCATGGGTAACCGCGACTGGGCACAGTTCCTGGCGGAAGATCTGGGCTACTACGTTGACTATGCAAGTTTACTCTAAATCTGAATCTGTCATATGACGTGTGAGAGATCTGTGCTAATTTTATTACTCCAACAGGGACCGTCCACTATGAAGCATACCTGGGGCTGCTTGATGCTGTCCAAATTCCCTATTCTCAAATCAGAACACCACTTGCTGCCATCGCCTGTCGGTGAGTTGGCCTGTGCCATCCACGCAACCCTGGATGTGTATGGTCAGCCTGTAGATTTTATTGTTAGCCACAATGGTCAGGAAGAAGACCCCGAGGACAGACGCCTGCAGACTACTGAGCTTGCACGCGTCATGCGCACGAGTCCGAATCCATTTGTGTTTTTGGGCTACGTCGTTACCAAGCCCAAGCAACCGCTCTACTACACGCTGTTTGATGACGGCGACATGAATGATATTGACCCGACGGATTGGGACCGTTGGTGCCAGTACATTGGCTATCGTGGTTTGCGACGTGTTGGCTATGCCAGAGTCAGCCACGGCAAGATCACAGATACTGAAATCCAGACGGGCAAGTTCCAGGTTGTGGAGACTCCTCGCGATTACTGGAAGGCGTCGTACGATCGAGTGGACGAGTCGCAAGTACCAGCAGGACTGCGGTATCCGACCATGTTCCGTGGACGGGGCGTGCGTGGACATCGCTACCATGTCTTTAACGAGCCTCGCTACTTTATCCACTAGTAGTCTCGAGTTGATATCTTGTGTCCTCCCTCTGAGTCTCACTTGTCATGCAGTGGGATTTTGTCTTTTTTCGTCAATTGTTGTTGTTATTATTATTAATATTAATACTTTTACTAGGTTTTTTTCCTTCTTTTTCTGTAAAACTTAAAAAAAAATGCATGGCCCATTTTTTATCAAAAGGCCGATACTACAGTACTATTATAAGCTCTGTGTTCCCTTCTCCTTTCTCCCCACAACTCTCTCACACCCCCAAATCGTCGTCGTGAGGGCGCCGCATGACCGGTTTTTTTCCCTCTTCATAAACTGTTTTGAGTTGAGCCAAGAATCTTTTCCTTCTTTCTCTACTGTCTTTGAATTCCCTATTCAATCATGACACTTGCCAATCTCGACCAAGTTCTTACGCACTACATATTATCGACCCATCCACTCAACGGGTCCATCACCGACCTAACAAACAAGAACACAGGCGAGCTTGCATACATAAAGATCCGGCATAAGGTGGCGAACATGTATGCTATTAGTTTAGTGGATCCCAGTAAGCTATCCTTTTTCTGCGCTCTTGTTCCAATTGAACGAACTGCCCATGTGCTCATAAAACGGTTACTACACAACTTCTTTCTAACCATACGAACAACAACAAAAAACAAAATTTCAATAAATAGAAACGTTTGTAGCGTATGCTGAAACGCATTGCAAAAGCGCCACCAGCCGTTCGCGCAACATTGTTCTTCACTGCGGCGATGAACAGCATAAAGACGATAAGGAAGTAACGCTTAGGGAAACATCCATATTCGGTTTTGAATGGTGCTTTGAATGGGCTGGTGAGCAATATCGATGGTACGTTTTCTGGCAGTGTGTGGCTGGATATAGCTCCCACTATCTCTCTGTTTTCTTCTGTCTTGCTGATACACCTAGCGTCTCCAATAACACACAACAGGATCCGTGAAAGTCGTCTAAGCGGCTCATTGGAATGCCGACGTAAAACAGGTAAGGTTATAAGTGTTTAATCGCGCGTGCAGAAAAAAAAAATTGATCCGAAATGGACTATCCCTGACATGCAACATTATAATGGATGGATCACTAGGCAGTAGCGACGTCTGTGTGGCACAGTACATGCCCCGTGGCATCAAAAATGAGTATTTTGGTGTGCTTTCAGTGCCCGTGTACAGCATGTCTGGACTCGACGATCGACAGCGCCGGGGGCTCGAGCTTGTCCTGTGCATATCGTTGTTGACGATGCTCGACAAGTCCGACGAAAGCAGCTGGATAATGAAGCGCAATAGTGTGAACAACAACAGCAGCAGCGATACCCAGATCGAGCCATCGGAATTACCCACACCTTCCAACAGCAAGAAAGACGAGCAGAAGCGTATGAAAATAGAGCGTGAGCTGCAGCTTATGCTGGAACGTGATATACGACGATCCCAGAAGCAGATTCTACATGAAGATAGCACAAACAACAACTACCATTATAAGAAAGCGTCCTCCTCCAAAAACAACAGTCCTCAAGTTTCGCCCATTCCTACGCCGACAACGTCAACGAAAACATCCACAACAAAAACAACACTGACACGCCAAAAGTCAGCTTCGGTACTCCGTGATCGTCTCGCAAATAGCTCATTGGCAAATATGAAACACCTCGACGCGACTGCCACCTTGCAATTGCCTGCTGCCGCTGCTAACAACACCATGGCCCCCCTCGAAAGTTTGTTTTCGTCGCTGCCGCCACAACAACAATCGCAGCAGCAAGTCAATCCACCAGTATCAGCACCAGCAACGAACAAATCCCCCTCTTCTGCCCCCCATTCAGCCTCGACCAGCCCTGCCACAACCCCGACTGCGTACTATCCAAGCAACCCGCTGCCTTATTTTCATTACTACGCACAGTCGTCTTCGGCTTCCTCCGGAGCAGCTAAAAGTAGCAGTAATGGTAACGTTGTACAGTCGCAAAGTAAGACGTCTGTTCGATGGGATCACCATACCCAGCAACAACAACAACTACAGCAGCAGCAGCCCAACAATGTCTCTAAGCGACCTACTGCCCAGCGACGTGTTTCCACAGGCGACCAAATTTTGCACCACTATCCAATGCGCATGTACGCTCAAATGCATCATCATCATCAGCAACAGCAGCATCACCATCACCATCAGCAGCAGCAACATCAGCAGCATATCCAGCAGCAGCAACGCTATGTTCCAGATTACTACAATTACATGTATCAGTAATAATAAAGAAAAAAAAGCAAAAAAGAAATATTTGTTGTTTGTTTTTTTTTTGTTTAATGCCTACCAGCAAGAGAACCCTTTTAATAAAAAGTAATTCACCGACTGGAATCACCTAGAGGTCTGGACCTTTACTCTATTTAATGAGACCCCATCATAATGATGATGGGACAAGGAAGATGATTTTGATGATGATACGGCTTTTGGCCCCAGGAAAATGATGAGACAGACTATTTGACTAGTGGACATCATCCGACTGCAGACGTCTATGACAGCAGCACACGTCAAGCACAAGTGTGGATCGAGGGTCACAAGGATTGGATACACTTGCTTACAAGTATCGTGTTGAAGCATAGGCCATCTGTATACAAAATGGTACAACAACATGCAACACCATGTGAATACGCTTGTAATATTCTTTGTTTTTGTTACACACGCATATGTACCGGAATAGGTCGGCTGTTCTCATTTCGCAGCCCACAATAGTTTGACATAGAGCAAGTATCCAAAAGCTTAATCCTGTCATGCAAAGGCCGTTTGTGATGATCAATGGTAATAGTGCACTTGCATTCTGCTGGCTAGTTGTTATTGTTGCGAACACAGTAAGACATAGAATCAAGGACGTGAAAGACTGGCGTGGATTATCCCAGTAAACGATCTGTTTTGCAGTTTCTAATAGAGAATACAAACCGAAGTGTTGTTGTTTTCATGTGTGCATGTGTGAGACAACATAAACTTTCTCTATTTGTCTTTCTTTCTTTGCCCCCAAAGAGCCTTTTTTGTTGTTCTTTCTCCCTTACCCGTGACCTTGGATGGCGAGAAACCTAATAATGACGATGATGGTGATGATAGTGGCGGTGGCGGTACTGATATGGTCGTCTTTGGCGGCATATTATCGAGAGTACGGGTAGCTTTAGATGCAGTAGTAGTGGTGGAGGTTTCGCTGCTCTTGAATAGCTCAATACCGACGAAAACTGGAAGTGGATGCCATGACAAGGTATTGCGGCGTCGTCTTGTTGTAGCTTGTGTTGATGCTGATGGTGGCGATAGTTCACGTGTCTCTTTTTCGAATGACGCTAGCGAATCAGGGGGCGTTGGCGGACATGGGACGCATGCTTGTGTTGTGATGTTCCATAATGACTTGGACCAAATCGCAGATGTTGCGGCGTTTACGGCCGCTGGTCGGCCCATGAGTATGCTATTGCGAACAATTGCTTTGCGTGGCGGTGGCATAATTCGCGGGTCATTACTATTGATAAAGTTGCTTTTAAACGCAGACAGATCGCCTTTGGATAATCGTTCCAACGGCGATGCTACGCTGTTATTCCTTTTTGGTCTTCTTGGGGTTACATCCGGATGTGAAAACGTCGGTACATGTTCAAGCATGGTAATATTAAAAAAAAATCTGATCCAGGCAGAGTAAATAAGAAAAAGAAGAATCGTTCCAAAAACATAGAGTCGAATGTAATATACGAGAGTGAATGGGAAAAAACTTTGGGTATTATAAAGAAAAAGTGCCCTTCGGCTCATTATTTATTATATTCAATTTGTATCGATCGACCTGAATAATTTCTGCATTTCGAATAGTGCAAGCTTGGCTATTGGTGAGAGTGAGAGTGAGAAAAAACAAAGGAGATTAGTTGGGTATCAGTGTCGGATCAGCAATGGGCAATGTTTGTTATTTTTTTCTCTCTATTTCTTCATGTTGATGAAACTTACGAATAGCCACATTCATGTCTAGAATCGATCGCGCCATCGCTTCAATTTGTCCAAATTGATCCGTTTGAAAATACACCATCAGGAGCATGGGCATTTCCGATACGCCCGTTTGTAACAGTTGGGAAAGAACACCTGCTAATGTTCGCTTTTCCACATCCATCCCCCCGTTATTCATCTGATATTTAGGCATATTTTTTCCCACCTTCCGGCTCTATTTGTTTGTTGTGTATTTTACCTGTAAGCGAATCGCATGTTCTGACGATAGTAATATCAGACTCAATAATAACTTGACGATGCGTTCGGTTTTGGTCGTTTGTAAAAGTTCCAAGCACTTGCCAATCTCCACGTCGTTTAGCTTGATCCCCATATATCCAACTAATCCAGCCAATGCCCGAATAGCCATTGCCAGTTGTACAGTGTTGTCTTCAATCTATATTGAACGCCGAGGTTGTTTAGCATAACATCATCCAACGAGTCTCATCACTCGCCCATGGAAAGGAGCAATTGTTAATATTTTTACCCTGGATCGCTCGATCTCTGCAAACATCCGTCCTTTGACCTTCATGAAATGCGAGATACTGTTGGCAGATTGAATCATAAACCAAGAAGGTGAGTCGTGAAAAACACCGTTTAGGAATACAATCTTGATATTTTTGGAGTTATTAGAGTCATAAATTGAATAAAGCTCATATGAAAGCATAACACGTAATCTTCGCTTACCTCATCACTGCAGAACGTTACAGTAATGCGAACAATAAGCTCTGGAAGTATTTCTCGTTCTAATAAATGGTATCGAATACGCATTGCGCATTGATGTGGATTTTCTTCAATGACGGTATATAGCATTTCACTAGAGTAAAAAGGTATGTGGAATGGTTAAAAACCTTCACTAGCATAGTGCATAGTCAAAAGTTAGTCGAAAATTACCTAATATGTAACAGATGCCTTGATACCAAACGGCCAGCGCTCAGTAAAAGGCGATTTACAGTCTAATATGAATAATGGAGAGCAAATGAGATCAATCAATTCTAATGGAAAAGCCAAGTAAAGCAAACCACCAGTATTACCTCGGAGATATTGATGGGATCATTTTGTACTATGCATCGTATCAGCTCGCATCGTGTTGTAAGATACACGAAACCTTCTACTACATTCTACAATGAAAATTCAGTCAAAATCTAAAAAATAAAATAGGCTACAAAACCTTCACTATACATTTAAACATTAAACCCTAATCCAAAAAAAAGTGTATACCTGGAGAGATCCTTGCCGTTGGTTGAACCGATCCCCTTCTTCTAAATCATCAAACCATTCTAGCATGTAAACGATATCTGCCGCATGTTCTTGGATCCATCCATTGCTGGCCAATAAGCTGACAGCAGACTTTATTTGCCGGCCCGCTTGATCTTGGTTTCGGCATTTGGCGACAGTGAATTGAATATAATAGAACTCGCGCAACAGGTCGCTTTGGTTATTATTATACGCGTTGTTAGTGTTAGGGGAAATATATAATTGCATGAAGATTTTCTAACTCACACATACTCACAGCTTCCAGCGATTGTCACCTAGATCTTGATGTATTGACCGGTATTGTACCTTAATAATATTCGTGCACAACGTTTATTCTCTGTTTGATCAATTTGAGACAAACAATAGCGATTAAAAAAGGACTTTTTAGTACTGAATAATTTACTAACATGTGCCTCGTCAAGACCAATTTTGAATACTGCGTTTTTGAATTGAGAAAAGAATTTAGCAACAGTTGTTTCAATCGTGTCATCGATCTCCATTCTACTAGTAGGTTGTCGAGAAAAAGAAAGTAAGAAAATGTATAATTCAACTCCAGCCAACAAGACCAGCGCATGCAACTTCTTTGAGTCGTTTGGAGATTATACTACTGATCAGAGTCAAATTCTATACGGATCGTATTGCTACGGTTTATAAGCGCACATCTTATTCTTTTTTCCAGCCGCGTGATATAATCACGATAGTCTTGCTTTACAAAAGGAAAATCAAAGTGAGTCTGTCTGTCTTTGCGCGACGACGTTCTAGGCGGCATTGAATGGTGGTATGATTCATCCAAAATGCTGTGTATATCAGTGGTATCCCTAACAGCGACATTCGCCAAAGCAACGACCTGATTATTTTCCATAGTAACTACACTTTGGCACTACGATCTCTACAGCGGGATACAAGAAACCACCACATCTTGAAATCTCGTCAGCTACTGTGAGAAAAATAGAATATCAAAAATAAAAGTATGCTACTTACAGCTGAAGTCTATGTACGAATATCCGTTTTTTTATCTATCGCTATTATCAACACAAAGACTTATACTATCAAGGTACATAGCTCATTAATAGTAACAGAACTCAATTTCATGTCATGCTGTCTTTTCTACCGCGCGCCTGGGAGTTTCCAAAAATGGCAAACAGTAAAACGTCACACGTTTCGACTTCTTGACTTAGTGCAGCTGGAGGCCATTTTAATTTTTCGCCTTACGCACCGCACTACACACACACAAAATGTCAACGATCGGCGTACCCATCAAACTTCTCCATGAAGCCCAGGGTCACATTATTACACTCGAACTGAAGACTGGTCAATTGTACCGTGGTAAACTCTTGGCTGGTAAGTCTTTACACGCTCACAATAGTCGCAAAAAAAACGTTTCTTTTTTTTTTCCAAATATACATGGTCATCTATTTGACTTGGAAATTTGCAAGATCTAATAATGAAAGAATATAATACACGTTGAAAAATACTACTGATAATTAATTTACTTTGGTTTGTATTTAGCCGAAGATAACATGAACATTCAGTTGAGAGAAATCACAGTGACGGCACGAGACGGACGTGTTTCGCAGTTGGATCAAGTATATATTCGTGGATCGACTGTTCGTTTCTTCATTGTACCCGACATGTTGAAGAATGCGCCCATGTTTAAGCAAGTGGGTCCCGGTGCACTTAAGGGACGTGGTATTGGTCTTGGACGAGGGCGCGCAACTGTTGCACGCGCGCAGGGTAAGGAATCCACACCTTTTTATGTTACTGATATTATAGCCATTTAAATGTTACAATGAAACATGAAGCTCACGAATACGTATTCTTTGAAATATTAGCTCGAGGCAGAGGTCGTGGTGGTTTCCGTGGACGGGGCCCACCTATCCGCCGTTAAAAAATCAAGCACAACAAAAACAACAACACTAAAACTTTGATTTTATTCTCGCGCTGTTACGACTCTCTTTTATCTCTCCTTCTCTCTCTCTCTCTCTGTCTTGCATATTCGTATGTGACAATATGTATTTCATCAAAGTCAAAGAAATCCCAGGTCAAAAGCGTGTGTGTATCTCTTTTTTCCCTTTCAAATTTATATACATAAAAGAAAACAAAAGAATGGCGAATCTCTGCGTTTTTTAAACTGCCAAATGCATATTGTTACTTAAAAAATCTTTGTGTTCTTTCAAAAAGAAGAGAAGGAGAATGGATTGCACTAGAAGGAAAGGAACAAAGAGAAGGGAATCGTGTAGGGAGAGGGAGTTATGGGGTAAGCGGCGGGTTATATAGTATGCTTCTATCTATAAGATCGTTTAACAGTAGACATCTTTCTTTTTACAGTCTGACTTCACCAGCCTGGACTCGAGCGTGATCCTCGAGAGTATAACGGACATAGGTGTCGCCCTGCAACCAAAAGACAGGGTCCGATTCTGGAATCTTTTCGAGCTCGATGCCCTGGTTTCTAAATTCGACCTTTTGTTGCTTGAACGTGCCCGTCAATTCCATGGCAGGTACAAACCGGATAAATACAGGGATAGCGTAGCGAGGCAACTTTTGGCGCAAGTAAGCGTGGAGGTTTTTGAAATCCAAAGTTTCGCCCTCCTTGACGACAACAGCGGCCATACCGGCACGGCCATCATGATTGGGCACAACCGCACCGTAGACATTGACCTCAGCAAAAGCCGGGTACAAACCGATGGCGTTGGCGACTTCTGTAGTTGCTACATTTTCAGACTTCCATCTGAACGTATCGCCAATTCTGTGAAAGATCATCCAGAAAAATGTGTAAAACAGATAGAAGCCTCAAAGATATATGGTTTGTTTGTTTTTTTACCTGTCTCCAAAGAAGAAAAATCCGTCGCGATCCATCTGCAGCAGGTCGCCACTACGGAAGTAAGCATCACCCTTTTGCAAAACATTGCGCAAAATCTTTTTCTCGGTAGCCTTTTCGTTCTTGTAGTAGCCGTCGAATGTAAGGGCGTCCGAGTTATCAATACGCACCAACAATTCACCAGGCTCACCGTAGCCACTCTGTATAATTGCGAGATAGGTAAGGATTTTTGGATAAATGACCATAGAATTTAAATTGCAAGGGTTACTCACCAAAACACATAATCCATCAGGACCACGGAGAGCCTCTTCAGTGATAGGATCGATCTTGACAAGTTTGATTTCGCGACGGATGCCACGGAAGAGAGGGCCACGGTGACCCACCGAGCCAGCGCCGAGGACACCCTTGTTGACATTGAACAGCGTTGTGGGTGCTTCAGTAGCAGCATAGAACTCGCAAATTTCGGGAATACGGAATCTGTTTCTAAAGCGATTCCATACATCAGGACGCATGCCGTTGCCATAGACGAGACGTACATTATGGTTACGCTCTTGAGGATGCTTAGGTTGGCTCAACAAGTATCGACAGAACTCGCCAATATACTAGATAATACAGCAACCGATTTAATACATTGCTCTAATTTTTCAAACCATAGACAAACAGACAATGCAAATAATGACTTACTGTAAACACTGTGACCTTGTACTTGGCACAGTCATCCCAGAAACGGCTTGCAGAGAATTTTCGTCCCAAGACAATTGTAGCACCAGCCTGTAATGCAACTGCACTTGATACAATAACTGACATAGGATATGCAAGAAGTCAGTAACCTATGGTCATCATCCGTATGCCAACTTTAATGGTTCTTAACGCTTACTACCAGAGCTATGATACAAGGGCAAGACACAATAGACGCGATCTTCGGGTTTGACGCCAGTAACACCCGAATACATCATAGCACCAACTAGTATATATATAATACCCCCAATTAGTAAATCCTTTCTTAGCTTTCTTTCTACCAGTGCCAATATGACAAGATCAAACTTACAGTTGACACGAGCGTGCTGACTAAGAGCAGCCTTGGGCAAACCAGTGGTACCACTGGTATAAATCAACATGGCCGGATCCGAGTTACTAACACCACTCAACAACTTTTCATCCGTATCCTTGACGCTATACTTGGCCAGAACACTAGGCGTCAAGGTCGGAGCAATGGAGAGTGAGGGTAATTCATCGTTTTCGGTAGCCTCGCCATACGAATATAACGCAACGCCTTCAACCTTTAAGCGATCGGCAATCGTACCAACGGCCTCTGCGTATTTTGGATCAAACACAAACAGCTTGGAGTTGGCAACATTAATACAGTGAAACAAGGAATCTTCAGCAAGGTTCGTGTTGATAAGTGCAGGTGTAGCGCCAATCTTTAAGATGGCCAACCAAGTAATGTAAAACGTTGGGTGGTTTTGGAGCATCATGCAGACGATCTCGCCTTTTTTCACATTTTGAGCCAAGAGCCAGTGGGCCTATTGTATAATAATAGTGTGTGGATATACGTCGTGATGAGTATTTGAATGTGTGTGGGTGTTTCGGTTCGGTCGAGTTCGTCTTGTTGCGAGAGGGGAGGTTATTTGATTTTGGTAAATTAAATCTTACCAAACGGTTGGATGCTGAATGCGGGAAAGAGTAAGTGAGCCTTTTCTCGAGTGGTTACACAAAAGCACACAGACACAAAATTAAAAGTGTACCTATTTCAAGTTGACGGAAAGTATATGCTTTGCCTTCAAAAATAACAAATACTCGCTGAGGATGTTCCTTAGCCTTGGCCTTGAAACGATAGTACAGATGCATCTTGTCTTGCCATGTCCACAGTCGATGACTAAATTATGATAGTAATATTGAGCAAAACTGCGTGTGTTGAGGTTATGCATATGCAAAAGGCCGGGTTTAGATAGGTACTAGATTTGAGAGGCGGCGCCGGCACGGATCTGGTGGAGATCTCTGCTCAATAAAAGTCGTGCGTCCAGGTACATGCTACCAAGGAGACCGCCAAGGCCGGCACTGGCAACTGTCAAAAGGGAATCTTGAAAAGAATAATTGGGCTTTTTTTTTAGCGAGAATGATTGCACAGAAAGGGCTGGGGCTGTCGTGTGGTACCTGGATCCATTGTGCTGCTGCTGTTGTTGTTGTTCTTGTTATTCAGGTATATAAAAGAAAGTGAGAGGAGTGTGGAAAGAAAAGAGAAAGAGAAGCCGAAAAGAGATGGGGTGGCGTTTTTACTCGAGAAGCGAGTCGGGATTTCGTTGTCTGCTGGCTGGTCATTTAAGACCTTGGGCCCTTTATAAATCATTATGGGAAGAGGGCCAAGCGATTCACATGCCACTCCGACGGGGTTAAGGCTGACTACTGCCGTAATATGAAATATTAGGTGACGATATGCTGTATCGCTGTGGTTGTCCTTATGTAAGTTTAATGCGTCCAAATTTGGTGCGGAGAAGATGACACTTAATGATGCTTAAAAGAGAAAACAGATGTTTGGGGGGGGGGGGGTGGGGAGAAATTACCAACTAACTAATACTATATTACTATTCTTTTTACGTCCTAGTGCACCGGCTGTGCTGTCGTCGTTCCCGTCGTTCCTCTTGCTCTGCTTCTTGTTGCGTCATTCTTCTTCTTCATCTTCATCGCATAACTCTCATTCACCCAATCTCTAATCTGTTCGATTAAAACACGATGCCGTTCATTCGTCGAATGCAACGACACATCTTGTTGCTTGTTTACGACTGCTGCTGTTGCTGTACCTTGCTGCATTCGTCGTTGCTGTACTCGGTTCGGTGGAGATTGCGGCCGTTGTCGTGAATGCTGCTGACCAATGCTGCTGCTACTGCTGCTACCAGGGTATAAACCGTTGACACTGCTACTGCTCGGCTTGTTTGACTTGATATCCAGCGTCGACAAGTCGCTTGCTAACAAGTCCATAACCTCTCTGCTCTTTTTCTTCTTTTCGTCGTCTTGCTGTTTCTTCACCTTCTTGGTTTGTTCGTCGTCGTCGTTGTCATCATCCTTTTGAGCCTCCTTGTCTCGCGATTCATCTTCTTTCTTCTTTGCTGCTTCTTCCTTGGCCATGCGCTGGACAGGCTCGCCAACACTGGTAAATACATTGAACAGCGTTGCCATCTGCTTCTTGTTTTCTGTGGAGACCCGATTGGCCTTGGTCGGCTTGACGCCGTCCTCCTTCTTCTTCAGTCCACGCTTCTCGTCGCTATTACCACTGGTAAAGTTCATGGCGGTATGCACGTTTGGTGCAAAGTGTTGGGCAGTGATATCGGGCATTGTGGTGTAATGATGGCGTAGACCCGTCATGCCCGCTAATGGATCTTGTTGTGGTTGTACCGGTACTACCTGGGGCGCTGCGGTCTCCATCGTCGCTGCTGGTGCTGCTGGGTACCCGAACTGCAGATCAAATTGCTGCTGTTGTTGTTGTTGTTGTTGTGGGTCGTAGTAACCCATCATGTTGGTATCCATTGCAGTAGTGGTGGATGGTATTACAGGATGCGATCGGACATACATATCCTGTTCTGCTGCTGCTTGTTGAGCCGCTTGTGGATACAGCATGCCCATGTCTTGCGGCTGGTCGTTAAACGATTGAAGCATGATGTCGGTGGTGGTGGGCGGTGGGGTGGTATAGCACGACGACGGTGCTGGTGTCTCGTAGTAGGAATAGTTGTTTTGATACAGGCATTGTTCTTCTTGTTGGAACATTTTATGGTCCACCGGAGGCGGCGTCACTTGATGGTGCGGATGGGGCTGATGTTGTAAATGTTGATGATGATGTTGTTGTTGTTGTTGTTGCTGGTCCGGCGGAATGCTGCCAGAAAGTCGTGCGAGCCATGCATTGATGTCTGCCAGCTGTTGGTCATTCATAATATCCAGATTCATGTTTTGCGGACTGATGGTGGCATTGTTACCACCCATCATGTTCTCGAGCATGGACAATCGATTCGCAATATCTATAGATAGCGTGCATATAAGCCTTTTTATTTCCTGCAATATCATGTTTCAAAACAAAGCAACTTTACCCTGATTGTACTCGGCCTTCATGTTAGGCTCATCAGGGATCAGGCCCGCAATCAGTTGATACTGGTCTGCGCCGTCAAAGCCAGTCTGTTTCATGTGGGGAGGAGCAGCAAAATTGTCGCAGGCATCGGTGATTGGCGATGGATGCATCCAGCTATCTGTGTGGATGGTTTAACGTACAGTCGATGAAACACAAAAATTGCCCTCTTTGTCTTTATAGGTTACCTTCAGAATAAGTGCTTTGTGGTGGCGAGATGGGTGTGTTGCGTGAAGGAGGTGAAGGATGTTGCAGGTGGGGTTCGGTCGAAGAAGAAGAAGAAGAAGCTGGTGATAATGCAATATCGGGCGGTGTCATTGGATGCTGCTGTTCTTGTCGTGCTTGGTTACTTCGTAACGAAGAAACATGCTCTTCACTATGGATTTTTTCATGCTTCTTCAAATCTTGAGGCCGTTTAAACGACTTGTTGCAAAACTAAACAGTTATATTAAAAAAAAAAGAAGGTTCAGCAATACTGCACCAGTCTAGTACTTCCACGTACCCCGCAATGATAGGCAGAAGCTTACACTACAATGGTGTGGTTTGAGAGGAACGTGAACTCGTAGATGGCTAGTAATGTGGTCTCGTTTGATTACGGAGACATCGCAATTCTCCCAGTGACAAGTCAAGCAAAGGTTGCCAGTGGATTTTCGACCAACATGGTCGTTCGTAAGGTGACTGTACAAGAGCTCAGGGTCCGAGAAGCCTTTGTTGCAATTTTGCCAGCGACAATACAAAACTTCAGTGTCCATTGTGTGCGTCAAAAGAAAGTAGAGAGAAAGAGAAAGAGAGGGTAAAGAGCAAAGGTTGGAAAAGGGGGTGCAGTTGCAAGAATAAAAATGATATTTCTTCGTCCGTCGCAGCAGCAAAGCTACTAAAAAGTAAAGAGAGAGAGAGAGAGAAGAGGTCTCCTTCCCTCCGCCCTCCTAATATAAGCTTAGTGTGTCTGCCCCACAGCACGTGACGGAAATGCAAATCCGTTTCTTGGCACCGCTTCTTCTAAAATAGATGGGTGCGGACTGACGGGATGAAAATGGCAACAGACAAAAAGAGTGGCCGGTCTGCTGTCCGGAATTGCCGTTTGTGTGCATTGTGTATGTATGCAGTTATCATTGTGTTGCCGTTGCTTTTGTGTTTCCCGTGGATCTCTAAGCTGCTCTTCTTCAAAACTAAGTAAACCATCCACCTACGTAGTAGACCGGGAGATTGGTAGCATTTCGCTTCTTCTTCTTCTTCTTCTTCACAGACAACAGTTATAAGTATCTGATCCCTTTAAAAAACGACCTTGAGGAACGTTTCTCACGGATACACCACTTGTCAAGCTGAGCAAGTTTCCTGTTGCAGACGGTTCTTGCTCTCGGTTACGAAAGTCCGGGTACAGTATATGTACTAAAAGACAGTAAAGATATGTATGCCTAGTAAGCGGGTACATGAAGCTTTCTACCTACCCACAGAGAGATGAAGGGCGATGACTTTTGAATGTGTGGCGAGAAAGAAAGAGCGAGAGAGAGAGAAAGAGAGAAGAGATATAAAGGACGCGGGACAGGTGCTACATCAGGAAGGGCTCCAGAAGTGAATTGTGCTGGAAAGGGAGAAATCACTGTTGCCCCCTCTCCCTGAAATCGATCCTTGCCCAATTTGGTAAAATGATGGAAAGCTGGGCAAGCGCCACTGCTGTGCTATGCGCTTATGATGACAACATCACCGTTGTGGGAAATGCTAACAGTTGCTTTTGCACCACACTATTCATCCGTTGTACGCGTTGTGCGCACCGAAAAACTAGAAGCCGACCACTTGCTTTTGAGTACTACGCCAGCTCCTCGCAAGTTTTAATGGCAACTCCAATGTCTGATCTTGCGGATGCAAGATTTCGTTTTTGTGTCTTCTACCGTCAATGTTTCCTCTCTCCAAACTGTCTCCTTCTTTTTGATTTGTTCATATCCGGGGTTCTGGATCGTCGAGGAGATGTGGTGTTGGTGCTGGTGCTGATCATGATGTTACTGATGCTGTTACAGTGGCACTGCTGCTTGTTCCCGTCGTGCTGGTTGATGTACGCTTAATGTTGGCATTTGCACGTTCGACGGATTTGCGTTTCATACCGCTGTGTGCTAAAGTGAATAAATACCTGTGTAGGAAAATACCACGCTGGCCGCCGAGCTTAGCGATGTTTCTCGCAAAAGAAACCAATGGAGTGGCTACAGCCTCGTCATACTTCTCGCTTGAAACCGAACGACAGCAACATCGGCAACAGCGACGCAACGGAACTCAGCGCGTAAGCTAACGATAGTATGAGATAGCATAGTTCGTCAAGGGGTTGCAAGAGTGTCAAGTTCCAAGACGCATGGCTGATTTTGGTGCGACATTTAAAAGTGGAAATGAGGGAGGGGGGCGATGTGAGGAAATAGCATCCACTTTCACACTGTGCTATAGGTATTTGAAAAAGGAACAGTCAAATGGAAATTTGTCCCAAATTGCAGAGCAAATCCCTCAGGGGCAAACAATTAAGTATTTCCTTTTCGCTCTTTTCTTCCCTTTTTCCTTTTCCTTTCCCTCTGCTATCCTTTGTTCTTTTTATTTTTCATCAATCATCGTCATTAAAAATAAACTCATCTATCATTGATCCCAAAAGGAAGCCACCCGTACGTACAGACCTTAGAATAGCTGGGAGGGTGCATGGTGACGAATCATACAAGAGATGCTTAGTGTGTGTATGTGTATGTATATGCGTAAAGACCAGACAACAGCCCTTTTCTCTTTCTCTCTCTCTACTCTTTCCCCTGGTATCCTCTTTACATGACATGATGTCTTTAATCAGCACACAGCTACAACAACTCCTGTTCTTCCAGCTGTTGCCGAGGATGTCCCTGCTCTTGCTCTTACTTCAGTCTCCAACTACAACACATGCTGCCCCACTGCTAGCAAAACGCGGCGAAACCGGCCAAGGACAATCTCAACCCTTCTGGATCTCGGTTGTGGCCGTCGTTTCCATATTGGTTGCCGTCATCATGGGTGTCCTCGTGGTCTATTGCTGCATCCGATCCAGAAAACAGCAACGACGGCGGCAACAGAAACAGCAACAGCAACAGCAGCAGCAGCAGCAGCAGCAGCAAACCTGTGGTAGTACGAAATCAAAGAATCGACAAGACGACGAAGACGAACTTTTGTCTAAAGACAACAGCCAGCAACCTATGATGATGCATGCCAGCAGCAGTACTACTTCCCCCGGCAGGACCGGCAATGATAATGGCGGTAACAATTCCTCTGTTGTTATTGTTCGTGAAACCTCTGATGCTGAACTCGAGTCGTCCAAACGAAATCGGTTGTCGGCCTTGTTCTTTGGTCAGCCACCTTCCCTAAGTTCCCAACTACAACAACCTCGAACACTTACAGCGCCTAACGAAAAGGTCGAGCTATCTGCACAAGATGATCATCATCATCTACATCGCATATACATCGAGGAAAAAGAACGGTTACAACTGCAGCAACAAGGAGAAGCAGGCGCAGGAGGAAAACAGTCGGCTAGAAAAAAGATAAAGAAAAAGAACAGCAGTAATATCATGGGAGGCACTTGGACGTCGGCAGCTTTTGCCTCGCTCGGTCGAAAATCGGTAGCGTCGGTGCAATGGGTCGGATTCCGTGGATCAATGGACCGTCAACCGCAACAAAACAGTGGTTTGTTTGTCGTAAACAATGACGATCAGCATCATACCCAACATCAACAGCACCAGTACTAAATACCTCTCGATAAACGCATCAATACAAATCACCTTCAAACAGCAGACACAGACTAATCATCCTATCCTACATTCTACTTCATGCACATGCACACACACACACAACAACCATACTTACGATCATTCCGCACATCAACCATATCCCAAAAGACAGTCGAGTCTATAGTACATAATCTCCTACTTCTTCTTCTTCTTCTTCTTCTTCGTAGTAATAGTAATAAAAATTTGTTCTTTATTCGTATACATTATCTTCCTTGATATCTTCAAATATAACCTCCATGTAATCATTTTCCGTGTACACCGTGCATACATGACAATACATAAAACATAATGAAATTAAAGTTACCACTATACAATCCTAGGCTATCATGGTAGTATCAATAGTAAAGGCGATATACATTTATAACAGCTGTATATTGGACAAGGCCAAAAAAAGGAGAACGACGTTGAAAAGAAGGAAAGGCGTAGATGAGGAGCATTTATGTGGAGACTGAGAAAGGGGAAACAATGATCTTTTTTGTTTGCTGACAAGCCAATAGCTGGTACATGCTAACTCTATATAATGTTTGTTCCTCATGTTTAATTATAGCCGAATGGAATTATGTAATCGAGTAATTGGAGGATGGGAGTCAGTGTGAGGGGCACTTGTGTTCTTTTTCTCATGACCTCTTCTTCTATTCTCCTTTTATTTTTTATTTATTTTGCTCTTATCCAGCAGTGAGAGTAATGCATAGTAGAGCAACATTCATATCAATGGTCACATAGCAGCAGTGACATGCCTACATTAAGGTAACATGCTCAAGAAAAGCTGCTATAGCCACTACATACATACAATAGTTAGTGTTTATTTTCCATCTATCACAGGATTTCATATAAGCTAATATGGATTAACAAGTTTTTGATCTTATAAAAATCTACAGACCATCCATCTCTATGATAACAGTATTAATGATCTGTTGTTTCTTGCGGTAGCATGTACGCCAAGTCTTCTTCTCCTTGAGAAATTTTATTAATTTCGTTGTCTTGTATTGATACGTTTGTACATTAGTTAGACTATCAATGATTGACCTGGATCAGTATCACAACTGCAGCAAACAGCGATTTTCTTGTTTTATCAAATAGACAAAAGCAAAATCTATCTTACTATGAAGTGCAAACAAAAGATGGCATGTTGTGCGGTGTGTGTTTTTTTGTTTTTGATGCTTTGCCAAGGCTTCCTCTATCACTACATGCATCTTTTACTGTACATATTCAAAACAGAAATTTATACTGTATGCAAAATACAAACAAACATGATTGCAAGTACTTGTAGTAGTTATCGCCTTTTTCTCATAACATACATATTACAAGCCCACAGGTTATACATATCATACATTTTGTTGTGCGTGCTTTGTATGCCAATGGATGACACCGCACGATAACAAAAGGGAGTAACACAAATTCAATTTAAGCTTTTTTGTTGTTGAGGGTGCATAGTACTACAGAAGCGTGCATACTTTAATGGCATACTACACTATCCACAAACAGAAAACAATTGGATATAATACATAGTGAGGGGGGGAAACAAGCAGAAGAAGGTTGCTTGTATACTGTTGGAGCACAGGATCCTTCTTTTCACGGGCCAGCCGGAGTTATTCTACTAGAGTAAATGACGGTACATACAAAAGTCATCGTCACCGCTCTTCTTCTAATGCTTTGCGTGGAGGAAGTATTGCTTGATGTTGTTGTTGTTTTTCATGATGATGATGATGATGCCTAGTATCTTGCAGTAATAACAGTGATTCCTGTTGCTGGAGCTTTCTCTCTGTATACCGTAATTTTTCATTCAACCGATCCTTTTCCCGCCTTACTTGATCCAACTCTTGCTTTAATCGATGATTTTCCTGTACCAGACGATTGTTTTGCTGGATCCAAATCAACGCTTCATCCATATTCGAGGTGGTCTTCAATGGTATATGTGATGAGTTTGCGTAGGCCCAGGTACTTGGAAATTCTGATGCATAATTTGGCGGGAGCAGAGTGCTTTGTGATCGTTCGTGGCCTCGTGATCTACCGCTATTATTGCTACGACTAATTTTGCCACCACCACCGCCATCGCCGCTGCTATTTGTGTTTCGTTTTGAGGAAGAAGGCGGAGGCGTAGAGACCGTAGGCGTCTATCAGATAATGTTACACAAACAATAACCGATCAGAAAACAGAACCTTTTTTTTAGGGATTTGAAGAAAATACAGCAAAATATTTACTGGCGTTGGATGATGAGCAGGTCGTGCCATAATACTAGGTGGCGGTAAAGGATATGCTCTAATAGGCACCGAAAACGAAAAAGGGAAGGTCAGGATATAGGTACCCGTGAATATCATCTGGTCGTTGAGCCATAGGAACTAATGACTTACTCTTCGTTGAAAGAGGTGGGTGAAGTGGCGATTGTTGATTCCGTTGGAGACGACGCATTAGTAATAGTAGATGGAAAGTCCAAAGCTTTATCATTTCGCCATCGTAGAGATGATGCTGACATTCGTTTGTTTGGCAATGTTATGCTTTGGGTTTGCGTCAGTGGCGTATTCATGCTCCTCCGCTTCTGTTGGTAGTCTTTGAGCTGGATGATGCAGTACCCAAAATTATTTGTTAGTTGCCAGATAGAGAGAACCCTTTTGTAAAATGGGTTCAGCACATACCTTTTTCCGTCCTGCCTCCAAAAGTTCTTGCCGAGGAACTTGCGATGACATGTCAGTAAAGGCATTCACGCTATAGCAGTATACACGAAACGCTAAAAATGAAAGGGCTTACCCCGCCTCGGTTGAGGTTCGAGATTTCTGGAACATAAGCGGGCAATTTTCAAAGTGCGATATAGCTTTAAAAGAAGTGTGATCTACGCTGTGTGTAACCTTTCTAGCTGGATCGGGTAACTCCAAAAGAACTTCTTGCTTTTTTTTCTCAATGACAGGTAGCCATAATCACAATATATTGCCAGGCTTTACGTCTTTATTTAGAGACTGGTTCTCGTAAAGTCGGGATTTTTCATAATAACAACAGTAAAAGCATGAGCCACCCAAGAAGCGGGATGAGCAAATTCATGCGGCATGTTCTTCACTAAGCGCACTATAATAAGCGGATGTTGAGCACTGTGTAGGTGTGTGGCAAGGGGTTTCGCTCAGAATACCAGGTTTCCGCAGGTAGATTGCAATTTATAACAAGGAGTGCAAAGATAGCAATAGAGTACGTGATTATAAAACATAACAGGCTTTCATATGCTTTCAAAGTAGCTTGAAATTTAGTCCTTACCTTCAAAAATCGGCACTTGCCAATACAAATACCTTTTCTCCCAGTTTTATTTTGACTTTCACTATCTCAACATCAGCAAAACATCCTAGATACGACTATATCATTAGCTTCGACGCCTGAGGAGACACACATTGCACCATCACGCTTGATTGCCAATATCATCCAGCCAATGATAGCAGCAGCAAACATATATCAATAATCCAAGCAGCTCTAATAGCTGCAAGAGCCAGCACAAGCAGAAGCACTGTCAAGAAGCATTTTAGTTGGTCTTCCGGCAAGGCGTGCCAAACGGCGTTGTATGTACAGTTGAACCCCGGTTTTTGCAACACCTGCGTTTGCAATTCCTCGTATATCTGCAACTTTTTTTTGAAAAATCCAAAAAAAAACTTAGTAGTTTCGCACATTTGCAACTTGCAAATGAGTTTATACGATTTGCACGTTATCGGGGTAAAAACAGCTTCAATTTTTTCAATATCAACTGAAAGAAGCATCTGTTGCGTATTATCGAGGAATAAAATGATACGGTTACTGCACTAGACAGCTTCAATAAAAGAACGGTCTTATATATGCAAGTAGTAACATTTAGAGCTATGTGAAATCCCCACAGAACGTATCGTACATCATCTCTAACAGATAAACAATGGGTTAGTGTATATAGAAGGATGACTTATCCAGTGTCTATTTGAAGCAGAATTGTTTACCCCGTTACTTGCAAATCCTCACTTTGTGCAAAAAAAAATCGGAAAACCCTCGGTTGCAAAAACCGGGGTACAACTGTAAAACGTGCAAAGCATGCGAATGTAATGGCAAAAACAATGGTGCTAGATGTCCTCAAACAGTCATCAGAGTACCATTGAATAGAACATTTCTTTAATGAAGTTGCACTGATAAACTCAAAACGTTTGGGTATTGGATAGGTGGCAAAATGACTTTAAAAGCTGTCAAGCACCACCTATGATAACCGTGTCCAGCTTTTACAGTAGAGTTTCTATTCGTTCGTGCTGTCCAGACTTATTTTTTCACCAAGATGTATTTTCCACTAAGAGCGCTAATTAGCTAAGTTACTAAAGTTGGCAACACAGCCCCACCCGTATTATCTGCGCCCAGGGCCGTATTTCATAACAAACATTTCTGCTGGCGATTATTTTCGCAAACGTAGAAGGTAAAAAAGACTAAAAAAAGGTATAAAAAACGCTTGCACAATTGCAATAAAACGCGTTGTGATTGTGTGTAACTGTTGGCTAGGATACATAAAATCTGTTTTTTTTTTGTTCGCGATCTCTGGACTTGTCGTGCACAAAAAAATAGACGTTCCGCATTGACAACACACAAGCAGAACCTCCATGGAAGTGACAAGTTCCATGTCCCCAACGCTGAAAACATCAAAGGTTACGCAGGTCAAAAGAGCAAAGGCCGGTAGAAAAAAGGAAACGTTATCTTTATGATCATCAAACTCTTTGAGTAAAAAGCTTATTTCGTAAAACAATGAGAAGAGTGCGAGAAGAAAAAAGATTTGTTTATTTTGTTTATCATTTTCTTATTTGTGTTTAATAAATAATAATCTGTTCGTTTAAAACCCACCACATAGCACGGGCATCACGTGCACCCGAAGGTGCACGATCACTTGCCCGAGTACATGTCCACATTCCCACTGGTACATTGCAAGAGTCCCCTCAGGGCAGACCACTGAATCTAGCGAATCATTGAAGAGTCTTAACAATCGCCAGCACAGGCATTTGGACTGGTCATTGCACAGAGCGGTGAATCTGCACTATAGCCAAACGCCGTACCAAAACGAACTAAAGTTAAGAAGAAGAAAAAGAAAGCGAAACTGCTCGCTTTATATAGACATTTCTTCTCGTTTGTATCAACTTGTGGGTTGTCTACAATGACATAACAAAAGATACAGCACCAAAGGAAAGGAAAGGGGGTGTGCTTGGTGGTCAAGTAGACAGCCATGCTGCGGCGGTAGTGGTACGTGTCTCTCACTTTGCGGAGTTGTACCCTCCGATGGTATCGCCGCTTGTTTGTGAGTGGGCCGTGCACTGGACCAGGTCGAGGGAAAAAGCAAAGACACGGCTGCGAATGAGCAAGTCGAATCACGGAAGATAAGCTTCTCAGCGAGCCAGTATATAGAGTAAGATCGATGTACGCTGATAGACTGTATGACGCGTTAACTGCTAAAAAAGTGGTGTCCTTGCATTTCTGGTATGTTTATGGACGAGATAGGTGAATAGCAGCCTACGCTGACAACACATACTCGTGTATACCACAATCCTTTCTATACTTCCTATACCGATATATCTCTCATGGTTCAAAACTATGATATAAGAGACATATTTATACATAAGCAGCTCAAGCATTTCATTTACTTTTGGATCAAACCAAACGTCTAGCATTGCCCTTGTTTGATCTTTATGCTTTCGTATATGAAAGAACACGATCCTACCAGCAGCCAGCGTCCATTTCTTTTTTTCCATCCAGCAAGTCAAACAACATAGATGTATGATATATTTTTGCTTGTAGCTCACAAATTATTCATTATATTTTGATTATATGTGTAGTGCATAATGTTGTGTGGGTGCGGACATAAATACTGAGTGTCTTTGAAAATACAGCTAGTGAAGTTGCACTGATAAACTCGATACTTCCTACATACTGAAAAAGTGACACTACTGTAAGTACTATCGCCCCTACCTATAATACTCGGGCCAATAATCGGCAGAATCTCCAAAATTATACTGGCTCTCACATGCGGCCAACGGGGTGAGTCAACTATTCGATGTACGTGTATTCACCAAATAAAGCCATTGAACGTGTGCTTATGATACCAAGAGAAGCTGCGATAATTAATCTTGCAATAACAAAGTAAACATCAGTCGAAGGCCCTCCGTTGTTGCTGGTGTTTACGTGGTGTGGCTGATTATTTGTTTATGATCAATTTCCATATTTAGCTTCAGGCAAGCAGCCAAAGTTATGGTACGTATTATATCGCATTACCTTACCGTACAGTCTACGGGAAAGCGATGTGTTAAATCAACCCGATGTATGCATAAATGAGTCAATTCTCTCTTCGGACTTTGGAGGCTGATGCTCATTGCTCGGGCCTCGGGAGACAGATACTCCCGAGTCATCCCCCCCACCAAACCTGAATATTCCAAATCGCTCTTCCTTTTGCTCTGAATACGTTTTTCTTCTTTCGTGTCTAAGGAGCACACACCACGACGCTTATACATATACTCGCAAGTCTAACCCGTACAATTTTTTTGAACACTATAGTTTCAATACTTTCTTTAGCATATCACTACTATTATTCCCCAAAATGAACGACTTTCTACAAACAACAACGGTCAACCGCGCCGGAGGCACCGCAGCTTTAATCGGTGCTGCTACACTAGGCATCTTGGCCCTCAAATACAATGATCGAGCAATGTTCACAACCCGTCGAGAAGGCACAACTACGCTCCGCGGTATTCCTTTGTTTGGAATACTTTTTGACCAGATTAATAACAAGGAGCGCATCCTCGACTGGTTTAATGAAAATATTAACAAGTTGGATACTATGCGATCCATTCAGTGATTATACAACCAGAAGTGCGATCTCTGGCGTGCCGGTGGAGATTCTTTTTAAAAACTTGCCGACCACAGTGCATCCAACTTTATTCTGTTTCAATGTAAAAGAGCTTTAAAAAGGCGCCATCCATCATCATCATCAATTATCGAAGAACGTATCATAGTAAAAAAGCTGTTCGACGAGTGCAATATCTGCAAATGCATGTGTCACTGTTGCTCATATGCAACTGTAATAGTAACGGCGTTGATACTTGAGGCATGGTCCTAAACTGTGATAATATACGCTATACCTATGAGAACCTTGCTTTTGATTAATGGCACAGCAAGACGTAAATGCTTCATTTGATAGTACACATTGTATATACATGCACATGATTTAGAAACACCTTTGAAGTCTGATTTGATATAGGTAGCACCGTCTATCGTATATTCCACACAAATGATAAAAGAGCTTGGCGGAGGAGCACAGCGCCAAGATTCACCCGAACTTTACAGATGAATGTCTAGTGGAGATGCTCTTTGTAATTCTCTCATACCTTCCTTTCTCCCTCTATGTGAGTGTCTATCTGTGCGCGAAGATCGGCATACTCTCAATGCAACGGCATGGCATGGAAACTGGAGAAGTGGCGTTCCATCCTAGGATCAAGAACATCTTTGAATAGAATATAGTAGTTGTACCGCAATTTAGCGTTGCATCTAAAAAGAAGAGAGAGCATATGAGTATTGTGATGATAGAGCTTTAATAAAGATAATAAGGGACAAGATTAAGTATCTTTGAGATGATGTTTTATTCCAACAAAAGATAAAGCTCTTTTATATTCTAGCTATTAAGACGGCGATATCAATTCATCCGACTGATGGATAAACTATGTGTTAGAGGATGGATCAAGGACGTATCAGAACTTCTCCTGAAGTCGTTATGTCAATCGGGCACATCTTTGAAACCGGCGTTAGCTGATGTAATGGCCGAGGTACCTGTTGATAGGTTCATTGTCCTGTTCACGTAAGGTGAATCATCCGAGTAAGAGATTTTATTCAATAGTGTTTAGCCGGAATGCCGTAGTGTTCATACGTGTGTGCTATAATGTTTAACCGAATATCTTATTGTTGATATCTTAAGCAGTGTATTAATGTGGTTCACCACAAGTATTGCAAATGTCGAGGATCTTAAATAAAGAGTTTGACCTATATGTGCATTTATTAGAGTCATCAGTTTCCCGAGCGAGGGTCGAAAAACATCATGATCGACGTGAACGAATGCAGGCAAGGAGTGATGACGTCCACGTAGTTGTAGAATACAGAGGTACTTGGTGTTTTGCAGTATAGAAAATCACCCCACCAAGGGGCTCAGTAAAAGGATCAACCTGGAATTACATATGACGCTTAGCATGAATGTGACTCTCGTGGGAAACATTATCATAGATCCAACAGCTCATGGCTAGCAATGCAACCCTATGTGTGGCAGTAATATATGCGGGCCTGGCCTTGGTAGCTAATATAGTATTTTAATGCGGATTTCAAATTTAGATTGGCTGTACAATATTAAAATGTAGGTATATGTCGTTGAGAGACAGAGAGAAAACTAATACATAGACGCCACTATCAATGACGCTAAACGCACATCCGCTTTCCTCTATGATGGCCATCTTGATGTTCCTGGTGTGTGCACATGCATTATGAGACCTTACGGACTGCGTGTAACCCGGTCGAGCATCGATGTTTTAATGCGAGCTGCTCTGTGCTATTTAAACAAGAAAAGAGAGACTTGATTTATATTGCTTCCCGATCAAAACCACTCTCTTCCGTCTCTTCTCCTCGTCCACATAAAGCACTTCTTTTCTCACTCCCACTTCTCTTTTAGGGAACGAACGTCACCAACAAAGGTAACGACAAGCACTAGCAGACGCGTAACGAAGGTGACCTGTAGATAAGCAATGTACCAGCAACACCACCAGAACGATGGCCGTAGCGTCAACAGCAGCAGCCGCAACAGCGACAAGAATGAAGAGTTCTTTTTGGACGATCATCCTAGAGACAATGCAGATGCACCGCCAGAGTACAAAAACGCATGGACATAGACAGCGAGAGTCTGCTAATCTCCTGGATGTCACACGCGCCTGTACTTTCAAACGCGCGTAAGAGCACAACGTGTAGTGAGGCTTCTGTAAGCATTGTTCCGATTGCCACTTGGAATCACGGATCGCCAATATTGCTTCCCAAAAGACAATGCCCCCGTCATGCGCCCTTATCGATAGTCTAGGCATTGTGTAACCTCAGTGTCGAGTAGAAGAAAAGGCGTCATCATACTTTAACAAGTGGAGACACTTTGTGAGAGCCATGTAGAAAGACAAGACTAGTGTGTACGTGTAGCCTGAAGTGAGCACATTGCAAAGGGGAATGTCAGTGAGGTTGCATTCCGAATGCCTCGGGAGACGACAGACCCATAGTTCGGCGTGTCCAGAGTGTGCTTGTCGGTGTAACATGGCATCACCTGGGCTGGCAAGTGACGCTGTCAATTTTCTTTTTTTTCTTTTTTGGATCAGTTGACCAAGCGAACAGATAAGATATAAAAGCACGGTCTGGTTTTACAAACTGTTTGGACAATGCATTGGCGCGCAGTCTTAGATGAGTCGCCATGGAATCAAACGATTGCATTACAGTATTTGCAGGACCTAAAGGCACGTTACCCCTCCATAGCACCCATAACAGAATAAGCAACATATTTTATTGGGGCTCAGAGCCCTCAATTTAAATAAACTTTACTCATACAAAAAAAAAAAGATATAAAAGCACTACATCATGGAGATAATTTTTGCTACTTTGCTCCTCTCTCTCTCTCTTTCTTTTCTTTTGAATCATGAAAATTGTGACCAAGATTTCGAATGCAAAAAAGTACCCGTGCACAGTGTCGACGAGCATAACGATGAACCGGGATGGCCGCGTCCAAAAGTTTGTCGTTTCAGCCAGGACTACCCGTAGCAGCAGAAGCAGTGGCAGCAGTGGCAGCAGTGGCAGCAGTGGCAGCAGTGGCAGCAGTGGCAGCAGTGGCAGCAGTGGCAGTGGTAGCAGTGGCAGCAGTGACAGTAGCAGCATTGGCAGTAGCAGTGGTAGCGGTATGTAGTAGTAGCAGTATGTAGATTAATAAAAGCATTAAAAAAAAGGCAGCATTGCGCTGTATAAAATCAAAAGATACGTCGCCGTATTTCTGCTGTTACGTACCCGTGTGTGTGTTTTTGAGTGTGTTTTTCAGTAACTTAAGTCATCAGGCATGCGAATGGGCCCACGAGTACTATGGGGACTCAGGCACAGGATATGATTATTAGACGCTAAAGTCGCTTCCCAACTGTTGTGACGTGCTGACTAAAGCATTCATTGATGGTAAAGACCGTTGGAGTGTCCGATGGATACATGTAATTATGTATACTCGGATAATGATGCTCATGTTTCCCATACGCTTCCGTCACTGTTGTTGTTAACGCAGGACAATTGCTGTGTAAATCAATTATTATAGGTACGCTTCTGCTTTATTCATTCCTCCTATGGTCATGACCATCCAGCCCGGAAAATGTTAGTTGGATCTTAAAAGGTAACATCCCCATCTTGCTCTTTTGTTATAGCGCATTTTCCATCGTTCGCGCGCATGCAGATCTTCCTTATTTGGGACAATTTCTCTATAGCAAACATCACTATAACGTTGTCTTCTTTTTTAGACAACTTTTCGAACTATGTCAAAGATGATAACTTTATGTAAGGACACTCACAAGATAATTGGCTCCTTTACGGTGTGTATTGAATGGCTCCAAGCAAATTCTGAAATGCTCTACATAATATTAGTCACTCGGGTAGAGACCTTTTTGGCCACGGTATATTTCTTGCAAATGGTACGTGAATGATCACCAGTTTGTACGACCCCTTTTATAGAAAGCTGCATCAATGCCTTTTCAATCGATGAACGATAATTATGACATAATTTAACCTCTTTTTTATGTATAGGAGAGCAATGGAGGTACCAAAGAAAGGCTGCTAGCTTGATTTTCAACGTTGCTAACTTCCGAGATCAATTTACTCCGTAAGTTTCTTGATTTTTCGAATCATTTAATTCAGTATTCATACTTGAAGGATTAATACTGACACGTGATTCGTTCACTTGTTTATTCATATTTTTACATAAACAATGATACGTATATATGTAGGGTTTTCGTGAAAGATATGAACGTTATGTCTGAGCATATTTTTGATAAAAAAGCCACCAGTGGAGAATCGGTTGACTTCCATGATGCCATTTACAAGTATACTTTGGAATCGTTTGTCTAGTACGTAATAAGTAGTAATATCTATAATTTATGTATATGATACATCATTGAAGCTATGATACTGCTGTTACTGACTTGGCACTATATTGACGTATCTATCTATAAAATGTGTATAGTCTCGGATTTGGACGGCAGCTCAATGTTTTGACCAGTAAAGATAAGGTTCCATTCGCCGTTTCCTTTGATTATTGTCAAAAAGTCGTATTCGAGCGCATTGTTGATCCATTCACAGACCTTCGCGATAAACTCAAGTCTTTCCTTCATCCAAAGGAGATGAGTCACAAGGAGCATATTAAGGTGATTGACGAGTTTGCATACTCTTTAAGTAATGATCGAAAGGAGCAGCTCGAACAAGGTCACGAGTACAAAGATTTGCTATCAAGGTTCATGACTGCACGTAATGAGAATGGTCAGTTGTTGAACGATCAAGAGCTACGTGATACGGTTTTCAACTTCATCATTGCCGGACGGGACACAACTGCTCAAGCACTGTCTTAGGACTCTGTATCACCTACTCACACATCCCAGAGTCGAAGGTAAACTCGTAGCTGAGGTGGATCAGTTTGTTTCCGACGAGGTAGAAAGCGATGCTCCAGAATTCTATGAAACTATCAAGAAGATGAATTATGCACACGCTGTGTACGTGAAGTTTCTCTCTTTTTTCGTTTTATAACTGTGTGTCTGCTATTGTATCGATGTGCTGCTGACAATCATCCTGTACCTCTAATGACGTTCTAGACTCTATGAAACCTTACGTCTAGAGCCTGTAGTTCCAAGCAATGCTAAGATGGCTATACAAGACGACGTTCTCCCTGATGGTACCCACGTACGCAAAGGCGATCTAGTCCAATGGAGTCCTTACGCGATGGGACGGTCCAAAAGAATTTGGGGATCCGACGCAGAAGAATTTAAACCTGAACGATGGATTACACCTGAAGGTGGATTGCACCGCGAATCTGCAGCCAAATGGCCTGCGTTCCATGTTGGTCCGAGAATCTGCCTAGGTATGATAACAAGCTGAGTAAGAGAAAAAATCAATAGACTCCACACCAAACTATACTCTACAGTGATGCTACCTTATCTGTTGCTGTTGGTAGTTCCTACATACAGCGATTGTCGGTGCTTCCGCTCCAGTCAGCAAAGTATGGTTTTGTGGACAATTCGCTGTTTCGCCTAGCATTATTCTACTCGACACGAGTGTAAAGCATTACGATTTAAGCGGCGATCATGACACGGCTGCATATCAGCATGTCAAAAAACACATTGAGCATCCATGTGTATATGTATGCTCATAAACTACAGTGCTACCATATGTCATGCTGGCTCTTATAGTTTTAAGCGACGAGCGGCCAAATGCTTGGGTGTGTTCCACCATCATGTGTGTATAATCGATCGAACGAACGAATGGAAAGGGACAGCTCATCCATCAAGGACGATCAAGAGTGACACGCTTGTTCAAAGCACTTATTATTTCTAATTTCGAACTTTGGAAGGCAATCGAGTGTGATCAACGCCATTCACTTCGAATTGTTGTCATTCGACAACGTTGATTCAGGTTGTGTCTCTTTCCACAAGCACTGACGACACTCACAACGACTGCTCTTTTTTATATCATTTTCTTTGTTTTAAATTGTGCCCAATGACACTGCGCTTCTTTTGAAAAGAAAACACACGTCATTAGGACTTAAAGTGGTGATATCTTGCCCCCACGGGCTTATTGGGGAGAAATATGGTTTTTCACACACACGCGTGTCTGCTTGCTCACTCTCACAGGGGGGACCATCCAGGGGCTTTCGGGGTGCCCCAGCTAAGAGTAAAAAAGGAACTGTTAGTAGCCGGGTACTTTCTATCCTAGATACAAAAAGAGTGACAATGAACGATAAAGAAAAATAAAAAGGCGGACAAGACAGGGTGGGGGAAAGGCAACGAGTCGGCGTAGTGGACGTATACTTTTTATTAGCTGTCCTTCTAGCTATATTCTGGGAGCCGGTATTCCTCGCATATGCAAAAAACGCAACACTGCACTGCCAATAGCCAACCCTACCAACCTGCTCCTTCTCTCCCCAAAGGAGCAGTCGTAGGCGTCCCCTGAAGGATGGGTGAGGGAATCTAGGGGACCGGATGAGAGAGTGAGCAAGCAGTCGTTTGTGTGTGAAAAAAAAGGTAGGAGAGGAAAGGGAAAGGAAAGGAAAGGAAAGGAAAATCTGGACCGGTTCTTTTTATCTTTGGTCTTATTTTTTTTTTTGACGTCCCGCCCAACCGCCGCAGCATGCTCATCACATGGCTTTCTCTTTCATAACGTAGTCATTAAGGGCAGTGACTTGCATGAGATGGTGATGGTTGGTGTTGCCTATGAGCACGGCTCACTGCGATACTGGAAGTGTGTGCACCGTATGCAGCTCATTGTTCTCTCTAGATTCTTTTTTAAGACACCGCCATGTCAATACGACGCGACCTTTGTGGCCTGTCAGTGACCTGGCAGCATATTCAAATGAGTGTTTACGCTGATGTCGGTTTGTTTGATACAGACTGCCCGTACTGGGAAATGATATCGACTGTGGTTTTGCCCTACTTGTTCTCCGCTGTTGCGATAGTTCTGTCCAATAAAGAGCCTGATTCTTTCATGTGAAGATATGTACTGTCATGTGTATCTTTTGATCCGCTACTGTCCAAATTGCCACTGGCTGCATTTCCAAGTCAAGAAGCAGTTGTTGATGGGGGAACAGCACATTGCGTACGTTGACAGGCGGTCGACCTTGTCTCAACATGTAATGGTTTGTTAAATTACGACGCATTGCTTTTTAAAGCTTCAAGGGAAATTTCGATCAATAGACGCGCCACCCAAACGGATACCTGATATGATTGATGAGTAGCTTACAGAGCATGTACCAGCAAAGAATTTCTTTTCTTAAAGTTGCCAAATGGCTATCAAGTATGCGTGGCTGGGAACGATGTGTGTCGAGTAAAGCGCCTCGCGAATGAAGGCTCGATGGCTTCGATAATGATTGCTGTCGATTTTTCCAAAAGAATGGCTCTGATATGCAGTATCGCATGCGATTGTCACGGGTGTAATTAACCAATGTTTATTGATAGATACTGCTCTGATAAGAAATAGGGGCTGTACTACTGATTGGGGGGAGATGGGAGAGATGGAAGGGGGAGCTACGACTATTACATCACAATTGCGGATATCATAGCTAGTCTAGCTTTTACAAAAGAAAGGTCTTGTCTTGCCTTGGGTGCGCGCATCGTGAGATGCAAAAAACCGCTCACTGACCTTTTTGATCGTTAGTTCTGTATGCAAGGTGAACGCGGTCAGCCTTTTTGAAGCTCTACTGAAAGAGAGAAAAAGAGAGAGAAAGAGAGAGAGAAAGCAAGAGAAGGAGAGCCACCACTAGTTCAGCGATACAGTTCCCAACAGCTTCAACATTAGGGTGTATGCTAATTAGCTATATCGTCGTCTTCAAGCTATGTCTCAAGTGATTTACATCGATTTCCCTATCATAGTCCCCAGGTGAACTTGCCGGCAGCCTCCTCCGGAAATCCTGTACCTTTGTCGAGATCATATTGTAGATGCGGCTGGCATCGAAAGGTGTGTCATCAAATATATATCGCCAATGTGATGCCCAGATGAGGTGGACGGCGATGATGATCGTGTGTGGTGGGATCGTGGCGGTGGTCTTGGACCGAGGTGGATCGAGCGTGTGGCAATAAGCATTGAGCTCTTGAAAATTATAGGAGCAATGATGGTGTCGGAGCATGCGTTGCCAAAGCGGTTGTTTGGAGGGACAAGTAAAGAAATAATGGTCTACTACCGCCTCGGTGACATGCTGGCAGAGGCGGCATCGCGCGTCGTCGAACCGGTCAGGCATGTGTCGATGCGCAGAATAAGCAGGCGCCACCACGTCGTCCGTGCATAGTGAGGTAGTTGCATCGCCCAGAAACGCCTCCACGGGATAGAAGCGGTGAGGGTGGGGAATGATGGTGTGTGGAGACAGTTTTGCGGAGGATAGAAGTTGTGAGGTTGTTTAGTGAATGATTGTTGACCAATGGAATTAGGGAGATAAGAGGCCCCTCATTAATGACCGTGGTCGGTCCAAAGCTCAATACTGTGCAAACGTTTGCTTAAAATTCAGCATGGAGCTTGGTGGTTTGAATGCTTGTTTGCCAGCAGAGCAAACCCCTTTCGTCTCCCAGCGACCGACAATCGTATTTGGCGCCGATGTGACACATCCATCACCTGGTAACATGAACCAAGCCTCTATTGCCGCCTTGACGGCTTGCATGGATATGCGAGCCACGCGCTACTCGAGTGCCATCAGAATGTAAGCTATAAAACACGGGAATTACAAGTGATTCGAAGGGTATGGTCAAAATGCTTCAAGAGACGCTTCATCAATCATGCGGTCAGAAGCCGCTACGGGTGTTATTTTCTCATGACAGAGTCGCCGACAGTCAGGTTCAGACTGTTCGAATTGAAGAGATTCGGGTAATCCACAGTGTATGTGAGGAGCTTGACAACGAGTACAAAACCACAGTGACATTTGTGGTGGCTCAAAAGCGACATCATGTCCGTTTCTTTTCTATTCAACCAGAAGGTGCGGATCGCTCGATTGGAAGCTGCAAGCCAGGCACTAGATTTTTGATACAGATATTGTTCATTCTTTTCAGTTTGACTTTTGTAGCTTCCTTAGATGTATACTTCCAGTATTCAAAGCTTAGTTGTAAACATACGTGCGCTAGGAGTAGCGATGAAAAACTGTTTTATCCCATCAAAGAGACCTGTTATCTCTCTCATCCTGGGCTACAACGCTCGGCAAACGCATGATGTTTTATATTATCATTATTACCTAAGTTTGTATTATAAATTTTCATGGCTAGAGTACATAGTAGCCAGTTTATATGGCAGCTGTAGACACAGCCTCACTGATTTTCTCGTATTGTATTTCATACTGTTAAGAAAGATTGGATTGACCGGCGCCATAAAGCAGTCGCTTTCTTACTACTGTATTATATGTCATTTTTAACTTTTTTTTTTGCATATCTTATTGTTACAAACATATAAAAAAAACTATATCATATGATGTCTTGCTCTCCTAATAGAGCTGAATATATTTTAACGTACTCACAGACAACATCTTCAATTTGGAAATGTATATTTGTACATGTAGGCCAATCACTAGCGACACTTGAAGCTTTGGTAGCTCTTTCTATGCTTATGAAGCGATACAAATTCTCACTTGCTCCAAATAAGAACATTATCATACTTACAGCATGTCCTTGACACATCCGATGAAGAATGGTTTGAATGTTTTTGTGGAAAAACGTCGTTTGATAGGATAGTTTGCTTAATTTTATTTCCTGCTGCGTTGTATACAACACTTTGTATACTTTTGTTTTTGAAGTTTCATTGATATGACGTTTTTTGCAATTAATGTTACAATATATTTCCTTGAATATTACCATATTTCCACTGACGACATGCAACCAAATAAAAATATACATTATTGTCTCTTTGAGCAACGGTATGATTGCGAAACCATTGATGAGACGGACGGCAGATATATTGTCTACGTTCTACATGTCGCTGTAACGTAAAATACATGACGACAGTCGAGCAAATTTGGAATCATATTCCAAGGGCAAGAGAAGCAACAAACTGTCCTTGAAGACATCAAAATTTCTGGGCACATATTAAATCTCATGTTACTCACCGTAGAAACGCGACAGTGATTAAACAAGGGGTTTATTCAGACCTTGAAGCCAAGTGGAACGGCAATGCACTGGACCGTTACCAAAGCGCCCGAATATCCTGTAATCAAAGTTATCGTTAGCCGATGTTATTCGTTTTGCAAGCTTCACACAGCTAATGCCCATAACACTGCTGAATTTACAGCGATCACAAAAGAACGGGTGAAGGGATTATATGCATAACTGATGCGAGACCAACAGGTAATACAGCACACAATTGTCCGTCAGTATTGTATATGCTACTACGTAGTACGATGATTAGTGTTGCTGCTGCTATCGCTTACTCTTGATTACTATTTTGATCCTAGCCAGTACCTTTTACATAAGCTGTAGTGTTTAGCAAGAGTGATGAACATCTGAACGATATTTAAGCTTCAGCTACTGACTATTATATATGTTCTATTTTAATAGCAGGAGCAGATGTGAAGCCAAAGACAAAGTTTTAGCATTTGTAAGTACATGATCGGTCTTCTCACAGTGCTTGCCGAAGAGCGTGAGCTGCAATACTGAAACACGGTACTAGGTACTAGATAGATTTCGATGGACGTGAAAGCTATTACTAAGGGCCGTGATCTGGTCGATTCTGTGGTCAGACACAGCCATCTTAAACTATGTATTCTGTCGTGGAACAGTTATTTCGAATTCCGGCACCTCTGTTGAAGAAGCTCTACAGTATAACTTCGTTAAAAAGTTTGTTACTACCGAATAAGGCTCCTTTAGGTACTATTCCTTTCTTTTAAGGTTCTTCGTCTATGCTAAAGATCCAGAATACTTTAGTGTTCTTTAGATTCGTGTTCTCATAATCCTATACATGGACAGATTTATCAGGTAGCACATGGACCGACGGATGTGGGATAGTCAGGAACGCCCAGTGTTGTGGCCCGCGCACCCAGAATATTCTATTTTTGGGATCAACCGACAGCAACACGATGAGTGGTGCTTTTAGTAGGAATCAATACAATTCCCTTTTCCTTTCTACAATATCAAGAGCTTTGAACTTTAAAGTTGATACAGAGCCTACCACCTTGATGATATCCATGCAGATTATGCCTGACAATCAAGAGTGTAAGGTCGGGCTTACAGGATGTGAAACGGGCATGGTAGACCGGCCTAATAACCTAAAGATTGCACGGGCGTACCAAAGCATAAACAATCATGCATGCAACTTGGCTAAACTTTAAATAAAATGATAACCATGACAAAGGATAAATAAGTACATAGTGTCTTCAGCACTTCATTGAAGAGCATATATGTACGTACCTTTGCTGGGTGGTTATTGCAGTATTGGAAAAGTCTCAATAAACCGGCATCTTTGAAATAATATTTTCGCTAATAAGCTACTCAGTTTTGACTATGTAGAAAGGCTGAAAAAAGAGCTGCATGTAAAAGTGTTTTAAGTGGTAGTCATTCACAGCTACAGCGACAACGCGTGTGTCTGGTTACACTGTCCTCCATACCCAAGGATGTTATATTATGTACGAGAATCATCCGTACACATTCAAGAGGACAGTAAGCTGCATTGAAATGATAGTCTCCATTCTCTGTATCAAGACTGGTTGACTGTCATGTGCGTTACGAGTAAAGTGTGGTGTGAGATCTGATATGATTGGTACATGTGCGCCTCGATCGTGAAGGAAAAGCAAAGCGTTTCAATGTGTGCAAAGCCAATAATGGTTATCGTATTATGTAGCTAGAACTGATCGGTCGCATCTTGCTTACCCTGTTTCACTCTGCCTCTCTTTCTTTTTTCCTTCTTAAACCGGTTTCCATCATATTATTACTTCTTTTTGCTTCCTTTACGATTTTTGATTGCACTCAGCGCTTTACAAAAAATGACTATGAGCGATACAATCAATACTGTTGTCACCCCTGACAACGTCCATGAAGTATTAAAAGACGACGTGACAGTCAAAGTTGCTATCGTTGACATAGACGGAATCCTCCGCGGAAAACTCATGCACAAGGAGAAATTTTTGGGAGCAGTAAATTCTGGCTACGGTAAATAATAAGGCGACATGAAGAGGAGAAGATGTGGAAAATGAAAATCACCACTGTTGTACATCCATCGCTTGCTCTATCCACTAACAACAGAAACTTTAAACCTCTCAGGTTTTACCGCGGGTCTCTTTGGAATCGATATGCAGGATTCGTACTACACCGTACCTGTCGAATTCAGTGGAAAAGATTATCCCTTCTTTGACTTGATTGCTAAGGTTGATCTGTCATCTTACCGTCGGATCCCTTGGGAGGAAGACACACCATTCTTCTTTGCCCAATTAATACATTCACAAACAAACGAGCCGCTTTATTGTTGTCCTCGTACGTTTTTGCAGTCAGCAGTGGATACCTGTGAGCAAGATCTGCAAGCCACTGCACATTGTGGCGTTGAATTTGAATTCATTTGTTTCAAAGGTATGACTATATGATACGACTATTGGTGCGGTATGGGGGTGATGAGGAAAAAGATATCAAGAGGTATATGCATGCAAGTGACCATGAGTGCAAAGAATACGTAAAATTAATGGTAACAGCGCTAATCTAGTATAATGGAGATTGGGTCCATCAATCGGTTCACTAACCAAGTTATAACGTGTCCTACAGAAAGTGCAGAGTCATTAGATGAAAAAGGTTACGCCAACCGCAAGCCCATAACAGTCGGGCACCATTGCTACTCACTCATACGTCCTACCAAAAATCAAGAATTTTGCTACAACGCGTTCAAATGGCTACACAAGTTCAGAGTGGATGTGGAAAGCTGGCACACGGAATTGGGACCAGGTGTATTTGAAGCAGCAATCAAGTACGCGGATGCTAAAGAAGCCGGGGACCGTTGCACTTTGTTTAAAACTTCCATGAAGCAGATCGCAATGCATCATGGAATTATGGCTTCTTTCATGGCCAAGCCATACCAAGAATTTCCAGGCTGTTCAGGTCATATACATATGAGCTTGATGGACAAACAAGGCAAAAACATGTTTTATCCCTTTGACCCGAGTGACGCATCAACAGTCCATCCACAAATGAGCAAAACGTTTGTCCACTTTTTGGCAGGTGTTTTACATGGCTTGCCAAGCATTATGGCCATTTTAGCACCTACTGTCAACAGGTATTATTACAAGCAAAAGCTATTTCAGGGAGGGGAATGGGTCTATTTCCTGTACCGGGATTGGACTAACAACAATATGATTACTCTGTGACCTGTAGCTACAAGCGATACATCCCCAACTTCTGGGCGCCTATCAGCGTATCATGGGGAGTTGAAAATCGCGCAGCTGGTGCTAGAGTGATTGTGCCTCCCACTACATCTCCCAACAGCACCAGATTTGAGCTGGTAAAGTAGACGACAATACAATTGAAAATGGTTTCAGAAGAGGATGTATCTAATTATAGTTAATTTATAATCGGTATAAAGCGTGTGCCAGGAGCAGACATCAATCCGCATTTGGCTATTGGGGCGGTCCTGAAGTGTGGACTCTGGGGCATCAAGTCAGCTCAGGAGTTGCCTGTCTCGGCGCTCGAGGAAGGCGGAAAACACGGTCAACCGCTTGCAAGATCGTTGCAAGAATCAGTGGTTGCTATGGATGCCGAATCGTCAGTCGCACGTCAGGTGCTCGGTAACACGTTTGTCGATCATTTCGTCAAGACGCGGAAGCATGAGTGGAATACGTGGCAAAACGCAGTGACTGACTATGAGTTGAAGCGCTATATGGAGCTCATTTAACGATGATCCTACTATATACTCTCAAAGACAATTTCTTTCCCTTTGTAATGTAGCGCTAAATATAGTGCATCTTTATTAAGACAACATTTCTTGATACAATATGTCTTTTTCTTCTTAATGAGTCTATCATAGAATTGATTTGGTCCCTGCCGTACGAGTATCTATATGAATTATTTGATATACTCATATGCTGATGGTTAGCCAGTTGTCATCACATTTTTGGATGTTTACATGCACCTGCGCCTATGGTAGTAATATAGGCTTTTAATGCATCTGCCGAGCACTATTGAGTATCGAGGCATGCATGCCCCCACCAAACATATGTTGCAAGTTACATATCTGCACTAACTCCTTTATGAAATTGTTTTCAGAGTTTAGTTTCTGTTGCTATAGATAGAGAACCGAAGTTGAGTCTGGGCACGGTGTAGCAAACGACATAACAGACAAGTATATATTTCGCGTTTTAATATAAATAGTTTATCTCTGCAGGTTCTAGCTGGTAACATCATACAAACGGTGAGGCTTAACGATAGTATGATGTTTCTTGAAATGACTGTATTCAATACAGTCGACCCCCGTTAACTTCAACCCTTAGGGTACCAGCATAAGTGCTGACCGTATCGAGGGTTGACGACCACCAGGGGTAGAAAATAGGCAAAATCTTGAACTGCTAAATTTGAAAGGGTACCAGCGAATCGGTTGACGCTTTCGGGGGTTGACGTTATCGGGGTTGACTGTAATATTAAGCTAACACGTCGGCAGTCGCTAACCATCATGTATAAAGCATGTAGTCATTTGAGTAAATCTCAGAACCCACCTGCATACATACATACATACATATGCTTTTATTGAAATAGCTAGTTATGCAGATTCAATACACTTGTCAGTTTTCTGTGTATACAAAAGGGTAAAAATCTTTTTCAGTAGTTTCCCTCTCTTCCCGAACCTTGACGTGATACATTTTTAAACAGATAATACCAGTAACAAGTTTTTTATAATTATCCCATACTCTTTTGCATATAATGTTAACTACCCCCATTGAATCCCAACTCTACAAGCACGTCCTCAATGCTAAAGACATGCAGATTAATCAAACATTTGATGATCCAAAAACTGACACCATCTGCATCACTAGCAACAATTGTCACCAGTCTACCATACGTACAGGAACTGTCCAGGAAATTATTCGCCAACAGCTTAAAGATATTGCGAATACAAAAGTTTCAGAGGCCACCGTCGGATACGACAATGCTTTTATTGTGGGCGACTTGGCGGATGTTCACCAGCAATACATGAAATGGAAGGCTTTACTACCGAGGATTAAGCCATTTTATGGTATGAAACTTTTTATTTTCATATTTCGAACTAAACAAATGCGAAAACATCTACTAAAGAAGCCTTTTTTTTTGTTGCTCAATGTATCTATACTACTGCTGCACCCGCTTCTAGCTGTTAAATGCAATCCTGATCAAACTGTGGTGAACTATTTAGCATCGTTAGGTGTCGGATTTGATTGTGCAAGCCAACAGGAAATTCAACAGATCCCTGAAATCGGGGTTGACCCTACCCGCATGATCTATGCGAATCCGTGCAAACAGCCTTCGTTTGTCCACTATGCTGCCAAGCACAATGTATCGCTCATGACATTTGACAATATGGATGAGCTTTACAAAATTAAGGAGGTATATCCAAACGCCAAACTCGTCTTGCGTATCTTGACAGATGATTCGAGCGCTCAAGTTCGACTTGGCTTGAAATATGGTGCACCACCTGAAACTATTGACTACCTCTTAAAAACTGCAAAGAAACTTGATTTGAATGTCGTAGGTGTGAGGTATGTATTTTATTAGAGAGAAGTACTTTGCTTGCTATTATACATCAATCCCTAAATACAAATATCTGATACTTGTACATATGTCTAATTATAACGAAATCTGTACACAAAGCTTTCATGTCGGTAGTGGATGCACAGACGCTCAGGCATACGCGGACGCCGTGGCACTTGCTCGGAATGTGTTTGCTCAAGCAGAAGCGATCGGTTACCGCATGACTTTGCTGAACTGCGGGGGTGGGATGTCTGGAAGCAATAATGAGCATGGCATTACGTTTGAAGACGTAGCTGCAACCCTCGGACAGGCAGTGGATAAACTCTTTCCATCGCCGGATATAGAAGTCATTGCAGAACCCGGTCGGTTTTTTGTTTCCTCGGCATTTACAGCATGTGTGCAAGTGATTGGTCGTCGCGCATTGATTCCGGAAGAAGAATCTGCAGATATACAACAACAAAAATACATGTGTAAGTGACAAGTTTTCACATGCATAATATTAGGTACGTTATGTTTACAAATGTTCATCTTTGATTACCTGTAGACTATCTAAACGATGGACTGTTTGGATCGTATCTGATGCGATTTACTGACAATGAGCGTCTTAATTTCCGAGGTAATATATAGTTGCTTCTTCTTTGTTGTATAATCTTGCAGAGAGTACCCCAGATCATCAAATTTAACTCAACATTTTCATTCATAAATTTTCTTTGTGTATATACAGTGGTATTCAAGAATGGCGTCTTTGTTTATGAAGACAAAAAACAACAAGAAGAGGCCCCCACTTTTATATCCAATGTTTGGGGCCCAACGTGCTCTTCGTTTGATAGTCTTCTTCAAGACGTGCGTTTGCCGCGCCTAGAATTAGGTGATTGGATCTGCCAAGAGAATATGGGAGCTTACGCAACGTGTGCTGCGACCAATTTTAATGGATTCGAAAAAACAAAAATTATTTACACAAATAGCACATCAATTGGTCCGCACAACAATGGGATGTAAATGGTCTTTTCCTGCTCCATTTATCTTCTAGTTGATGTCGCTTTCACTTGTGAACAAACAACAATTTGCGTTGAATTTAATAACAAAAAGCATATCTTAAGCTGTCATTTATATGTTTACAAAATGAGTTGCGCCTGTCGTCAGAGGATTGTACTACTATGTACTACTATATAGTTTAGATTTTCAGGAGTTGGTGCATCAAGTCAGATATAGTGTATTCTTTATCTTTCGTGTTATGTATTCTGTCGTCAACGAAGATGAATCACTCACAATGAAATGGCTGTCATGGTTCCGGTGTATCGTTGATGGTGAGTTTGACAAAAGTACATAGTTTTCTAAAAAGAGAGGATGGCGTATATGTACATACTACTAAGCAATGTTCATGCTTAACAGAGATGTTTTCGGTCTGGCTCTTGCTGCTGCTGATGGAAGGAGAACAAGGCTGACTCTCGAGAACTCTCGTCACCTGCCATGAACCTGTTTCCTGCGATCAAGAATTTATGCCCATTCATCCTTATGGTGACAGTTCAAGTTTCCTTGCTTTGATCTGATTCAGGAAGTTAATTAAAGCGTCTATTGTGTTCATGTATATTTTATTCGCCTCCCCTTTACAATCCCTGTATCGTCTAGTATATGGCCACTTTTCGGTATCATTCTTCGGATGTTGCATCTCCTCGCACGAACGGCATACTCTTCAACCAACTTCAGGGTGTAAGTCCTGTCTTCCATCATGTATCCCAGCCACGGGTCAAAAGTGTGCTGGGGGACACCGTAATTTCGAGAAATGCTTCGCGTAAGTATTTACTTTCTCTCTCTCTCTCTCTCTCTCTCTCTCTCTATGTGAGCATCTTGGATTTACATTAAAGGACTGAGTTTACTTTTCTTTGAGATATATAGGATACTTTCTGATACTCTAACTTATTAAAAGATGATAAAATTGAAATTACAGTAGGTCTCATGAAATAAAAAAAAAGCTGTCGTTACAGGTTATCAGCTTTCGGTTTAAAATATCCATACTGATGTGTGTGCGTTTAATCACGTAACAATAGAAGTCTCTCGTCCGGTATAGTGTAATATAGAAGCATACACATGCACGGCGCAAAACAGAACTGTATGCTTTTATAACAAGATCGCGTTATTTAGATGCAACAACACATATTCAAACAAGTTAGCTAATCTTTTAAGTGTGCAGTATTGGATGATTGCTCTTGTCGTCAACGTATTAGCTTTTGATAAGATAACTACTGGAATCCAGGGATATACATAGAAAAGTCCGAGCCCGTTTTCCCATGTATAAAGGCACACTGTTATGCATTGCATAAGGAGTTGATCAGTACTCTAGTGTAACACGCAAGGGGTAGATATAAACCGCCATGCTGATTGTCTATCTACGCTTGCTTGCTCTTTTTATCTCTCTCTCTCCAGTAAATTGATCTGTTAGTGTTAATACTACTTCCCTCCTACTCATATTTCTCCTACGATGCTACTGATGGAACTACTTGGTGGTTCTTTCAAAGAGAACAATAGTAGGATCGTAAATCCACGAATTTTAGCAGCTATTGCCACCGTAGCAGCCAGTTTAGCTTTAGTCAGCGTTTGTTATTGTACGAAATCCTTTTTGGGAGATGACCAGGATGACCGTCATAAAAAATTAAAGAAGATCCCTTCTCCAAAAGGTGTCATTCCATACTTTGGTATGCTCTACTATGAATATCACCCGTATTTAATTTCCCAATCCCTCTAAATATGGATGTTTAATCTTTGAATACCATAATGGTACGCCAACAGGTCACTATTTGCAAATCCCTATCGGAATGCCTCGTACACTTCAATTCGATAAATGGCATAAGAAATATGGTACGTCGTACAACTTTTTGTGCCATGAGATACATCATTTCTGTAGCGCATCATTAAAAAATTATATATCACAGGACCTCTTGTACGTATAAACATGGGAGTCCAGCCGTGGGTTCTGATAGGTAACTGTCAAGTTGCACATGAGCTCCTCAACGTCCAAAGTGATGCGACTTCCGGTAGGCCATTTCATCTTTTTATGACTCGGTACAACTCGTTTGGCAGGTAGATACACCGCTTTTGTCGGCCGCTTTCAATTTGCTTGTTCACGAAAAAGAGACTGAAATTTCTGTAATAACTCAGCATAATTACATGATCAATTACATAGAGGCCCCGTGTTTACAGATGCTGACAAGCAATGGAAAATGCACCGTGCTAGTGGTATGAAATGAAAGGCAGCTATTTGCAATGGATATTTATTTACAAACAATGAATTGATTCCTTCCCTTTTTTACACCAAATCACAAACTAAATCAAACTTCGTATAGTGTATTCAATTGCTGGTATGCAGGCGGTACACAGATTACACAAGATCGAAAAAGCAGCAGATAAAATCGTAGACCTACTCGTTAGAATGACGGCAGGCCCAGATAAATCTAATAGTTACAACGTAAACGTGACCGAGTATATGCACCTTTTTACATTGAATGCTATAGCCGACCCTTTGCTGGGCATGACTGCAAAATCCTTGGATGATCCTCTGTGCGCATCCGTTTTCGGAATTTTCGACAGTTCGATTAAATGGAACGGCATATTTGACGATATCTATAATCTTCTGCCAGGGCTTACAAAAATAATCGACTTTTTCGTGGGTAACGAAAGGAGGATGAAAAAGTTTATTTCTCGTAAACGAAATCCTATAATCCGTCAGTTGATCCAGCAGGCTCTAGAGGACGACGCGCCGAATGTTGTTAAAGAGCTGCACAGAGACAAAGAAAGGAACGGGTTTGACGACGATGACATCCTTGTCTTTCTAGGTATGTGTACATGTAAATTAATTAAGGAACATGATATGGTATTGATGGGCGTTTGTCTTCATATCTGTACATTGCTTAGTCAATGTCCTGAGCGCCGCAATTGATACTACGGCGACCACCATTTGCTGGACATTCCTTATTTTGTGTTGTCACCAAGATCTACAAGGCCAGCTGTACAAGGAAATCGAAACATTTGTTGTCGAACATAAAAGACTACCCACTTACAACGATAGGACAAAGCTCCCACTAATGATTTCGGTACAAAAAGAATGCATGCGCTATAGAGCAGCCATGTATAGTGCTATCCCACACAAAGTCACGAAAGATTGTAAGTGGATCTATTTTCTCTTATTTTTGGGTGATGTGGAGGTGCTGTCAAGCCCCATGCGTATCATGTGACAAGATAACGTATTGATGTCCTTTGGTATAAAAGTTGAGTATGCAGGTTACTTTTTCCCGAAAGATACAGTGCTGTTAGCAAACACGTACACAATTAATCGCGATGAGAGTTATTATCAAGATCCAGAAAAGTTTATGCCGGAGCGGTACCTCAATGATCAAAGACTTCTAATTGCTTCTGCTGACGTGAGTCCGGAATATAAACGTGACCAATTTGTATTTGGTTGGGAAGGTATGATATTCAAAGGGTATTGCTATGGATATGCTTGTGTGCCTGTAAGTATACACTAGAATCCATTGCTGATCTTCGATATTTTTGATCATCATTATGGCTATACTGTATATGGTATTTATGCAGACGTCGTTGTCCAGGTATAAACTTGGTATGTGCGGACAATAAACTTCTGATATGTGCAGTCTTTGAGAAACTTGAAGATAAGCTCTATTTATGATTTTGATAAACTCATAACATGCTTATTGTACACAGGCTGATGCTGAGGTGTTTACCATATTGATTCGGGTTTTGGCGGCAACGACGATTGAACCGCCATTGAATGATCATGGAGAACAAGTATATCCGGATCTTAACGCTGTTTTCGATGCTGGATTCGTTGCTGTACCTCTCACTCCACACGTTCGATTCATCGAACGACCTAACAAACTCGTTTCATGAACGGGCTTTAATTTGGAATTACTATCATATGTTGTTAGAAGTTTGTCACTTTAGATAAATCTGCCACGTGTAGAATATGCATGTGCAGCGATGGACTGCTGAAGGATAGCTAAAGTATAAAATAGGAAGTAGATATGACATGTTGCTATGAGCTACATTGTATAATACATTACATCGTATAAAATAATAGACTTTTTATTATTTAACTGTATTATCGGTCGATGTCCATGGCATCGCCATTATTATTATTAGGAGCGAGCGATTCATTCGCCAGTCGTTTGCTGGTTTCATAATACTGGTTTGGATGTTCAATGGTATCAATTTTGTTAGCTGTTGTTGTCGCTGTTGTCTCCCCCTTTTGTGCATGAGAGACTTCGAAATAGCGTGTACATGCGACTTGATAGTGCCGATCCCGGACCAAGTTCATGATTTCATTTACGTTTACGGTGCCAATTCGCTCAGAGTAAAGCTTGGATTCCAAGTTGTTTTGTGAGAAGTGTCGGAATGGACAGCCGTGATGATCACCTGTAGAGGGTGGATTTCCAGAGATAATTTTCATGCAGCTAACGAAAAGTACCGCTGTTAGCAAAACATCATCTTCTTCAGAAACCACAGTAACCAGTAGCAAATCACTATACTGACTTGTATGGTGCGTAACTAACGCGTCTGCCTTCCAAACCATAGTTGTGGCGAATGTTGTATGAATACTCCTTTTGAAACTTGTCGTCCGTAATGTTTGAAAATGCTGTGCGCCAAAAGACCAAAGCTTCTTCAACGGTTAAGCCAATCGCCTGGAGAAGTTTTCCATCAATTTCTCGTTCTATCCTTTTACTTTCACTCAAGCTGCATTCATTTACCTTTAAGAAGAGACCGTATTGCATGCGACCACCATGCCGTAAGTGCTTATCCGCTCGAAGAGAAGAATGCATATGTTTCATACAGAGTGGAGCGTGAAGATGGACCAGCTAAATTTGAAGAAGGAGATTAAGTGAATTTCATATCCCCACATATATACCAATCATTTCAAGTATATGAAAAATTTGTTTACCTGATCCACGTCACTTGCACGTACTGAACCGTTCACATTCGCAGAAGTGCCATAATCCTTTCCAATATACTGCTTTTCAACATTTAACAATATGGGCTTGAGTCGGTCATCTTCTTCCATGCGCGGTAAGGCTTTTGAAGTAGCCTACAAAAACAATGTTTATACTAAGCTTTCTTTTCCTGACCAAAAGTTCTTATTTTTTGTCACTAAGGATTACTTGTTCTCTCTCACATCATACCTCGAGTGCTGCCAATAGTTTTGCTCTAAATTCATCCATGACTATACTTATTTGTTCTGACATTGGCACGTAGGCTTTGCCTTGTGCCATATACACAGCTCGTCGGCCTATCAGATCCGGCACCTTTTCGAAATCGACCTAGTCGATCCCAAAAGAAAACCATAAGATCATTGGTTTAAAAACACCCTTTCATCCTTACATATATCCATATGATTTTCAAGTACCTTAAAGTATGTCTCATTATTAACCATATCCCGTGCTGCCTGAGCAGTTTTGCCTGCTTTCCAGACTGTACACGCAGCCAGTTTATCCAACAATTGATCCTTTTCAGCATGTTCAACCTGGTGATAATAGTAAGTTACTTACAGTGAGCAACTTTCCCTATCCCTCCATTTAAAATAACTCTTCCTCTTTTTAGTAGAACTTACAATTGACCAGCTCAAGTTGAGACTTGATACGAAATTCTTCTTTTCTTCCAACGACTCCTGCTCAAACCGAAATCTAGGGTGATAGAAAATACACACATATTAGTTCACCAAAACTCCCTCCTCCTACCTCACGCTTTCTGTGCTCTGTCTTATTTTTCCACAGCATGATAATTTTATTTCGTAACTTACTTGAACAACGCACATTCTTGTCGTAAAAACCATGCGCGAAGATCTTCACTAGAGTTCCATTACGACAGATGTGAGCACTTGAGTTACTTGTTTCCGTACCTTGCGATTATTTCTCTTAATTTTTTTCGTACCTTCTGCAATAAGCAAGGCGTAATACGAAATGACTTATATGATCTTTTCGACGTTCTTCTAATAGAGTAGGTGATCTCGACATGTTGGATTTCAAAGGCAAGTGTTTTTCAAGTGCTTGATCCACTTGTTTTTTGTATTCAGGGCCGTGCTTATTTCGTAATGACGCCGTCTCCAAAGTCTTCAATACTGGATTTTATACACCTATTGTTAATTCCAGCAGGATAAAGGGCAAGTAATTCTTTGCCTTTTTTTTACCTTGAAGACGATCAAGCGCATAAGTTTCAAATTCTTCAATAGTGATTTCGGCAGGTGGAGGATGCGAGTAGAAATTCAGTCGTGTGGCGTATTCGGCAGGTAAAGCACCATTGCCGCTTCCGTTGTCGACGAACACACGCTGGTGTCGATTGGTAGCAGCAGAAAATCGATTAATACGTGACGATTTTTGTTTAAGCATTGTTTCAAGGAACAAAAAGAAAAGGTAACGAGCGCGAAAAGCAAAGCGAAAAAAAAAACACGTAAAACGCGCTCGCGTCTTTATTCGTATACAGCTTTTTAAAGGCAGCCAATCATTGCGCTCGTGCGCACTGCAAGCCGAGACAACCATGAGATTGTGCAACTACCACAAATGCTTAGGCAGCAGGAATAGATATATTATGGAGCTATACCAACATGGTGTCCATCGTATCATTTTTTTTAACTTCAAAATCTAATGTAAATGTATGCGCATGGTGTGTTTATTCCTCTTGCTCAGCGGAAGTAGTGCTGCTACCAGTTCGCCAGGGATCGCCAGGAGGTTCAGGAACAGCGCTTGTTTTTGTCATAGACGGCGTAGTAGTAGAGGAGCTCGGATGATTATCCCGCTCATCTATATAATTCCATAACCCACAATCGGCGCAACTTGGATCTTCGTGCACACAATCTGGTAGAGGAAATTCTCCTTCTGGTTGCTTGAGAATATTTTCAATGACATCGTGTACACGGTGTGACCGGACATCAACTCGCCAGTTTTTCTCGTTTACAGTATCCCAAACGCATATCTGGTTGCCCAAGTATTGATTCTTAGAGTTCATCAAATCACGTGTATAAAATAGCCATCTTTCATGTACCTTCCCGGAATGACACCGTGTCTCCATAGCAAAACCTCCGTACCAACAGCTACTTGCAGGTCCCTGTACACGATCATTGTTAGTGGCACTGATTGAAATAAGTAAGTAGAATGCGAGGGTGAATTTTTCATAACGTACAGTGCAAACGCCCACAAATATAGGATCTGCAGTATGACCAAAGTTCCACAAGGGCACCTCCACACCTGGTGCATGTGGCAAATGTAACCGGCGAGCGGCTAATTGTTCACCAGGTATCTCAAACGTCACTGTTGGAACCAAGAACGTTTGACTGACCAAGCTTGCCAATGCGCCGCCTAGTGAGTGACCTGTCAGCCATACCGTTGAGTTGGGGTAGTCATCGGCGACTTGTTTGTAAATTTCCTGTTTTGTAGAGCTTGTTGATTCTAGAAACATATCTTGAAAAAAACGATGCCATATAGAGTAGAATCACTGGTTGAAAAAAGAAAGGATATTTACCATGGCATGATCGTAGTAAAGACCGCTATTGGTTATGCTATCCTGCAAGCATTTGTTCTCGCATACATACTCGTTTCCTTGATAGCATTCGCATACAGTTGTCCAAGCGCGACTGATGTAGGCACAGCAGCAGGAGAATAGCGTGTTGTCATTCATCTTATCCTTTTCGCCTGTTTGTCCGCCGCCCCATAACCCAGCACTTGTTCCCTTGAGACTGATCACGAGAATCGATCCGTCATCGTTTCCGAATACGTGGCCTCGAATGCCATCGGTCTCCCATCCAAACGATGTATTCTAAAAATTGACCGTTAGCTCGTCTACATGTTTCGTTTATACAACCTTAACTTGATGACAGCTTTTTTTACATACCAAGTTCCACGGCGCTCCGATATCATACCAATCAGTATCGTTATTCGCTGGACTGTATGCATTACTGGTCATCATGGCAAGTGCCAGGACGGTTGCTCGATGCTTTACGTCAGGCAATGAGCCTGGAGCCCAATCAAAATCAATGGTAGCTTCGTCTGGGTCATCCATAGCGGTGATGGTATATTGATTACGTTGTCGTTTGACTGGGTCATACTTGTATAGATTGTAGACGGCCTCTGGATAAGTAGGTCGATAGGTATCGCCGAGCTTTGTACGTATTTCAAATGTTTCGTCTTGGCTATTTCTATTCTCCGGCGACGCCGATAGTATGTCTAGTTTGCGAAAGAGACCCGGAATAGGACCGTTGTCTGACGCATGGTGGTATATGCTTTTCAATCTAAATGAGTGCAATGCCGTCGCCGGCACTGCCGATGAGGACGACGACGACAATTCCTTGGCTTGATTTTGTGGTAGATTGGTTATTACAACTTGAGGTCTCATTGGAAACCTCCTACTGTTGCTGTTGTCGTTCCTTAGGAACGCTTCGAACGTTTGCTGCTGCCAGGGCAATCGCAGTCCATGACAATGGAAAATTAAAAGAATAAATTGTAGTGAAATTATCAACCTCTTCATAGTAGTGTTTTAATAACTGAAAGCAAGTAAAAGAGTGGCTGTAACAAAGTTGGGGTAGCGAGGGGGGGGGCAGGAACGTTTGGTAGAAAGGGGTAGAAAAATGAGAACAAGAAGAGGTGTTGTCTGGGGCACCCTTTCGTCATGCGTGCATAATTTCCCAGCAGGATGCTCTCTTTTTTCGGCACACAGAAAAGGATGGTTTGTGCGACATCCACATCTTTTAATAAAACTTTGCTATTCCATGCTTAGAGCATGTGGGCGAGAAAAATAATGCATGCATTGACACCGCCATTTATAGCTTTGACAAGCTAATGCAAGTTTTCATGTGTAATGGCAACTATTTGTATGTGCACGTAAAAGGATCAGGTAGTGGTAGCCCTCCCTCCAGACGAAAGTGCCAGGCAAAGAAGCCATTGAAGGTCTCCTTGCGCACAGGCAAACCAGCGGTGCACTCAATTAATCGTATCCCTTATTACTGCTGCTGTTGTTTTTGTTTCGCTACAAGTAGTGAAAAGCATAGCGAACGAGCACTGTTCTCAACCAAGAGGACTCCAAGCTGGCCATGCTGCTTAATAGTGATTTTGCTGGCATGCGCCATAATGGGTGGCGGGGGAGAAATAGATTTTTACCTTCGCTCTTTTTTTTCACGATTTGACTCTTTTAACTCAAGAATCATGAAAAACTTACAAAAAAACAACAACCCACTAGAAAACAGCCTCAATAGGAAGAGCAAGATCAACAAAAGGGTAGCAAAGAAACCAAATTCCCGAAGTGAAGAAAGCGTTGGCAAAATCAAAAAACGCATTCGAGATCTGAAGCGAACTCTGCAAAAGGTGGGGTGTAATTCCATCGTGACACGCGATCAAAATGTCAGAAAAAAGATATGCTGATCCAATAGATCTAGGGTGCCTCATCGGCCAAAGCCAAAGTTGAAAGTGAAAGAAAACTGCGCGCGTCCGAATATGAACTTGGTGAAAGATACATTGACGAACAAGAAGAGAAACACTATCAAAAATATCGCACAGCCAAGTTTCTGGGTAAGATTTCGATAGGATAGCAGTCTAAGAGTGTTGTAAAGCCCCATATATGTCTAACATCTTTTGTAATCTATGTAGAAAGCAAAAAGGCTGAACGCAAGGTCAAGCAGGCTTCCAAAAAGTTAGAGGCAGCAGAGAATGATGAACAAAGAGAGGAATGGAAAGCGAAACTAGAGGAACACAAAATCGACGTGTTGTATGTTAAGGTAAAGGAAGAACGGCTTCGATGTATTTTCTTTTAAAGGGAGATGGTTGGCTAACTGGATTTACTGTTATAGCATTTTCCATGTTTATTACCATATATCTCGCTTTACGAAAAAGAAAAATCTGATACCGAGAAGAACGAAAAGATACGACAAGAAGTACGTCAAAAGATCAAAGCAATTCTAGACAAGAACGGCGACTTGGACGAGATGGCCAGGGAGTATCGTGCGCAATACCGGGAGAAGATGATTCAAATCGAGCGGATACCAGCTGTACGACCTTTGAACGATCAAGAAGAAACACCAAAGGATTTCACGCGTGCAACCAAAAAAGAAGCGTCACTATCAGCATCGGAAGCACCGGCATCATCATCCGAAGCAATTGCTGCCAAGGATGACTTCTTTGAATTTTAACAAAGAAATAATAATAAAATAAACACAAGGAGACAACTTTATTTCGATGAATTTTGTTGGAAGCAAAGGGAAATGGCGGAACAAGTCTATATATAACAAGAAAGTGTGTGCGTGTGTGTGTGTATGATATGTACTTTTTTTGTTCCTTTGATTATTTACTTGCCTCGAGCATAGTACTCATAAGCAAGCGAATGGAACTCGGGAGGGAAGGGGGATGGGATTTCGGTACGGCCAGGTCTGGAGATGGGCGATCGCAAAAACACGGTAGAGCACGTATTGTAGTTGACTTCAAGGTATTCAGGCACGAACAAGAAGGGTTGTGAGAATGGCTTGGGCTCAAACTCGAGCTCTGTGCCCTTTTCGCCCTTGAGCATCTGGATAGCCTGCGGGTCTACCGAGATCACATCACCGTCCTTGACTTTGTGAGAAGGGAATGCGAGCTAGAAGTATATTTAAATGAGTATCCATTGTACTATTGCCACCACGCAACACCGTGAACGACTGCGACTGCGCCTTTAACTCGGTTCCAAAACATTCCCAGCCCTTTTTCCACACTGTACTCGGTGTAAGAGGAAATGACGCTTACCTTCTTGCCATTAACCTTGACCTTGCCATGGACACACAGTTGACGAGCAGCGTAAACAGAGGGACAAAAGTTGGAGCGGAAAACAATGAAATCAAGTCGTCGTTCCAATTCAGCAAACGTGAGAACCGAAACAGCAGGATGTGGTTGCTCTTGTGCCGATCCATTGTTGACAGTTGGCAGTTTGGGGTTGAAGAACTTGGCTTTGAATTGACGTTCGGTCACTTCGTCACCGTGGTAAGCTCGTGTTTCTCGCTTGCCGATCCATTTTTGTTGGAAAAGTGTCAGTTTCGTCGTATCTTGCAATCGCTTGTTGGCAATGTTGTACAGGTTGTATTTGTTCCATGACATGCGTGCGAGTTTTCGCGTTAATGAATAAATGGGCTTTCTCATTTTTTATATTTTTGTTTTGTGTATTATGTTGTTTGAAAGAGCCAGACAGGACTTTTGTTTTCAACATACACAAAAAATCTGTCAAAAACTCCGGTCTGTCGATTGCCATTTTAGGCAACTCTCCTTTTTGTTGTCAGTCCGTTAAACTGTTACTCGTAAAGTTAATGATGATTGTTATGGAAACGTAATTTTGGTATATGGTATCATAGCAGTATAAATTCACTTTCGATTGCTGAGTGGTATACATGGATATCCCTATCAATAATGGCTGCTATAGAAAAATAACGAAACACCCAAACCGTCGCTTTTACCAGGATCTCTTCTTTAATCGCGGGGTGCCTTGGAGGGCTCTGGAAGGCTACAAACTGCTGTAGATGGCATCAAACGACAATCATCAACTTTGGAATTTGAGCGGCTTTCTCCATCCTTTTCCTTGCGAGTGCAAGCATTTGGTGTAATCGCATAATTGTCAGCAGCATGGACGGCACTATTATCACTCGACCAACCAATAAGTCCTCGCAGATGTTTGATGTATTCACCAAATGATATGGAACTAAAACAATATATTACATCAGAGAACAAAAACTATTACTGATACTACTCTTACTACTATGACGTCTTTTCTAAACTTCATTTTCGTCACGAGGAACACGACCCTCTGCTATTAACCTTCGTCGCTCTTCTTCGACAGTATTGAGGAAATAATCCGTTCGATCCCGGTACAGGATATAATGCTGTGTCATAAACAGCAAATCAAAGAAAATGGATACAAAGCCCAAACCACTATAAATGCAAGAGAAAAACAAGCGAAGAAATACAAATTTTATCTTTTAGTAATAATCTTGAGACCCTTATCTTCCATGCCACCCATTCCTTCCACATACACCCCCACACACAACACATGTCTAATCCCCATCCTAACTTACAATTTCACGGGATCCTATTTTATCGACAAGTGACCCAAAGCATACTGGTTAATTTCAAACTTTTTCCTCCGCATCTTAATATGACCTGTATAAAATGTGCAATATATACCCCAGATACACCACTCCAGTCACCACTTAGATAGGCATCTAATAAAAGCTGGGCCACGGAAAGAAGGCCACCCGTGAAGTCCTAACAATTCATCAATCACCATATTAGATATTTCTTCCTCACTGCATGCTAGTCATTATTTCATTATGTACATATTGACAGATTTATATTACCAAGAGAATATTATGTATACTCCAACCAACGGTTGATTTTCGTTTAAAGTTGATCCACACCTGAGGCAAGTACTTGATAATCGTGACGCTTAACTTGATATAGCTTAGATAGTACATAAAATCAATCCACAATGCATGGCCAGACTTGACGGCAAGGATCACAAGGAATGCGCCTAGAATGGATAACCACATCATGCCCCGAGCCGGAAGTGAAGCCTTTTGGTTCGGGCTTCTCTGTAAAATTGTTAGCTTCAGTTATCGATCATATATAACCAACTCTGTTTTTGCCACATCCCACCCTCCCACCTTTCACAAGCTTCATTTTTCTTTTTATACATCTAACAAGTGGCATATTTCTAACCTTATAATAAAATGTTTGAGATAGTGTAAAGGAGGATATAGCTAATGCATGGACAGCGAATACTACGTCGTTGATACGCACGAGGTTTTCGCTACCGTTGTTTCTTCGTCTATCTATATAGAGTCACACATATCTTAGTAGTCCATTTAATTCAGATAAAAAAAACTTAACATACACTCTTCCTGGATTTCTTCACTTGCAAAGAATGCAATATTAAAAATCTATCAGTTATTTTTGATATAAAATTAGGCAACTTTGGATTTGAGCAAGTTGGGACGCAACCTCATGCATCGAGAGCTTCAAATTCACTATCTCGTATCATCATTGTTACTGTTTCTTCTTACCGAGTAACAGCCAAATCCTAGCACATTGTAATATAGGAAATCGATTGATAGCCCTTGTACACTAAGAGGTTTGAATCAAAACCGTATTAGATACTTTCTGTGGAAAACTTGATCGAAAATCTATCTTTTTTTTACCTTTTACGTCTCCAGTTTAATATCGCTTGCGGATAAAAACTAAAGGACCAGGCTGCAAAGTAGATCTAGACCATTGTTTTATTCGCGGTTAATACAGTTGAACATTGTTGTCACAAACAAGTGAAAAGGTGACCGTCTGTTACCCAGCCTATAACACTTGATATAATGCGCCATGCCCAGCTAACGTCGGCTACATCTTGATCGTAAACGTTGGGTGCCATTTCAATTAATTGGGAAACTCAATCAAAGAAACAGTAGGAATCTTTTGAAGTGGGTTTGCTATGCGCCCAAGCTGATCGGAGTTTTGTGGATGCATATACTGTATATCAGAGAGTATTGCGTAATTGGAGACTACGCGTTCATCGTACTTGTCATTTCTACATATTTAGCTAATAATTCGCTCTTGTATTTACTGAATGTAAACCACGGTTGAAGCTCTAGCAACCATCATTAGCCCTGCAGCGTACTACAGCAATACACAACAATTGTACAGCAAGCAATGACCCACAACAGTTAGTACGCAGTATTATTTTAATCTCCATTTTTGGCACCAGTTGTTATGTTTGGAAATATAGAATTTTACGTGGGAACAAAGATAAACCGTCAACCCTGTTTGATGCTTTGATACATGATACTGTACAAGCTTTTCTACTGTCGCTGTTGGGACTGGTGTTACGTGTACTACACAATGGAAATTCAAGGGGAAAGATGGAAAAAGGTAAACCGCTCCAGGACCGACGAAATTATTTAAAGACGAAAAGGGGGCTGCTAGTCATCCATGTATATACTATACTAAACTGCTGGTGACCACCTATCGTCATAATCATCATCGGGTTATCAAGGAACCAAACGGGTGGAGATGTGATATTGATTAGTGAGAGAGACGAGTTGATTCGGCTCCTTCTTCCACTTACCAAGTTGTACAATACAGTTTTTACAGTCCCTATATATATCACCGGATCGATATGGGGTGGTGAGAATCAAGTGGAGCTTAGCCTACTCTCACTCTCTATCTTTTGCATTTTATCGATCGAGACTTTTTGCCTGCGATAAACAAAATAGAGGTCCCCCGAAAATCGTATCACAGAATGAAAGTTATGGTGGTAGCAGCCAGGTCATGAGATCCAATGGATCGACACATTCTTACTTTTATTTAGCAATGATACATGCCACAAAAAATGTGGTGTCTCTTTTATCTTCATTAACTCCATATAGAAGAGCCAGGAAGGAACAATTCGTGGTTGTTGAGGGTGAGAAAACATAATAATTGATGATGGCTAGGCGGCGACACCAACACTAACATACTGTTTAGTTTTGATTTAGCACAAGTGACAAAGCTATATCGACTATGGCTTACTAACAAAATCTGGTGACAGAAGATACCGTCCGAGTAATGCTTCTTCCTGTCAGTTTAATTGTTGCCGGTACGTGGATCCGATTCAATTAGACTTGATATAGACCGTGTCACGGGGTTTGTGTGCGTGTGTGTGTTTTTTTTTCTTGTACTCACTTCATTCGCTAGGAGCCGACGGCGGCGGGAAACAAAACCATGGTTAGGTTCTCTTTAGTAAAAAGCAAGAGATATGGTACCTGATCTACATACTTTGCTTTTTTTGTCTTTTACAATTGTCGACACTATACACAAATAGAGACACGCGTACACCTTATGTATACGGAACTTATGATCACCAGGTACAACCTCTGATGGGCTGGTTACCATTACAATTTGCTCTAGTTATCCTCTACAGTATGTATCAAAGTTAAAGGCACCATGTAATAAAATAAATCCTCTAGGCCGAAGACGACTGATGGATAAAATAATTAATCGCACCATTCGAGTTACTTGATTGATCAAGCTCAAAGCCAAATGCAGATCTTATCAGTGACTGATTCTCAGTCCGTTTCTTATTCTGTTTCTTTGCGTCTAGCAGACACTAACAAAAGACTAAAAAGTATCATATTGATACTTTATATAATGTACTCAAGGTAAGGATTATATCAATGTGCATGCCGGCGTAAAGAAAGATGAATTCGAGCTCGACGCGATTGATCGAAATAGATAATACATAACCCGTTTTATTTCCGCGGGATCTTGTAACACAGAGCGCACAAAAGCTGTATGTAGTGGACTCTGTATAACGGGGGTAATTTTCTTTATATCTAACCTCCATTAGTGCAAAAAACCGTCCGTGCGCGCATTCAATGTAAAGTAGCTTCACGTGTTGTTGCGTAGCAGCGAAAACAATTTGATAGTGTTGTCATCCCAACAGAGTCGTTGGATTTAAGAAATCTGGGGAGTAATGACAAAGGTGAAAGTTAATGTTGAATAATAGAGTTAGCGAGAGATTATATGCCACATAAACACAGCAACACATAATAGCATTAAAAAGCCTGCTGTATTGTTGACGTAATAAAGCTAATGAATGGATGATAACACGATTGCATAGTAGTTTATAAACAAGCGATGTATGCACGCTTATCAACCGACAGGATTCTTTAACGCAACAAACTTAACCAATAAAAATTGTCTGATGAAAAGGCTTGCATTTCTGCAAGATAGCAAAAGAGTAATCATATTAGCGTCCATCATCACTCTGGGTCGAGAAGCTAGTAGTGCCTTGGTCTTTTCCATAAACGGCCTATAAAAAGATAACGATCCACTTTTCTTTTCCTCTTTGTTACACATGAGAATAAAAGAAACGGTAGATAATTGGGGGGGGGAGCTCTCTTTTTCAAGTCAGAGTCTATATATGCTGGGAGCAGGAGCAGGAAAAAAAGAAGGGTGCAAAAGTAATAATGCTGGTGATGATATTCTTGTTGTTTTGATTGGTGCGTTAGAGCCAAGCGAGTCCCTTAACATAAGACCCCTTGACAAGTTTTCTTGCTTTTTTGTTAAGGGATGGTTCTTTGGTGGGGGAGGGGGGAGCGAGATGTGATGTGCACTTTTATTGTGGGGAGTGTGGGTGAGAAAGGAAGGGTTGGGTGTTAAGGCACTTTTTTTTTCCTTGACTCGGAGATTCCGGAGGTTGTACATTCAACCTTGTGTTGTACCCCGCATTCTTTTTCTATATTCTAACCGTGTTGATTGGTTGCATCCCAAGAAGAGGGAATTGTATAATATATCTAGAGACGCATGCTTATATTGCCGCCGCGTCATGATGTAGGGGCATTGCTTTGAACGGCATCTGAAGAAAAAGGGGGGGTAAAACGGGTGAGAATATTCCTGTTGACATAAATACTTGGTTTTGCTGTGACATGAAAACAAGAACAACGATATACAGTAGACGATACTGTTCTTTTCAAGACGCTTCGTATAACCGTCCTGTTGGGTAGGACAAAGAAGAGGAGCAAATATATTCTGTTGGGCTTGTGTTTAAGATCTTCCACTTTCTCATGCATGATCATAATAGCTGTCTATCATGTGCATTCTATACGGATACGTTTAAAATCCACGCAGTATGTGTTATTATTATTATTATTATTATTACTATTTAAAAGAATGCCTTGCCCATTCATAGTCGTTTGATCTCGGTGAGCCAATGCAATGGGAGCCCTCAGTGCTCTTGGCTGATATACGTGCTCGATAGCTACGACTTACTGACCCCACCCACTCAACCCACAATATTGAGGGGGTGAGTTGGGGGGTGGGGTTTACTTATTTCGTAGTATAGTAGAAAAACGACGGTGTGGGCCGGGTCGGCTTTTCCCCTAATAGGTCCAGAGGGTCAGCTCCTAATTACCCGGAAAGTGTGTGTCGACATTCAACAAGAACAACAACAAACACCATGAGAGAGAGAGAGCTACAGTACTGGGTCCTTCTGGTCGGTTTGATTCGGGAGTAGGGACGACGTGTACGTGCGTTGCGCTGCATCGTGTAAAAGGACCAAAGCTTGTTCGTGTGGTTTGTGTTCTTCTTGATTGGGGGGTTGAAGCAAGGGGATGACCAGTTGTCATACAAAAGTGGGATGAGAAGGTAAGCTATTAGCTCTCACGTTCTTTTAAAGAACGAGTGTGAGTAAGTTCTGCGTGGTTCGTCGTCGTCGTTTGGGATGTGAGTTGTGGTTGTGTGTGTGTGTGTGTGTCCTGGCTGATTTCATGCCGCGGAATGCAGGCTCCTAGAGAACCAATCAGACGCAGATTCGCCACATCTTGGGGGACTCCCATATTACTCGGCCGCCTATTCCGTAGTAGTGTGCGTGTGTGGGTGTGAGGCGAAAGGGTGAAAAGGACAGGCCAGAAAAAGATCGGTTGTATACGTTAACGGATTTGAAGTGTGTGGCATCTGTTATTTATATAACAACTACGCGGTCTTCCTCCACTTCCGAGGTCCACTTTTTCTTTTCTCCCTTCTTTCTTTTTCTTTTCTCTCACTTACACACTCGCTCTCTTTCCCTTTGCCCTTTTTCTCTTCTCCTGTTGTCAGACTGAGAGGCAATGTCTCGAAAAACATCTGCCGAACAGCCCAGACGTCTCAAAGTCACGCTGGCCTGCATCATTTGCCGTAAAAAGAAGGTCAAATGCGACGGTGTTCAACCTACATGCTCGCGATGCAATTCGATGGGTATCCAGTGCCAATATTCAGACCCACCCAAGAAACGAGGCCCGCCTAAAGGCTATGTGGAAGTCATCAACAATCGAGCCCATCGCATCGAGTCGCTCTTGGGAAAGCAAAAGACATCATCGCCAGCTACTACTAGCAACAACAACCATAGCACTACGACGACTACTCGACCTTTTTCTTCGCCTTCTTGTTCGTCGTCTTTGGTGTCCTCGTCGTCAACATCTGCGGGTAAAAATTATTAACGGGCGAATGTTCCCAAAGACAACATATTCTGACTTTCTTTTTTGCTTCTCCACATATATAATACACGCACACGCACGCTTGTAACGTAACGCAACGCAACACGACACTATAGCAGCTTGGTCAACGTCGATCACTACCAACAATGGTAACGATCGTGCTGAGACCCCTGTTCATCTGTCAGCCTCGCTACTTCCGCAACAGCAAAACGATGTCCTTAAGCTTATAACTGATGCTACCAGCACAGTTCAAGCCAAATGGGCATATAGCAACAGCAACAGCCCTGTACGTTTTCTCATTTCCACTTCTTCCGTCCCCCTCCAAACTTTCCATTTTCTATCGCTTCAAAAATGAGACACAGAACACTGATAAGGTCCATATCTACTGGTACATCTCTAGGGCAGCCACAACAGTATGTACGCTTCTTCCCCGGCTAACAATGACGACGACGACGATAGTATCGTATCTTCCGACCTAGCGCTGCTGTGGGCCAACAATGTCTTCCAGCATTTCAACATATTTTTTCCCTTGCTGTCAAGACAGCACTTTCTCTTCCAGCTCGTTCACAGGAAACACACAATGAATCCGCTATTACGCTACGCTGTGTATGCTCTCGGCTGTCGCTATATCAACCCGGAAGACCGGACCGCCCGGCTTTGGTTTAACAAAGCACAGGTTCTGGCCGAGCACGAGACCCATGTGTCCCTGTCTATTGTGCAGGTAAAAGGAATCATCTCAATCCACCTTCGATACTCATCACATGAATCTCTCTATTTACTGAATGCACCTTCCCATTACCTAACATAAAACACACACACAAATACTATTTCTAAAACAATACAGGCACTGGCCATCATGTGTTGGTACACTTACCTCGCAGGCGACTTACAACAATGCAGCCGACTGCGTCATCAGCTCTATCGCGCCGTTCATGATTGCGATCTCGGCCATGAAGCAACAAACTGTTCTGTGGTAGAACAGGAAATGCGTCGCCGTGGATTATGGGCTTCCTACGTCATTGATCAATGGCTCGCAGTGTGCACAGGTGAACGGATTCAGCCTGTTACCTCATGGGATGTCAAGCTTCCCAAGCTTGAGGACAACCAGCTATATGCGATCGACTGCCGGAACTTGCAGCCACCGGTCGACTTGCACGAACTGTCGGTTGAGTCGGCACTCCAAGTAGCAGTGTTTGCCGAAATGGTCAAACTTGTCAATGTCGTATGCGGAATCAGTGGCGGTGATGATATCAAGACAGCACTGACAGAATGGCTGCTCAACTTGCCGCCCTATCTAGAATTCGGCAAAGCCACGGACGACACTCCACCTTCGCCTATTGCCAGGATTTTCCATATGCTCTACTACACTGTGCAGGTGATGATCAACAGACCCATCTATCACCATCATTTACAGCAGCAACAGCATCAACTGATTGTAGATCATGATGGCACAACTGCAGCCAACACTATCATTCACATTGCAGAGCAAATGGTGCGTAATCATGAAGTGAAATACCTCTACAATGTGTTTGGTCTGTCACTCACACTGGCAACCACCATTCATCTCGAAAATGCTCGCTTGTTCGAAAGCACATCTGCCAACAACAGCCTGACTCGCAGCTTGAGCGTGATCAAGCAGACCAACTGTACTGTTGTGCCCTGCGTCGATCTGGATCGCGTTCTTCATCGATTTGTCGTCAACCGATGTGGCGTTGTGCTAGACCATTACTGCCATCAGCACCATCATCAGCAACAACAGCAGCAGCCGAGAGCATCGTTGCATCAGCAATATCCATATGCTGAAGTACGACCTACGAATCTGAAACGACCTTGTCTTAGCGATGACCTTGAACGTACTGTAAAACGTCCCTCATTTGACTTTTCCCGATGGCTGCCTCCTGAGCAGCAGCAGTACACCATCCCGTCGTCGTCGTTTTCCACTACTACGACGGGCGATTACACCAACTTGGTCGACTTGTTCACGACATCGGAACCATCCGCTACTACCAGCAATACCACAGCAGCAACAACCGATGATGGTATCGTCACCGCCGCAACCGCTGAAATAGCAGCAGTGGCAGCAGCTGCAGCTGCAGGTCTTCAAATGGATTGCTGGAACAGCAACAACAACGAACAACAACACAGCTTATTTGCGGGCGGTGCTACTTCTTCGACGACGAATTTTTATCAACATTCTCCATCCTCCTCCTCATCTTCACCCATGGTCACACCGAAACCGGCAAATCCATCGCCAGCGCTGACAATGGCAACAACACCTATAGAATCATCCCCAACATCTTACTTTTCGCCGCATGCCAATTCTTCGAGCCCTTCGTTATTGTCCATCAATGGCTTTGACCTTTCCAAAGACGACGGTATTCGCGGGCTAGTTTCCAACAACTTCTACCCTACCATTGATTTCCAAAACACAATTATCTAAGCCCTGTTACATCCAGCAACATCACTAACTACTATTGCCGTCTCACCAAAACCTACATTTATCACCCTACCAAAGAACCCTTTTTCTTTTGTGAGCTTTTTTATGCACCCATTCCACTCGCTTTTTCTCAACTCTTTCTCAATATTTTCTCTTTTTATCTGATCCGGATCACTTATACATATCTTCTTCATCATCTGTTTCACCTCAACAACAACAACCTTCTTTTCACGTTTGATAACGGCGCTGCATTATAAACTTTTATCTCTTCTTTTCTACATATTATACATCTTATACACAGCACATATTCTTCTTTTTCCATATCTACATATCAACTTTGCATTTTATGACCTTCATCCTCTTTTTTCTTTATTTTTCGTATAAATATACATATCTTCAAGGGCAAGAAGCAAACATTTATATAAAAAACTTACTACCTGGTATTTCATATCTCCATAATACTATGTCAAGTACCGTGACAATAACACTTATGCACATCTTTGTTTTTACCATCAATTGGGCGGGCAAGACCACAAACATCAGAAAAAAAGTTTCTGAATATCATGTGGATGATGGCAAACAAACATTATACAAGCCTACAAATGCGGTGGTGTATCTTCTTTTACCGGTGTTTATTTCTTCCAGAAGAAGTCAATACACCCTCACACTCACACAGCTCATTTAGAAATAAATAGTTTTACTTTAGAATTTACTAATTACGGTGGATGACATCCATAGCATGGTATACTGTAGGTGTTTACGCAATCAATGTGTACTAACAGTTCACTTTGTAATATATATTGACAAAAGAAATACAAGACAAATAGACAAACGTCTTCTTCAGCTTGCATGTTAAGTTGTTATAGAAAGTAAAAAAGCCGATGCATCACCAACATAACAGGGTGTCTACTGTGGCATAATACTGATACGGTGAAAATTGGATAAAAGTTTCCTCGTGACCTTACTATTTGTTTACGGAATGATCTCATTGCATTCGCATGTTCTGCATTCTATCTATTATGGTGGGTTTGTTGGTGCTGATAGTAGTAATTGTATAACACAAACTCGGCTTTGCGCTAATTATGGTTTGTCATTAACGTAGTCGCCTCTCCTGGCACATATTTGGCCTGGCTATACACACGTATGTGCTGCTACGAATGATCCATTGGTAACCCTTCCGAAGGTGACTATAATTTTTCGGGGGTGATGTGCGCAGGGCATTACATTACGTGACTGAAATATATTAATCTGCCCAGCTTGTGTATAATCGGAAATAGCAGATGGGGCTTCTTAACCCAAGTCATGCGGGTAGACTGCAGCGCACGCGATGTTGTTGCTTATTATGTCATTTTTTTTGCCCGCCAAAAATGTGCAGGTTTGTTGAGTTGGGAAAAAAATAAGGGGGAGTGGGGGAATGACGGAAGTATGGACGGAAGCCGAGGAGTAGTTGTTACTAATTGCTTTTCTTTTTCTCTCCCTTCAGCATTCTTATAATTTATCCTACATCGCAGTTGCCTTTTTACAAAATAGCTATGATGCAGATATACAATGTAGGACAGCAGAATATGCTAGCTAGCTGTTTGCAAGCGTTGAAACGATAGATTGATATGTATATCCTTTCGCGAAAAAATCCCGGTGACAAATACATATAATGCAGACTTTGCATTGATTGCGCCCTGCGGGGTATTATACTTATAATAACTTGATTTTGCATTCTTTCAAGACGGTCTCTTGCCGGATTGGCTACTACTTGAAATGATACAGGTACGCAATAAGGGGGGGATGCTATGTGTCCACCATGCAGACCAGTTCACCGTCAAAAGTTTCTCTTTCCTTTTATGTCAGTAAGTCCATACAGGCTGCACTAAGCAGCAGCCTTATAATAGAAGGTCACTGAATAGCAAACACACACTAGACTGAAAACTACTCTCTAATTACGGAAATATAATTTATGTAGAGCTCTAAAAATCAGTAGTTGTAGTGAAAGAGATCCTATGCGTCCATCAAGTGCAGAGAGAAGCAATCAGGCTTGTCTCCTGATTGACTACAATAGCGCTTTTTACAGCTTACATACAGTATTTACGGATAGAATCTGAGATGTTTACATATATCATCCCCGCCTTAGCAAGGAGAGATCATATTGCATCATGGTGCAGATTGAATGTACAAAGAGATCTTCTTAATGATTGTAGTTTTGGGAAAGTATTCTAACCAAAATATATCGTTTAAAATGCTACATAGTATTCAAATCTAGTAGATCATAGCCGCGCTATTTGTCGCGAAGATTTCTTTCCTAGAGCAACATTGTTGTTATCACTATTACCGCCACCATTGCTGCTATTATCACCGCCGTCATCAGGTATCTCAAACACGCCATTCAATATAACATAAGGTCGGAACGCGAACTGGGCCAAATCCTCCATGGTAGAAACGCCTGACAACACCAGCACCGCGTCGATTTCAGAACTGATACCAGCAGCGACATCAGTATCCATACGATCCCCAATAATACAAGTCTCGGATGTGCTAAGTCCCAAGGTCCGTTGAGCATAGCGCATCATCAAAGCTGACGGCTTGCCGCAAAAGAACGTCTTGGTTTTTGTAATCGCTTCAACACAAGCCGCAAATGCCCCACAAGATGGTATCTTATTGCCTTGGGAATCCAAAGTGTCTACATCCAAGTTGGTGGCAACCAATTTGGCTCCGTGGTCGATCAATTGGACCGCTTTGGTCAGACGTTCGTAATTGTAAGACTTGCCTTCACCAAGCACAACATAGTCTGGGTTTTGGTCATTCATGATGAAGCCTTTCTGATAAAGGGCATAAACGAGTCCAGGTTCACCGATGACGTAACATGAGCCACCCTAAGTGAGTTTCATAGATTAGGTGATGAGTTGAGCGTTACTTTTTAACTTAAGTTCGCATATCGATGTCACAACATCTTAAAAAACCGAAAAAGGGGAAGAGAAATGTACCTCGGGCATCTGTGTACGCAAAAATTCGGCGGTTGCTTGTCCAGCAGTGAAAAAATGATCTTCTGTTACTTGAATGCCGAGACGTAAGAGCTTTTGCTGTAATTCACTTGGTGTTGGCGCTGAATTGTTTGTCAAGAAAAGAAAGCGCTTGTTATTTCGGTATAAAAACTCGACCAATTCTTTTGCACCAGGTAAAAGTGTGGTTCCCTAGTTTTGTACAGTAGTCGTAGATATTCTTAATTATGGTTCTTCACAGAAATTTGATGCTAAAGAGAGAGTGTGTTTTTGAAATCTTACATGGTAAATGACGCCGTCCATATCAATGATATAGCCTTTCTTTTTACGGATTTTTGCTAGGCGTTTTTGATGGTATTTAGCATCGCGGAGAAGTGCATGGTCTTTTTGAATGGATGGCGAAATTTGTGACCTGGTCCTCGTTGGCGTCGAGTTGATAAAGTAATTACCACTGTTGATGCTGCTGTTACTATGGTTGTCTTTGCTGTTAGCAGCAGATGTCACCAGTAATGGCCGTTGTTGTTGTTGTTGTTGTTGTTGTTGTTGCTTTGTGATAGCCGCTGGATCCATTCTTTATTACTATTGCGTGACTGAAAAATTTCTCGTTGTGTGTTTAAGTGTAAATAGAAATGTACTTGTTTGAATGTACTTTTGTCATATTTATTTCGGAAATATAGCCCATATGTTCCACTTGATGCCGTTATTAGCCTATCAAACAAACAATACAACCACAAATAAGTGCAGTAAGCGGTGTATTTGAATGCTGTCAACCGAAAATGTTGTCAAGCGCAGAAACTCCGCCTGTGCTACACAGACGGGCTGCCACGGGGTAATATGCACATTTGACAGCCAAAAATTGATCCTCCTTTTCTTCGATAATAGCAATGGTACGAGCAGCATACGAAATTAGAGATAGACATCCACGGGTGGATGAGTGGACGAATATATGGATGGATGAGCGGATGGATGGTTGGATGGACTATGGATGGGTGGATGAATGGATAGTCAGATGAACGCTGAAGTCGATGAATGGATGGATACTGATGTGTGGATATGTATAATACATAGGCCCCAGCCAAGAAGTCTACCGGCAAAAAGGTCGCTCCCGCCCCTTACCCCATCAAGTCCAAGCAGGGTTCCAAGGCTCCCGCCAACCCCTTGTTCGAGAAGCGCGCCAAGAACTTTGGCATTGGTACGATACACTTTCAACTTTTCGACAATTTCGCTACGCGATTTCGATTTCACGCATTAGCATTTGCGACAATCGAACAACCAATTTGGACCAAAGAAGATTAGCTTTAGTTAATTGACGGCGAACATTTATAAATTAATAGGTCAGGATGTCCAGCCCAAGCGTGATGTCTCCCGCTTCGTCAAGTGGCCCGCATACGTCCGTCTTCAGCGCCAAAAGAAGATCATCTACCAGCGCTTGAAGGTCCCCCCGGCTCTTAACCAGTTCACCAAGACCTTGGACAAGAACACCGCCACCCAACTCTTCAAGTTGGCCGACAAGTACCGTCCCGAGACCAAGGTTGAGAAGCGCGAGCGTATCCGTGCTGCTGCCGCTGCCAAGGCTGAGGGCAAGGAAGCCATCAAGACCGACAAGCCCGTTGTCGTCAAGTACGGTTTGAACCACATCACCGCCTTGATTGAGCAAAAGAAGGCTCAGTTGGTCGTTATTGCCGATGACGTCGATCCTATTGAATTGGTCCTCTTCTTGCCCGCTCTCTGCCGCAAGATGGGTGTCCCATACTGCATTGTCAAGGGCAAGGCTCGTCTCGGTCAGGTCGTCCACAAGAAGAACGCCACCGCTTTGGCTTTCACTGAGGTCGCTGAGGCTGACAAGGCTGAGCTCGCTAACTTGGTCTCGGCCGTCAAGGTTAACTTCAACGACAAGACTGATGAGATCCGTCGCCAATGGGGTGGTGGTATCAACGGTCCCAAGTCCAACGCTCGTCTTGCCAAGCGTGAGGCTATTGCCGCCAAGGAAATTGCTGCTCGTCAGTAAACAACAGCAACTTCTTGATCGGCAACGACGACGACGACGATTCATAGACAACAATAGACGACTACTAGATGAATGTAGTATGGTAAAACAACCAATTATGCACCATTCCCCTCGTTCTTTTTGTAATAAATTTATTGTCTCGTTTTCTTTTTTTACAGATCATATTTGTCAATGTTCTCTTCTTACTATGCAAATATGTGTGTGTGGTGTGTTTATACAGCCAACTATTTATTTATATACTAACTACTAGATGATCATTTTCCCAACTCTTCCACCAAGTTGTTCACCATGTCGACATTTGGGATATAGTTATGTGCCTCTGTCTGCTTCTTGCCAACCGTACTTGTAATCGCATGTGGGATATCGTTAAGCAATGTGAACACCACCTCGTCTGTCTTACCGTCACCGACGCATAGAATGTAATCTATAGTTGAGACTTGGAGGTCTTTAAGGATGTTGCGCACGGCTGTCGACTTATCGATCGAGGATGGGCGCAATTCCAGCGTTTTGTTACCAAGGACAATCTGTATACGAAAACACATGGGACGTCAATCAGTACCCACGCGACCTCTATCACTTGCTTTATTGTATTCAAAATCAGGAACTTACCGAGAGGGCCATATGGCTCAATAACTTTTCAAGATTGACCTGCAGCTCGGTTGCTTGCCAACTGCCGAATTCTGGATCCGCATTACGATAGTGCCACGTCAAGTTGATTTCCTTTTCTTCAATGAATGATCCAGGAGTACGTTCCGTATAGTGTTGGAACAGCGGGCGAATGGTCTCCTTCCAGCTGGGATCGATCTGTTCAACCAAGCAGTACCACTTGCCATCCACCTCCTTAATTAACTTGCTTTCATGCGAGGACGATTGCACTGGATTGATTTTGTCACGAATATTGGCTGGATGCTTGTAGAAACAGCCGTGTTCGGCAGATAAACCCACGCCCGTTGAATCGAACCATGCATCCAAGTGTTTGCGTCCACGACCAGACAAAATGTACACGTACGTATCGGTTTTGGATGCAAGAGTCTTTAGGTGATCGAGTACAGTCTGTGATGGTTTTGCAAACTCGGGCAGTTTGTGCGTAGTAGTCAGGGTGCCGTCGTAGTCCAGCAGGATAAGCTTCTTGCCCTTGGACTCTTTGAATTGGGTGATGACGTTCTTAAAGTTGAGTTCGGGGATCGACATGCGTTGGCCAAACTCTTCACTGATTCGCTATATATATATAAATTATTGGATTTGAATATCTCATCCGTGTCTCCAAAGGCTACAAGAAAGAGATCTAAAGCGCTTACCCGCAGTTCATTGACAAAGCTAAGACCCCAATAGGCGGCGGTATACTTTGTCACATAGCGATAAAGCTTCTGGTGGTTTGTCTTTCGGACATCGTCGGGCATTGTGACTGCCTCGTATATCGCATTGGCCAACTCTTCTGTATTCCAAGGGTTCACAATGATCGACCCATTGAGCGACTGTGCAGCGCCGGCAAACTCAGATAGGATTAGCACGCCGTGATTGTCCTTTTGTGCAGCAATGTATTCGTACGACACTAAATTCATGCCGTCACGGGTCGACGACACAAGACAGACGTCGGATGCGGCATACAGAGCCGTCAGCTCGTCAAAGGGAATGGATCGGTGCATAAAGTGGATCGGCACAAACTCGACCGTACCGTATTGACCATTGATTCTACCGACTAATTCATTGATCGTGCTGCGGAGGTGTTGGTATTCCTCGACATCCTCACGAGAAGGCACAGCGAGTTGTACAAGTACAACCTTACCGACCCATTCAGGGTGCTGGCTCAAGAAGACTTCCATTGCGTGCATCTTTTGCGGAACACCTTTGATATAATCCAAGCGATCGACACCCACAATCAGCTTGCAGTCGCCAAAACGATTCTTCAGCTGGGCAATGCGATCTTGCACCTTGGAAACCTGGAGGTTTTCTGTGAACTTCTCGGGATCAATGCCGATAGGGAAGGTGCCGACGTGGACGTATCTTCCTTCGAATTCCACCCCGTTCGGCATGGTTGAAAGTCCGAGGATACGTGTGCACGACGATAAAAAGTGTCGTGCATAGTCGTAGGTGTGGAAGCCAAGCAGATCGCTTTCCAACACGCCCAACAGGATTTCCTTGCGTACTGGTAAGATTCTAGATTATCCGAGAAGGTTGAATTTACGTTAGAGACAAAAAGTGTAAACGAAAACCCCCTTTTTGTTTGTACGTGTGAAGGACGATGGCTTATGGAAAGATCCCACACACACACAAGCTTAGGTGTATCATCATACCCACACAGGATGCACATGGGCAAACAATCACATACCTGTAGATTTCACTGCTCGGGAAAGGTGTATGCAAAAACCAGCCGATCTTGATATCCTTCTTGGTCTTCTTGCGAAGCATAGATGGCAACAGCATCAAGTGGTAGTCCTGGATCCAAACTAGATCACCATCCTCTACGATTCGATCAATGGCATCCGCAAACTGCTGGTTGACTCGCTGATATCCTTCCCACCACTCTTCATTGAACGAGATTTCACCGGGATGGTAGTGGAACAGGGGCCACAGGATACTATATTTCAATTGTTGTTGTTTAGCTCAAAGAAAATTCATGGGACCCTTTCTCATCCTTGCACTGCATAGTATATAAATGTGTTCTTTACCTGTTGGAGAATCCGTTATAATGCAGATCAGCCAGTTCTTGGTCGACAAAGACGGGCATGGTAGATGTTTCCTTTAGTAACCGCTCTTCAACCTGCTTTCGATCGTCAAGAGGTATATCCTGGCCTGCATAATAATAACCAGAAGAATCAGTAAAAACGCGTTCTTTCTTTTATATGTTATAATGCTTTAGTTCTTTTGCCACAAGAATAAACTCTCATACCTGGCCAGCCGATCCATGTGAACGACATCATTTTCTTGAGACCACTTAATGCCGCGACCAAACCACCAGACGACATTTTGAAATCGTACTGTTGTGTGGTAGGGTCTTTGGAGACCGTGACAGGCAGACGGTTCGAGACCACGAGTAGACGAAGGCTTTTTCCTGAGCTGTTATTGTTTTCTGATGTCGACGAAGCCATAACAATTGGAGTCTAGACAGAAAAGAAGAAAAAAAGGAAGAGGGGAAGAGTGAAGAGAAAGAAACGGAAAAGAAGAAGCAGGAATATACGAGAAAAGAGCTGGGAGTGTGTGCGTGTTACAGCTGATTCGGAACCGGAAAACTTTGATGGCAAACCATTAATCCTTATGTGGGTCTCGGATGGATTTCCCAACAAACACGATCCCTCGTCCAACAGGCTCCTTCCCCGGCGAGAACTGCGTTGAATCGAATTGAGGTCATTGTTATGGCGTTTTCCGAGGCGTTTTCCCTCTCTCTCCCCCCATGACTTTTGCTCTTCGCACTTCTTTGAATACTGATATGAATAGCATGTTTCATTTGCGCTGGTATGTAATAAATCGTCATTCCTGCGAAATCCTTACGCAGACAACGGACACTAAAAGAATGGGCTCAAGTCCGCAGATCTTCTTAGCTCTGGGACAAAGCTGGGTTTCGTTGATGTAGCGTACAAGAAGTGTTTTTTTTTGTGCCATACTCGCAGCATCTACTAAAAATGTATGTTATCGATGGCATGGTGTCATGGTGTCACCACACGGCTCCCTTTCTTCCACCAAAAACGCAATCTTGCTCCCGCTCTCTCTTGGCTGTAAATCATCGATAAATAAAAGGCCCACGTGTGTTCAGAAATGCATATTCTGGAAATAGTGCCACCCGAATACCACGCGTGTCTGCAGATGCTAGTAACAATCTTTCGGTTGGTCATATATGGACAATAACGGTCTCATCACAAGAGCTAAATAAACCCAAATGATTACATTGCTTTTTCTCTTGATGATGGTCATCAGGTATTCCGCTGTTTTATTACTCTTTATGATTATCTATACACTTTAAAACTAAAAACAGCTTACATAACTGGCACGTGTCCATCTCGTAAACAAGTGTTACATCACAACGGCCAAGTGGAAATGCTGTAAAACAAGCTGTATGTAAAGCTATCGAGCAATGTGCTTATTGGCTGTTCAGTGTCTTAGTGATATTGCTGTTGTCATCGCCTTATACATATTTGCAACATAGTAAAGATCAGTAAGCACTGGTCACCACATATCATTCTTCTTTATCAGTAGAACATCGCCAGTTTTCTTCAAACATGCTGGGAATTGTCTAGAAAGAAATACTGTCAATGTCATTATTTCATCATCTGATTTTTCATGTAAATTTTGTGTACAGCGTTGCTTTATTTACCGTCTTCAGGCTCCCTTTCTTCGCGTTGCCAAGGAACAAATGATCGCTTATATATCCGTCGGTGACCATGCCAATGCTTTTCATCTCCCTTGCAAACATCATCATCAGGGTAGGAATAGAGTGTACTGCAGTTGTGGCAATTTCTAGATATCGTTCTTGGAAGCTCAACACGGGCAGTTACCGACTGTTGGGAACGCTTCGTTGTAGTTGATGATGATGAGGAAGAATAATAGCAGTATGAACCCACAGGTATCAATCGTAAACGACCACAAGTGACGTAATCTATACTGGGGATAGTAGGCGTATTAGCAATGTAGTCTCTGTTGTGTTTGCTAATGGTGTTGTTGATGTTGTCTCGTGGTCGTGATAACGAATATCTGCCATGTTTCATGGATATTAGGATGTGGGCTGCGTTGACTACTTCTGGATCGCTGGTGTCGTTCAAGTCGAGAAGCCGGAGCTGGTGCTCCATATGCATAATAGAAAGAAGAAGGATGTGAGTGTGTAATATCACACAGGTGGTACGAGACAAAAAACTGCGAGGCTTTTTATATCAAACCTTATTAACTAAAATTAACAATGGCAACACTTTTTGGAAATGAGAATTTATGGGATTGACAACAAAACTAGACTCCCAAGAGAAGAGGTTTACTAGCTGGTAAAGGCTAAAGTAAGTGATACGAGTGGTCCATTTATATTTGCTGCAAAGAGAACCATGTAGTAGCTTAAATCTCGCTTTTGCTCTACAGGAGGTACCAACACGGTGATGGTAATGCGTAAGGGATTCTAGGCAACAATGGCTCTATATTATAAAGGATGAACAGCAAAAGTGTGTAAAGAAAATAGTAGATAAAAGGCATTTGCTGCAAATGAATATGTACATCCACTTGTTTCGTTTATAGGAAATAAGCTAATGATGTATGTGGTGTGTCCATACATATAAAATCAATTAGCCGGAAGCATATTGGCGATACTATGATATCTCTTGGTAAATTCTCATCGACGCCAAAGCACCTGTCTAGGAGAAAGCACCCACAATGCGAAACAAATATTGTCAGTTGCGTACGCTGTTTACACGATAACAGAGTTAAACAAGCAGGACCGGCGACTGTTGTTAATCCAACAAGCTCGAAATGTATATTTCATGTATATAGACACATCGTCAGTCTGGTGGAGCTTGCACAAGGATGTCGATATATCTATACTACGCCTAATTAGCAAGATGACAGGTTATACCAATAAGAAAGCTCATTTGGTCGGTTACCCAAGGCTTACCTGAAAGAGGTTTTCGCAAACAACCAGCAGTGGTAGTAGTGACACGTAAAACTTGTATGTGGGATCGTAGTTTGATACTTCTGCGTAGTTATAAATACAGTATCTAGTATGGATGTACATTGTACGAGGCGCCTATACACACACAAACACTATTTACGAATCTTTGAATTTTAATAAAGTCGATACAGTAAACCATCTTAACCATCGTCTTTGATCACGTAACTTGATAAAAAGAGAACGGCCGCAGACGTCCATCCCTCCAAATAGTCAAGCATAGTCGGTGAGGGGAAACGCACTCATCGCTGCGTCTTCTCCATGACAACATGACACGCCTCTTTATTACAAATGTCATTCTGCCCTTGGGGGCTTCTCGGTTTGATATTCAGAAAAAAGTTATATACAGTAGTACCTTCGCCAGCATTTTTTCTCACTTGGACATATCGTACTTCGGTATCTCTATCACTTCATAAGACTCGAATGGTACAGAAAAGATTAGCTCAAGGATAGCCCTGATTGGATGGCTCTTTAGAGCATATTTTTTGTAGCAAAGAGCTGCGTGCAAAATACCATGAGCACTTTTTGATTTCAACGAAACCACGGGATTAATGAACGGAGTAGAGTGTGATACTAGCCCTATGATGATATTTCTTCTTCTCGCGCCTGGGATTGTAATGTTGACCTTCGACTTGATCAACGTACATAAACCGTTCGATTTTTTTCCATCGAGGGTGACTTGCTTCTCGTCATTAGAAAACGTTTGATTTCTAAGGATTACTGTACTTATTCAGCGTTTTTACTCTAACTTAAGAATTTATATCCGGTTCCGCAAGTAAGCGACGCGCAAATTAACTAGCCTTCCTGCATATTGTTATAAACAACTTTTCGACTATAGAATAGGTGCTTCTACGTTTACCATATTCTTTTAATCAAGTAGCCTCATTGAAGACGGTCTTAATTTATCTTTTTCGCTGATATAGCACCTGATAAAATTGATGCCCGCCAACGCATCTGTATGTGGTCCTCAAATTAAATGGACCCTCTTGGTCATTACGGTTTTGAACAAGCTTGTAGTTGACCTTTTTTGCTTATCACCTCGAGCCACCGTAGTTAGTACATAGTAAGTTCTTCAGCAATATGTACGCAGGAATTAAGAAAACATAAGTTTATCGTAGTGAATGAACTCATTAACACTAGTATTTATCTCTTTGTGTGCGCGCTGTGCACCACTAATCTGGAAGGAAAATGTGATAAAATACTGAAGAAAATACCACGTCACTGGTGATAATGCTAAGTTATACCATTTCTACAAAAGAAACCATCAAGGATCAATGTTGCAATGACTCGCTCTTCTCACTATATTTTACCGACACTTCAAAGTCGCCACTTAGGGCTACTACCACGACAATGGAAAGCGCTCTCCCCAGCTACACTGACTACACCTCACTTTTGCAACTTTTTAAAGTGCATGCGGCTCGCTATAAAGACAATGTCCTTGTACACTACCAGCTACCCAATTCTACTGAGTTCAAGTCATTGACATATGGCCAGGTCGACAACATCTCCAGCTATCTGGCAAGTCTATGGGGACCCACGATATCAGCAGATACCGAGTGCATTGCGTTGCTCAGTGACGACCCTGCACAATCTATCCTTGCATTTTTCACCGTACTGAAACTAGGACGAATCTTCTTCCCGCTATCTACATACAGATCAAAAGCGACTGTCGTTCATCTTCTTCAAAAGAGTAATGCAGGCTATTTGATCGCTTCCACAACGCATCGTATAAAGGCCTTGGAATGTGCAGCAACTCTGTATGATGTATCAAGGTTCGACATCCATATCTGGGACGACTTTGACATTGATCAGCTCATCATTGCAACAATGACGAAAGCAGAAACGTCCTGTAAAAATGGTGGTGATGTCAATCAATCTCGAGACGACGCACATAACATACGGCTTGAAAAGGATATAAGCGATTCATCTGTTCCTGTGACGTGGCTCCAAAGCTCAGGCACAACTTCCGAATTTCCCAAAGCAGTCCTTCATACCACTCGATCGATTATGTACGTGGTGCTAGAGGTATTCGTCAAATCGATTCAAGAAGCTTGCCCAGATCTGGCTATGGATTCTACCGACGTAATATTGGTAACGGAAAAGCTGTTTCATGGGCCTGCTATGAGTATGTCTATGATAGATTCTAAGTACTCTGTTTTCAAATTAATAATGGCAAGAAAGTTGTTTTACTTATCGCAGTTTCATCTACCATCTGTAGTTACACTTGTAAGAAGCATATTATATGGTGCAAGCATCGTTATGTTCAGCAACGAGATACCTACGCCCCGCGAGATACTAGATGCAGCTGATACATATGGCGCCACTGTGATGGATATGGTTCCAATCTTTTTAATGCAGTTGGCTCAGTATCTGGAACAACATGCGCCTGCCGATCGATATTTGGCAGTTTTACAGCGTTTCAAATATTGTATATGTACTGGAGCACCGCTCAGTCGACCTATTGGCGATTTTTTACGAGCAAAAGGGCTGAACGTACAAAATGGTTATGGAATGACGGGTAACATATTAAAAAAAATCAATCATCTTTAAAAGAATCAGTATCAAATATCTGATAAAATATGTATGCATTGTGATTAGAGACTGGCGCTCTTTGCATTTCCGATGTATCAAAAAACAACGACTACTGGTATAGCATTAATGTTACCAAAGACATGATGCGTTACGTATCTTTGGAGCCGATCATTAAAGATATGCACCAGTTCGTGGTACACGGCAATTGCCCTTCTCTTCCTAACGGTGTAAGCAATCGGCCTAATGGGGACTTTGCAACAAAAGATTTATTTATCAAAGAACCACATGGATCGAGCTGTTGGACGTTTGTTGGAAGAACGGATGATTTATTGATTTTGCATGTATCATTCTTATCCTGCTTTAAAGAAAGCTGCTGGGACAAATTTGCTAATATGTGCAATTTATCTTGACGATACTATAGGAGTAGCGGTGAAAAGGTGCATCCAACGGCCATGGAAATGGAAATCTGCAAGGAGGATGTCATCCAACATTGTATCATCATTTGTGAAGACAACGCGTGGACTGCTGTACTGATTGAACTAAACGAGAATAAAGCATCACAGTTTTCTGCACATGAAATGGCTTCCAAAGGTAAGAGCGTGTGATTATAAAAATATAACAGTGTAAAGGCGTACATATAACAGGGTCATTTTCATAAGGAATTCTCACGTAATTCTATAATAGTATATGACGCTGTACATAAAGCCAACAAGTATGCACCTCCGCATGGTATCATCTTCGTGCCTAACATGGTGTGTATCCTTCCATTTGACAGAAAACTGCCAAAGACCCCAAAAGGAACGGTCAAGCGCAAAGCAGTCGCTGCCACTTTTGCTCAGGAAATCGAACAGATGTACAAAAACCTTTCTTTCAACACGTACTTGGATGTTGCATTGAGCTATTATGAAGCACACATGGCGTAGCTAGAGCGATTGTCAACTTAATCGTCAGCTTTTCTGGTGTATCAAGATATACAAATCTTTGCAGAAATAAAATTATAAGGCACACAACCAGTGACATTTGACACAGTTATTTACTATTACCAAACAAGGCCAAATAAATGATTCACTTCAAATATTAGGTACACTTTCCGTACAATAAACTAATTGCTATTACTGTACCCAGATTTATGTTATACACAAGCTGAAATTATACATGTCTGGAGCATTTTTGATTGAGGAGAGATATGTGGTTAAAGATCGTACCTCACTTCACTTATAAAAGATTAAAACGATGCCTTTAAACACGTGCGCTAACAGACTCCAAGACATTGTTGCCCACGAAGTGTGAAGACGTCTGTCTAGTTCACATACAAGGTGTATTGTCACGTGTCATAATTTATCTGTTTTTTTCGGAGTGTACTTAAATGAGAGTAAAGCGTTGAGTGTTATTAATACAGTAATCAACTACCATAGTCTCGGATGTTTGGCTAGTAGTGGTGGCAATGTGTTTGAAGATCGATCCCTAAAAAGTATTTTAATTGTGTATTGAAATATTGAATTATAATATTAGTTAACTACTTATTGCCCAGACCACGTCTATTGACGTCATTTTTTATTTCAACCGATATAAGGTTTAAATTGACTGTGTGTTGGGTGTGAGTACAGAGGTATCATAAGCAAGGGAAGGAAATTGGACAGCAGCCTTGCAACTTGTCATTTGTTTATGTGTACACATGCAAGCATCGGACCATTTGTGTAAATGTGAACACTACTGCATAGTGAGGGTATCTTCTAACCACTTATAAAGCCAAGTTGAAACCGACGATCCGGTAGTATGAAGTAGAAGTAGTAAAAGAGCTGTAAACAATATTATTGAGCAGAGATTGCGATAGGAACTAACCTCAGATGTGTGCGAAAACGACAAAATTTCTATTTTTATACTGGTTTTGGTTACATTTCGAACAAAAGACCTCAAAAATCGAAAAATTAACATATACGTCAATATGACACGAAAGGACGTTTACATGGGCGCGCAATTTTCATGAACTTTTTCTATGGTGTGTAACGATAATCCACAGAAACAGCAAACGTCAAGTCTTCACGTGTAACGTGTAACGGTGTATATATAGACTAGCGATCATTTTAATAATAATTCGCTTTAATAAATCGCTGGTTTCAGATTCTGTGCTTATATCATGAGTGTCTAGCAAAGACTGCCAGAGATTCCTTTACTTGTTATTTGAAATCCTCCAAAGAAGTCTGTATTTTATGCGTGCGTGCACTGTAAAAGAGAGTGTCAATACAACAACCCACTTTTTACTCTGTGCCTCCGCACTTCTTCTCCTCGCTGCGTTTATCCATTGCTAAAGCCAAATTTCTAGCTCAGTAGTCTGGCAACACAAACGTTGTACGAAGCGAAATGAATTAAAAGAAAGCATCCTTTGCTTTCGAGGCCAATGGTTTATACTTCATTTTTCTTTCTCTCTTTATTCCTTCTACCACCCCTTCCATTCCCTTTCTTAACAAACCCTCTCACATTCCTTCATTTTTTATCCGTCAACAGACGACATAATCAACGGAAAAGTCTTTTCACTATAAGTTTCAGGAACACGAAAACGAACAGTTAGAGCGAGACTACCGCCAACATCATCATCACCATGAGATTTACAGTCCTTTCATTCTTGGCAGTGCTGGTGTTTGCCACATTTGGATCAGCACACAAAACCCAAAACTATATCATCCAACTTAACCAAACAGCTGCTGTTGATGACTGTAAGAATGAAAAATCAGATCAACAACACCGAGGAACAAAAAGCCCATGCATACTGAAATTCGTCACAAATAGTCATTCCCAAGTTCATTCACGATACCACCAAATTTTTCCATGACCTATTCAAGGAAGCTGGTGAAAAACTTGAAGACCTGTTTGACCGAGACAATGATGAATCCGGTAACAACAAAGTCCGAGTTCGCCAAAAGTTTGACATCGGTGGTTCCTTTAAGGCGATTGATATTGAACTCAAGGATGATCGCATTATTGACAAGATCAAGAAGAGTTTCTCTGAAGTGGTCTCGGTTTTTCCGGACGAAGAAGTCCAATTTGAATTGCCCGAGCCGGTTACCAAGAGCAAAAAGAACAACAAGCGCTATTACATTGTAAAAAATAATATGATACAATGCAGTACGATAATGTGGTTGAACTTACCTACTGTTTAAATGATGTATATAGCGTCCTGTGCATACCGGTGAATCGACCTACGAAGAGCCTGAGGAATCACAACCATTTGAAAATGACGTCTCGGCTAATTCTGAATCATCCCATGCTGCCAACACTGAAGGTTGGACATCATACATTTCTGCCACTACGACTGCTGCCTCGGATGACGAATCGGTAACCATCACCACAACTGCCTCTGCTGCTGCCATGACAACCGCTAGTGAGCCGACCTACCTTGAGCAGACCAATGCCCAGTGGAATTTGGTCCGAGCTTCACAACGCGAACTCAACGAATCACAGCCTTACATTTACGATTCGCGTGGCGGGTAAGCTTTTTTCGATGGTCATTCACATTCTCGTGATTTCTATGTTTCTAAATGCCCCGGTTGAATTTTCTGTTTGATTAGTGCCGGTGTCACCGTGTACGTAGTTGATGACGGCGTTGCTATTGACCATGAAGATTTTGAAGGTCGCGCAACACGTGGTTATAGCGCATACAACAGCGGCGATGCTGGCAATGACGGCAACACAACCACCACCTTTGGTAGCAGTGCACAACTTGAAAGCGAGAACCCATACGACGGAGGTGGCCACGGTACACATGTTGCTGGCATTATTGGTGGTAAGACTTATGGTATTGCCAAGAACGTCAGCATTGTCAGCGTTCAGGTGCTTCGCGCCGATGGCAAGGGCACTGTCTCGAGCCTGCTTGGTGGTATCCAGTGGGTCATGGAGCAAGAAAAGAACCGCACGCGCCCCGTTGTCATCAACATGTCTCTTGGCTTGCCCGAAAGCAGTGCTGGTGCCAAGGCATTGAATGAGGCTGTTTCTGCCGCTGTGGATGCTGGTCTTCCCGTCTTTGCTGCTGCCGGTAACTCTGCAAGCGATGCATGCAAGATCTCGCCCGCTGGTAATAACAAGGTGTACACTGTCGGTTCAGTGGACAGCAGTGACAAGATGGATCCTTACAGCTGCTACGGCCGCTGCGTCAGCATCTTGGCTCCAGGTTTCGATATCACAAGTACATACATTGGTGGCAAGGATGCCACAGCCACCATGTCCGGCTCTTCTATGGCAGCTCCCCATGTTGCAGGTGTAGCTGCTTTGCTGCTTCCTGATTTGGACCAAGGCATTGAACCCAAGAAGTTGTACAGCGAGATCACTAAGCTTTCTACCACCCGCAAGATTTCCGATATTCCTGACTGGCTTACGCCCAATCGCCTCGTCTTTAATGGCCAAAAGAAAGATGAAGAGTAAAACTAGGTCTCTTTTACACCTACTATAATGTTTTCCTTTATACTATTATAATATTTGTGTACTTTTACTTCTTCAATAATGCATCACGTTCCTTGACCAGCTGATCGTATTCAGTCGATTGCTGGCCTGCTCGCTTCTTCAACGATTCGAAATCCGGCCTTTGTTTCTTCAATGCACCGATTTCGGCCTTCAGGTCGTCGATCTGCTTCTTGTACGACGAGTCAATTTCAACAAGTCTGTTGGTATCATCATTGGCAGTGGCACTCTGGATACATAAAGTAGGTCATTAGCACAACCGATTCTAGTTTCCAGTTATTGAGTGTTCCTTCGATAAAGTACCTCCTTCTTCATATGTTGAAGCTGCTCTTCACGCTCAAGCATGTCAACAACCAGTGCTGTCGTTCTCTCGAGGATCCTATAGGTATACTTAAATTTTAGCTGTCCAAGATTATCTTGGCTCTATCCCACCAAAATCACTTACAGAGACAAAAACAAGGTAAATCCAGTCAGGTACAGGTTGCGTTGAGCATAGAAGCGCTTGGCCTTCAAGCTTGCTTCGAAGCTGTAATCGTGATGATGTCCTTCCTCTTGTTCGGCCTCTTCACCAATGCGTTGCAATCGGTTAAACGTGTCTATAAAAAATTCATAATTAATGCCATGTCCCTCTCATCGTGCTTCCTATTATGCGTGTCAGATTTACCAATAAACAGTAAAAAGATGAAACTAAAGATAAACGTTCATAAGCCTTTAATGTATCATTGTCATCATCATAAGCATTTTCTTCTTTTCAAAAACTTACGCGAAAATAATCTTAAGAGCGTAGAGAGCTTTTGCGACCTATTTGCACCGTGATTTTCTATGAGTTATACACGTAAACATAAAGTCCCTTTCTAACTAAAATTTATTATTACAACAGGAGACGACTTGAAAGCTCTCATCATTGCTCGACGCCAGTGCATTGGAAGTGGTAACTACATAAAATACAATTCCTTTTAGTACTAGAGTGATGAATCCGCAACTGAACTAAAAACTTACCACGACCAAGCAGAAGACGATCATCTATTGACAAGAAAAAACAGCCAGAATTAGTCGCGCGGTGTACAATATATTTGAACACATATTTATACTAGAGAAATACCTCCAGAACCAAAAGTGTAAACGTAAGTGTATAGTAGATTGTCATTGTTGTAAAGCCAACGTGTCAAACCCGAGAAAGAAGAAAAAAAAAGGGACGAAACGACTCGGGGACCTGAAGAAATTGGATTGAGGGCAACCGGAGTGTTGTTGCTTGCACATGATTACGATTTCGCAGCATGATCGATTGTTTCAATTATATCATTATGCGTTACGGAAGAGTTTAGAAGGAGTAAGAACTCTGTAACTTTCGTCCTAAGTGTATATCTTGCCCTGAGGATGGCAATACGTTGTCCAGACAATAGTTTTGTCACGAAAACGAGTGCGGATGTTCCCACAGTTTCGCTTGCTTTCACAAATCCTGTGAGACGGTCTACAAGTGATACAAGCGTTGATTTTATTATGCCTGTCGCTCATCGCTTTCATATTTCCGTTTTCTTTCTTCCTTGCGCCTTCCCTCCCCGAAATGTCAGCAAACACGTATCAAAAACTTGCTACAATCGTGGACACGCATACTATGTAAAAAGAACCTCCATTTCTGATCATCCGTTGGTAAAGCATAACACGTCGTTGAAGGCTTAATATTGTGCGATTAGTGATGAACTCGGGTTGGTGTTTGGATTACCCGACGCGAACGATCTCCCTCCATACAGCCAGCAGTTTTACCCGTTAATCTTTGTTGAATCCAAGTTGGGACTTCCACTTCAGCATTTACACGACCTTATACGCGAAGCAGATCAAGCGATGCACGAAGCAAACGATGCAAAAGCTGTAGAGCAGTCAAGTAGGATCATGATTGCGTTAAAGCCCGAGAACTATACAGCGATGAATATTAGGTATGGAACGCGCAACAACGAGGGCATAGTAACTGCATAACTCACGCGAACTTTTGACCAAATAAGAAAACAGCTTGTTGAATCAGGCAAAGTTACTTTAAAAGACGAGCTACAGTGGATCAATTTGGTTTTCACGGTGCAAAAGCATTGCAAAAGTAACGTTGCATGGCATCACCGGTAAATACTCGAAAGCAAAAAAGAGACGTAAAGAGAGTGAAGGATCGCCTCTTTAACAGTGGATGATTGATCAAAGAATGAAAATAATCATAGGCAGTGGCTTTTCATGCGTCCAGGCGCAAAGAACGAAATAGATCTGGACCACGAACTGCAACTGTGCGCACGTACAGCAACCTTACATCCTCGAAACTATTATGCATGGAATTATCGTCGGTGGCTGTTGGAATCTCACATGACCACCCAATTGCTTCGAGAAAGAGAGTATAAGGAGACACAGATATGGGTCGAAAAAAATGTGAGCGATCATTCCGGTGTTCATCATTTAGCGTGTGTTATCAAAGCAATAAGCCAGGACCCGTACTTTGACGGACATAAGCACTTGAGCTGGATCGACGGTCTTATCACTCAGTTCCCGGGCCACGAAGCATTGTGGAGTCACTTACGATTCTGTTGTTCTACGTTCGCTGTGTCCACTTTAGGTCATGAAGTTGTTGAAATTGTCATCCAGAAGACGGTTGCAATATCAGAGGAAGAATCAGAGAAGAAACTACAGCTACAACTCGCACTTTGTTTTGGGATATGGCTATGCATTTGGGTAAGGATGTAGTATACATTACTAGTTTTAAGCTCACAATGGAAAAAAACTAAAGCGGATGATCTAGGAGAAGCGACATAGATCCAATAACAGCTTATCAGCCGAAAGACAACATAAGGCATATACAGCTCGATTACATGAGCTGACGCCAATACCCAAATATATTAAAGTATAAAATTCCAATTTTTTATATAAACATGAAAAGTGGAGGCGAGATCTATTATATACAATTTTTTTTTCTGATTTGTGGACTCTGTCTAATTATTGAGGGTTTAATCCTTCTTCTTGTGTTCACCAAAGACATCGTTGGAAGGACCGAACATCAGGACAGGGTCACAGGTTCGGACAGGGTGCTCACGACCAATCTTTGTAATCTCCTCAACATCCTCGGGGTCCATCTTGAAATATTCAATGTTAGCCTTGATACGCTCAGGCGTAACAGACTTTGGAATTACTATTAAATCAAAGGAAGATAGTACAGGAGTCAATATCTCGCGACACTTTCTGTACCATGAGCACATACTACGAAAACAGAAAGAAACTTACCGCAGTAGCCACGGGCAACACCCCAGTTGATAAGGACTTGAACAGGCGTCTTGCCATATTTCTCAGCAGCCTTGAGCACAGCAGGTTCCTCGAGCGTCTTGGAATGGCCAGTGGAGGCGAACCAGGAGAAACCTGGGTTGCCAAGTGGCGAGTATGCGGTCAAAGCAATGTTGTGGTCCTTGGCCCAGTTGACCATCTCCTCCTGTGGCAAGCTAGGGTGAATTTCAATCTAAGAAATAATAGGTTTAGTATGTGTATGTGCTTGTGTGTGTTTCTACGACCACCCTTCAAAGATATTTGTTTAGTATCATTGATTACTAACCTGGTTCATGGCAGGAGGAATTTCAGCTTTGGAAATCAAGTCCTCAAGCATAGGAATAGTAAAGTTGGAAACACCTATGTTACATATGGCACAATTAAGATTTTAGTTTTCTGTCACACCCGGTGATCATTTGTTTGATTGAGCTTTGCAGGCAAGAACTTTATATATTTACCGATCGAACGGACCAAGCCGTCCTTGACCAATTTTTCCATTTCGCGCCAAGTGTCGATAATAGGGACGTCAATACACTTGATGTCATTGTTCTCATCCTTGACTTGAATCTGCTCATGGTCATAGCCATGGAATTCCCAAGCCATGGGCCAATGGAACATGTACATGTCAATGTACTCGAAGCCGAGGTCTTGCAACGAACGTTCACAAGCAGGACGCACGTGCTCGGGGCGCTTGAATGTCTGCCACAGCTTTGTGGTGACAAAGACTTCTTCTCGGGGCACACCGCTTCCACGAATAGCATCACCCAACGAACGTTCGGTCTTGTCTGTTATGAATTGAAATGTAAGTTGTCCAATGAAATTTTATTGCTTTTCTTGTAGCCTAAACACAAAGTATCACTTATTACTTAATGATACTTACACAAATAAGCAGTATCAAAGTGACGATATCCCTCCTTCAAGGCGACTTTGGCAGCGTCATGCACCAAGTGTGGGGCATCGGCGCCACCGAATGTGCCGTAGCCGATTTGTGGCAAGTCATAACCGCTATTAAGCTATGTATTCCATGAGCAAATGGATAATTTAGTGTTAGCCACCCTCGTTATTATATTGTGCTCAAACTACTATGATCATGCAACGAAAACAACACACACCTTGACAGTAGGAACGTTTGCAGCCATGGTGCTGTATAGGAAAAGAAAAGTATAGCTTAAAGAAAAAGAAGAACCAAAGAAATTTCGTCTCCGTTGGTGTTATATGCTTGAAGCTAGACGGGGCAACAAGCGCAATGACGTAAGGAAGGGTATCCATGCAAACCCCTGTGCGTCAGAGACATACGGAGACATACGGATTTCTGTTTTTCTACGCAAACCCCTCCCGGCGTTCTGTTGTTATTCTTTCTCGATTATGGCTACTATACAAAGATAGAATCTTCGAAGAAGATCGCCATCCGTTCTTCTAATATCTTTTGCTTTCTTCACTTTTTAGGCGGTGCTGCCCAAGATACAAGCGCAAAAGCGAGTACACGCGTGCATGTAATACACTCTCTAGTAGATCTGTACGCGATAAGTCTGATCTTTTTTGCTGGAATCTCAGTCTGAAATTGACAGGCTGTTTATTCCGAATTGGGCTTCAAGCCGACAGGGCTCGCGATCCGTGTAACCGACGCGTCAAGAAACCAAACAAACGCATATGATATAATGATGTTCCTCTTTTTTTTCTGTCGCTTCATTATTCACGCTCAGAAAGATCACGAAAAAGATAGCATCTACCATGTTGCTTAATTTGCTCATCACCACATGATACTAGAAGAAATGCATCATTCCATATACAGGATTTTTCCTAATGATTGGCGGGGTCTTTTTTCCCATCATGGCGATGCTATTTTTATATATTGGCGTTGGGGAAGGGGTGCCTTTGTACGGCGGTGTCGTTTTTGTGCAATTTTTTCGATGTTGGCAGATATATGAAACTCATATTGGCGGCTGGGCAGTCTAAGCAGAGATATTTGCATACTAGGTCCTAAACTGAGTCGATTTTCAAAAGTGTATTCGGTTGCTTGGGGTGAAGACATTCAAAATAAAAATATATAAAACCAAAGCTATACCTTGGATGAAGGACCCACCAATCTTTTTTGCTTCTTGTCTTGCTGATCGTTCTTATTCCATTAATTTCTTGTCTTGCTAATCGGTCTTGTCCCTTTAATTCTTGCTGCAGATGACGAGAAGACTGATAGCAGTTGTGTAACTTGCTACCAAGCATATATCTCATTTCAAAAAGACTTTTTTTTCCTTATGAAAAAATGAGAATGTGAACGCAAAAGCTCGAAAATTGTCGCCCTGCTTCAGAGCCAAACCATGTATTACGATTATTCTTGATCGAGTTTGTAATATATTAGTTATCTTGTGAGCAAACGAAAGATCTTCTGTGTCGTTCACTTCATAACTGTATAAAATATCTTTTTGCTTTGGTAGCATACATAATAATGCCTACGTATCTGAGATGTTGGGACAAACAAGATTCGTTATATGCGACTATCTGGGATTGTTTCTGATACTAAAATGCTGCTCTTTTTGTAACTGAATGTAATAAACTTGGCAAATAAATCGTTATTGGAGAAATCGTCGACACGATCTTGTTGTTCATGGTATATATTGTGGTCGTTTAGTATAACTTTTAATTAGACAGCTTCATTATTCGTTTTCCTTGATATGATGTTTACGCAATTGAAATTAACACCATGAAACTTTTGATCGACGACGACAATATATCGGTCCAGGTATTCATGTAGTGATTCTCTTTTTTTTCTTCAATATATGAATAGCTTTTATGAGTGCTGGTATTCGTAATTCGGAGACTCCACTATTACTTGCTCTGGGTATTTGGTTCATGAAAACGAATCATCTATAGCTAATGTGGTTGTTTACGTCAAAAATCTACAGATACAGTATATGAGATGATATTGCATGAAATGCCACAAAAGATAGAGGGAGATTCATCATGCTTGATCAGTCCTTATCATAGGTGAAAATGCCTGAAAATATCTGAAGTTACCTGATCAGCGATTATATAACATAAAGTAAAATTATCATGCTTGATCTTATTTGATTTTGCCTGACAATGACTCGATATACTTTCTTCTTCTTGATATACCATGATAATGGCGGTAATATAGTTTATGCTGGTTTATCATAATGAATAATGATTATAATATGAATGATAATGATAATGCTTGATCATGTATGATGTTGCTTGACATTGCTAGATATTGCTAGATCACGTATGATGTTGCTTGATATTCCTTGATTATCTATGATAATTAATTTCTAAGAAATAGTACTACACAGACAAATATTCTTGTTTTATTACATATAACTTTTCGTGTTTAAAAGATATACGTGATTCATCTTCATTGTTTGAATTCACATTATTAGACCAAGCAACAAGCTTTTCCAGCAAGTGATATATATGTAGGTAAATCATATACAAATTTATTACAAGGATATAATTATCAAGTTAATAAAGCTTTATCAACCAAAATCATGTAGAATTATACATGATCATAAAGATGAGGAGTTAGTCCTATCATTAGGTAATTTTAGATAATATCATCACGGGGAACAAAAAAAATTAAAGGAAATGATTATGTCACCCTTTTATATAAAAATTGTGATGTATTTACTAAGAAATATTACATGATAGTTCCACTCGAAGCAAAAAAAAAGAAATGGATTTCTTGGATGATAATGTGGAGGTGTTTGAAGGAAATGATTCCAAGTGTATCGTGTCGTATGTGGGTATGTACAAAGATGATGGAGGATATTTCTTGGTTGTTTTTTTTGCGAAGTTTCTTGAACATAAGCTAAACGCTTTACGGGTCTTTTGGTGACCTTTTTGAAATACAAAGGAGAAAAACTTGAGTGGATGAGTGATTTTTTTGTTCATCAAAATGCACATAAATGCCTTGTCATCAAAGAGATGGGTCGTCAAAGTGTTTTCTGTTCATTCAACAGGTTTGGCTTCGTTGTTGTGAATTTTTTCTAGAATGACCTTATAAGTTAATATCCAAATATGCAAAGACATAGAATTCCATACAATTGTAGTGTTACGGTGAGTTTGGGGTATGCCAGGTAGTAGTTGCGTAGTAACGGTTCATGTGTATGTTATGTAGTGAGCACCAGTATTAATATCGTTTATTACAGACGAGTTGTGAAGTGATATGAGTGTAAAGTAAAGTAAAAATCTGTATGGTTTATGTTCAAGGTTGTAAATAGTAGTGAGCTGATGTCTTGATTAAGCTCAGTGAGTAGAAATAAGGATCAGGAATGTAACGTCTGTCCAAGTAAATAAGAAATAAGAGCAGGAATAATGTTACGTCTGGTCCTAATAAAAGAGTTTATTTAGCTTCAGTTATGAGCAATAAAAAAATGTAAGATGAAACAAGCCGTGTTAGGTCTTGACTGATTGAAAACAACACTTGAAATTAAGTAGAATGTGGGAGGTGAGAATTCAATGTCATTATTCAAGTAAAAATGAGTTGGTATTTATATCTTTCAAAATATTTCAATATATCTATTCTAATTGAACATCAAGGAAGATGCTGGAAGGTTGTGGAAAGTACTCGCATTCAATGATTATAGATGTGGAATCAGTTGGAAAGTCTAGGAATAATGCTGTTAATAGCTATATTTTGGCAATTTGGAAGGTACCCGAAGGTTGTAGAGTTGTTGCTGCGCTACTTTTGTATCGCTGTGTCCTTGGCTTTATGAAAAGTGCCAGAATGCTGTAGTAATTGCGAGGCTGCTGTGGTAGAGCTCTTGTTGTTGTGTGATGTCATGTGCTTGATGTTTGTTATGCAACTCTTTCTTGTATTCAGATTTTATTGGAGGGATAGTTCTCGGGTATCAGTAGTATTATTAGCTATATTAACCTGTTCTCTTTGAAGACGAATCGGCGAATCGAATGAAGGTACACATCTTGTTTCCATATTGTTCAAGTTTTTGTTTTTGATAGAATTTTTTAAATTGATCGCGCTCGATACAACAATTTTCTAAAATATATATTATATGTTGTGTAGTGTTGTTAATAGAATACTTCATAACTACAAAATAAAGTTTACCTCGCTCGTAATGAATTCTACACCAATCCTGTATTTTCATAGTGTAGAAGGAGGGGGTAAATAGCAGCGTCACCATCCCTATTATTAAGAGACACTCTCATAACTATCGAATTTACAAAGTCCTATTGAGCCTTTTATCATTACACAAGAATACAGTACCACCCACTCTATAATACATATTCCATGTCTAGTACTACCCATATAAATATCTTAATTCAGAGAGATATCAAGAGACACCTTTCTTCCCGCAATTGGATTGAAGAGGTCCTGCGTGTGAGTGACACCCGTAGTCTAGCGTTGCTGTCTGTACCGTTATTTATTTTGTATCGTTCATTATCCTATTCTTTGGTTAGTGAATCTGACACGACCGCATTTTGTATTTGTTCTGCTTTTTTGTTTATTTTGTTCGACTATACGCAGACCCTGTTCGAGGATCCCACTATAGTTCGAGCGTTTTCTATACATCCCTGAAGTAGGGTTTGTTTGTATTTTGTTGTACCCCCTACTTTTGGCTCACATGGCAGGGTTCTTCCCTCTAGATCCTGCCGCTGTTTATTTGCCCACGTCGACGTTATAATAGGCAGTTCAGTGTACTTGATTTGCTTGAATAAAGTTAGGTAAAATGACCTTGCAGAGGTTAATATTTTTTTGTCAGTCACACTGTTATAGCATTGAATTTCATTGATGTTTGTATATTAACTTCTACCCTTTTGGTCCCTATTATACGAAATAATAAAAGTGCTGATTTGCAAACAACGAGGAAAATGATAGAGTGAGGCACATATCTGTTCACAAAAAACACACCGCCATTCAAAGGCACCCCCAACGCCGATATGTGAAAATAGCACCGCCATGATGGGAAAGAAGACCCTGTACACTTGCTTCTTCTACACTTGGCTCTGCTTTCAAACAAGCTTTCTGATCTATTTTTACTCGTTTTCTTATACCACAATTCAATGGACTATCCTACGCTGTGGCACCTACTATAACTCGTGCTCGTCTGCCATGAAGCATGCGATCATCGGGAACAAATGTTCGATTCGTTTCTTTCACGTCGTATCGTGAATAATTTATGCTTAGAGTGGGTAGAATTTGCCCACTGCGTAACTGTCGCTTTGACACAATGATAGCGTTCCAGCTGTCGCTCGAGATGGCCGGCAACCCATTATCTCCGATCGCGTCCAACGCATTCAAATGTTGCCGACCTTGGAGAGCGTTTGCAAGTGCTACAAGAGCAACTTGCAAACAAGAAAGCAGCTTTACGGTCAAAAAACTCCTCAGGAAGGCAAGCATGCGATCTTACAGTCATCGTTACAAGACCGTATTCCTGCTCAGGTGGGACTGCGTCAATTACTGTAGCTCGAATGAAAAGACATACAAAGAGGACTATATGCTGTGGACAGGGTATCTAATTTGTCAAGACTATTGTATTAAATCACACAGGAGCATCTAACACTGTTTTTACTTTTATATGACATCATACAAAGGCAATCAAACGAAACATTGACGAAAACCACGAGAGGAAGAAGCGACTCCGCCCCATACTGTCGTGCAGCAACAACCCAATCGACTTGTTTAACGTCAATCTTGACACTCAGGCTTACGATGCCTCGGATTATGGGCACGTTATCATGAATGCATCATTAGTTTTCACAAAGGAAGACATGTTTTGTCGTTTAGGCTTGCACAACGCGGCAAATGGTCATCTGCGCGTAATAATCTCCAAACTCACCAACTTAAGCTAGCAAAGGCTTTTACAATCTAATACGAGCATGTGCACGAAGTATCCGGGGCAGACCTTATATCGAGAAGTTACAAAGGCGAAAACAAATAACGATATTTATAATGATGTGGCGTGCGTGTATATCAAGCAATGTAATACGCGTTTAACACAGCTTCTTCTTTTAAAAGGAGGCCCAAGTGCTTGCTGCGGAAGGAAAACGACATTTGATTGAGAGGATATACTCGCACGTCAAACAGTAAGTTCATCATAGTAATGCTACTCTTGGTGAACGATACACTGCTAACGAGTTTGTTTGTCTTGTAGACTTACTTTGTTGCATCCGACACGCTTGGAGCATGCCGATAAATACGCAATTCATATCATCCAGATGCCAAGCACAATGATCGCCGACATCAACAAATAAAACTGAAGTCCACCAAGACATGACTTGCCAAGGAAGAGCGGCCAAGAAGACGGGTGTTGCTAATAAGAAGATGCAGCTAGTGATGATTGTAGGGCAAGCCGGGAGGGTGTTGGGTCCCCCTTGGGTGGACGTCCAGTATGGTGGCTTGCGGCTACGAGAGCAGCATATGCACGCGTTCCCTGTGATTATGCAAGATGAATACCATTCATCACGAACCTGCCCTTTTTGTTCAACCAACTGATATTGACAACCAACCAGCACATTCTGTATCGGCGTGGTGCGTTGACAGTAATGTTTAGCACTACTCATCGAACCCTTCCTTCTTTTTGGACCCAACGTCTTACACATCGAACACAGAGCTTGCTACTTTGATACCAGAATTTACGCATGCCACATCGTTGCCGTGAGTAGTAAGGGTGTGCTTCTACCATTTTCTCATAGTTTTTCAACAGGAACTGTGCCCGTTTCTGTGGTGCTTCCCGGACGTTTGTGGTTTGCAACTTAGTTTCAAAATTAAAAATCTATCTAGTCTCCTCCCCCAGTTTAGAACTATTTGAGCTGTGCTGTAATAAATCTTGATAGTCCCCGTTTTATATCAGCGGCAAAACAATGGAAGTGGCGAGAAAAGCCAAGGGCGCCAGCGTTCAGCTACAATTCTACGAACAATTCAACACAATTGCTTGCTTTGAACCAATCTGCGATCCACTACTATCTGAACTACACGACCAACAAGCCGATCTCTCCCTTCAAGCACGCGATCTCAGTCTCCTAATCGGTCAACTCCAACAGTACCAGCAAGACCATTTAGGCGTACACAGCACTCGGCCCAACAATGCCCCTCTACGGATACCCGCAAAGCTCTTTAAATTTGACGAAAACCAAGCGCTGACCACCGATTCACCTGTTTACTTCATTTTACGAGCCGCATACACTTATCGCATCAAACATAATTGGCGCAAGTTTGACTTTGGTCCTTCCAAAAAAAGCAAGAATGCAGATTTAATTAAAGGCATCCGTGAAGAACTACAACAAGCCGGTTTGATCATAAGTGCAACGATCGGCTTAAGCGACACAGTGCCGGACTCTGCACGGAAAACCATAAAATCTTTAGCAAAAAAAATACACTGTATGTGCTGTTTCTTTGTGTCTTCTAATTCCTCCTTTCACGGACCTTTTCACACCACGTAAAGCTAAGCATAACAAAACTTCTTTGTAGTACAAGTCCTTGACGACGCAAGCGAAGCAACACATATCTTACACGGACCACTCCACGAATATGAAGTTGGGGAAGAAGAGTGGTTCCGTACGTTAGAGAAGCGTGACAGAAATGTACTGGTGCACTGGTGGTACTTTCCCGACTCATACGACAGCTGGCTGCCACAAACCGACCAATTTGCTGATCCAGAAGAAGCTCCCGAACACCATGGTGCTTGGAATATCGCTACACGATGGCTACAAGATAGCGTGAAATACAATGAGCTCGTGAACGAAGAGGATTACGAGGACGTCGACGGTGAAGAGGATCAAGAAGAAGAAGAGCTGGAAGAAGCAGAGGAGGAGGAGGAGTTACCAGATGCTACAACCGCGGATGTTAGACAGCGAAGTGAATCAATAAGCGAATCGAAATTGAAAGCCTCCGTGCCTTCATCGTCTACGCTCGTCAAAACTGAATTATCAAGCAGTAAACAGCAGCAGGAAACACAGCCTCCACCGCCATCACAGCAGCAACCAGCATCAATATCCACTTGTACTAGCACTGCTACATCACCCCAACAACAAGTTCGGCAACCGTTACAGCATCTGGATTATGTCGAAGTAACCGTCGCACCGCCTGTACCTGTTCTTAATCCGGAATCGCAACCTGCTGTGCGTATTCGAGATATTGAAAAGGATCGACCCCAGCTTGGTAGCCGACAACGCAAGAATGAATTTGAGCCATACAGCAACGGTGATGCTACGAACATCTCTCAATACACCAAAGAGTTCATGGAAAATCCTGCCAAGAGCGATGTTTCATTGATGGACTTGGATAAACCCGAAGATATCGAAGGTAAAAGAAATTAGAGAATATCATGATAAGCTCGAATGTATGTTTGATAGATTGACTGAAGAAATCTGTGGGTTTACTTAGACGTCGAATCGAGTGATGATGACAAAACCTTTACAGGCCCAGAATGGTTCAGTCTGTCAGATATAGCAGACAGGGAGAAAGTAGCGCTTCCGGAATATTTCAAGAGTCAAGACAAGCGAGGGGAAAAGGGAGCAAATGAATACAAAAAGTATCGAAATTTCATGGTTCAAACATATCGAAAGAATCCGGGATATTACCTGACCTTTTCTGCGTGCAAGGATGCGCTCAAAATTGATATGCTGGCCATTGTTCGGATACATACATTCTTGGAACAGGCAGGACTGATCAACCATTTGGTAACTATTGATCTACTTTTAACTGTAAAAAACATGTCCTTGAAGAAAAAGTTTTTGATGTATCTTATTTTCTGCTAAGGTCGATCCGCGTCGAAGGCTGTTCGATCCATATATTGACAGCGAACCAGAAGCACAAATTTCGCAGCCAGGAACACAACGCGATTTCTCTGTCAACGAGCCAGATATTCAATTCTTACGCAACCTGATTTATGAAGAGATTCCCAAGAATTCGAAAGAATCCGCATGGGATGTGGAAGTGTATGACGACCTGAATGCAGACGGACGTAGTGTGTTCTCGTGCACAAACTGTCATGGAGATTGTAGTGAAACGCGCTATCATAGTCTCAAATACAAGGGAATACATGTATGCACCAACTGCTTTTTAGATGGCAGATTTACAGCGGCAACGTGCAAAGGCGAATTTTTGCGTGTCGACAAGGGTGATCGAGAAGTACCAGAAGATACATGGTCCGAAGAAGAACTTTTGCGATTGCTGGAGGCAGTAGACAAGAATGACGATGACTGGCTTGCCATCTCAGAGCATGTGGCCACACGTACCAAAGAGCAATGCATCACACAGTTCCTACAACTTCCCATCAACGACGAATTCTTGACAGCCAAATTATCAAACAAGGAATTAGAGGAACTGCCTTTTGGTGAGCAGCCGAATCCGGTCATGACTTTGATCGCATTTCTATCCAGTCATATCAACCCTGGTATCGGATCGTCTGCAGCAAAAAGTGCACTCAAGGAACTAATGAAGAAAGACTCGGAAGAGGAACAGGCAAACGGCTCGGCAAACAAAGAAGACAGAATGGATGTGGATAGTCAAAGTGACGACGATGACGACGATATGGATGATGATGATGATGAGGAGGAGGAGGAGGCAAAGACCGCCTTTTCTCGTAAGAAGATGAAAAAGGCAACTGTTGCAGCATTGGAAAGCGCAATCGATCATGCAAAGAAGCTTGCATCTTACGAACACGAGGAAATTCAGCATTGGACACGTTTAGCAGTTAAAACTTTGGTCGATAAACTGATGATCAAGGTACAACAATATGATGAACAAGAAGTGTTTTTGGAGAACGAGCTCAAAGAACTTGAGAAGCAAGGCAACACTTTGCTTACCTCACTAGAAGCATTAAGTAAGCAATATCCTCCTGGCAACAGAGCGCTATATGCTGCTGCCAAAATGACCAACTCCAATCCTGCTATTACAATCCCACCTACAAGTACTACTGTTGCAGCAACTAGTGGTCCGCCTGAAAGTACTGCTGGCTCGATCATTGCTCCTGCGACCAGTGCTACGTCGCCCACCACCACAACACCTACCACAACCACTCCTACTACCCAGCATTAATTACTTACTCTCGCTTGTATGATATTTCCCCCATTTAACATAACGTTCTGCTTTTTGTTCAAACCCTTTTTCTTACTTTTATTGTTCGACATAATAAACATTTGCATTCTCAAAGGAAATAAAACAAGGTATGTACAGTGGCATTAAAGTGCGTTAGATATTTACTTGGAGAGGTGTCTATACAGTTGATGACGGCCATTATGTATCGTAAATCTCTATCCGGCAGAGGTCATCAAATTCTGATATAACACTGTCATTTATACTTGGATGATTGATCCACGTTGATAGTAACGCCAAACCTTCTTGGCGACTTCTCACATTCGACATTCCTTTTTCACCGAGCAACGTATCCACTGTTTTCATAGCACTTGCATACATGGCAACGATCGATGTTATCCTATTCACTGCATCGTATCATACAATACCATGTGAGTAAACGATCAAGTGTCCTAATCTGATGTAGAGTGATTTACCATAAATGATCATTGGGCAAGTTTTGTAGAGAGGTACGGATTGTACAAAGGTTTCTCCTTGAAGATCACATAAACGCTTCGATATTGCTTGTACTTCTGCAACCTGTTGCTTCATTTTTTCGTGTTGTTTCCCCTAGACTCAACTCTTTTAGCACATCTTTCTCTTCCCTTCTGGGACTCAAGTCGCGATATGTTATTTACCATCTTCAGCGCGATAGTACTTAGTTTTTCATGATTTTGTTTGATGATCCACTCCATTTTCTTATGATACGCGTGGACAACGTTAGGGAATTCTTGTAATAAAGCTGGATGCCAGTATGCTGGCTCATCAACGTATCTTTTAACAAAGTGTAAGTATCAAAAAGTAGGAGGACTTGGTGGTGTGCGTCTTTCTGACGATCAATCGCGCATAGCGCAGTATTATCGCACCTGGACTGGATCGTTGCATTGACTAAAGCGTTCGCCGTGGAAAATCCGTCTGTACTGATTTCATGCCAAGTTGCGCGTGCTCGTTTAAAGTCTTCAAGTATGGTTTCAAGGCGCCGTTTCAACGATGCGACTACTTGTGCCATTTTATATAAAGATGTCAAAAAGAAAGAATAAGAGAAGCTTGCTGAGTTTTCTCCCTGCTTTTCTTTTTTGTTCATAACGATCATGTCAGGTAAAGGGAGTACAACTTCGAAAGCAGAAAAATTGCAAGCATAATAACTGAAAATGATTGTAATTTAAAAATAGACGATTCGATGAAGGTTTGTCTGATGAACATAAATTTAAGTTAATTGTTGAAATCCTCAAACGATGACTGTTGAACCTGCAGGAACTCGAAGAGCAGTTGAACGCGTTCAAGTCTGGTAAGGAAGCAACTTTAGTCTTCGTCCACTATACTTAATCCATACTTACTTTCCTGGTCTTTAACAATAGATTTGGAAAAGAATCAAAACGATGACGAGAAAGTGGCGAGCGTCCTGCTAAAACGCGCAGTAATATACGAGAAGCTCAACAAATTTGATCAAGCGCGGGCCGACATTCAAACTGTACTACAGCGTAACCCTTCAAACGAAGCAGCTAAAAAACAAGCACAAGAACTGTATACACGCACATCAACAGCAGCGGCAATTACAGCAACAGAGACGTCGCAGTCAACTAAAGAAAACAATGAAGCCGATCCACTCACCGCTCGGTTCCAACAGTACCTTCAACGCATATCCAGCAATAATCTAACGGAAATCCGTTCCTTCATCCAAACTAATGACTTTGTTGACGTTTTGTTCGCATGCGGCACACCCGAGGCATCAACACAGGCCAAAGCAACAGCTTACATGATCCTCACCAAACTCTTCAACCCACCACCCGAGATTCAAAAGGACTATCCAATCCAGCAGATTATTGAGCTCTGCGCTCGCTATTTTTCGCGCAGCGTTGATTCTGGAAAGAATGCCGAGAAATTACTGGCGTATCGCACATTGTTGGCAGTTTTTGAAACCAGTATGACCATAGGTGCTGCTATTCTGAGCCAGGAAGGCACGGTTGAGGAAATGATGGATACGATTGATTTTGAGATACCCGAAGTCCAGCAAGCCATGGCGGACATACTGGCGATTGCTTCATCCGACAAGTCCTGCCAAAAAGTAATTGTCAAACATGGCAGTGAATGGCTTGCCAATACGGCATCCAGAGCTAAAGACGAAAAGTTAAAAGCGACAGCACGAACAACATTGACAAAGCTCCAGGCACAGCAGCAATACGGACAGCAGGACGAAAATAACGATGGCGGCGACAAGACAACGGACTTCTTGCAAGAAGCTATGAGCAAAGTGAACCTTGACAGCACCGATTTGACAGATACCCTGATGGCAGCGATCAAAAGTTACAAGACACAAGATGATTCTGTTGTGCTGAATGCAGTAGAAGGACTTGCCTATTCCACATTACAAGGAAGTGTCAAGGAAGCTGTCGCTAATGATCCAGTACTGCTCAAAGCCTTGGTGGCAGTGGCTATTAATACAGCTGGTGCAAATAGCAACCCGCTACTGTTTGGCATCGGCACTATTTTCAAAAACATTACGACATACAAGCCCGTTCTTGACGAGCAGCAAAAACAAATCAAACGGTTACGCGAAATGGCCAACGCCAAAAGTAAAGGAAAACCGGTACAGCCTGAACAAGAAGACGCAACCGAGGATGATTCGGCAGTGGATGACCGTGTACGCGCAGCAGTAGACAATGGTGCTGCTTTGGCGCTCCTTGTGCTATCTAAAAACACCAGCGACAACCTGAAGGCTGTAGCCGCACAGACATATCTCAACCTCGTTACACCACAGACCACGCGCGGTAAGCTCCTTCAGCAAGGTATTATCAAAGGCTTGTTACCATTAGCGCAGCAAAAGAAAGACGCAGCATGCTATCTGGTGAGCGCACAAGCACTTGCTAAGCTCGCCATCACATCGGACCCACGTATCGCATTTGGCGTGCAGACATCCCACGAGCTCGTCGCTCCATTTCTGGCGTTATGCAAAGACAGCACACAACTGCGTCAATTTGAAGGTTTAATGTCGCTCACCAACCTTGCCTCAGTGGACGACCAAATACGGCAACGAATCTATATTGATGGCGGCATGTCAGCATTTGAGAACCTACAGCTTTCCAATAATGACATGGTACAGCGAGCAGCAACAGAAATGATTTGCAACATGACATTCTGCGACCCAGTATTTGAAACTTACAGCACCAGTTCAAATCGATTAAGACTGTTGATGGTTTTATCCGACCATGAAGATCCAGCAACTCGACGAGCTTCATCAGGTGCCCTGGCTATTTTGGCAAACAGCAAAGAGGCATGCGATCGGATTATCAAGGTCGATAAGGCATATGAGCGGATCACTCGACTGCTATCTGGCGATGAAGAAGTTGATATCCAGCACCGTGGCATTGAAGTGGTGCGATGCGTGGTTGGGAACGAAGGCAAAGAAGCTGCCGAGGGATTCGCTAAAGAACAAGCACATGTTAGGTTGGCAGAAATTGTCATGAAATGCCAAGTCAATGTGGTCCGGACAGCTGCTATGGAAGTGCTCAAGATGTTTGTAGCAAATGGTGTCCAAATAAAATAATAGAATTCGGTCATTTTTGTGTGCTGGATATACTCAGTTGCCAACATAACACAATTTGTCTTTGTGGGGTTTAGTACAATGACCTACGATTTTTCAAGCAATGGTTTGCTTCTATTGATCCAACTTCTAATTGAAAATAAGTTGAGTGCCTATTCAGAGAACAAAGACACTCGACAAATATTTATACGTATTTCTCACTTCGCTTAGATATATACTGTTTTAGCAACATTGTCGAAAGATCACCTTTGAAACGAGTTCAAGTAAGACTTTATTAATAGCATAAAGTCAAATGATATCATGTTCTTCGGCTGTTTGCTAACCAATAGCAGAACAGACGGGTACAGACATATAGTCATTTCATTTAATGCAATGCAACGTTGTTGTTCCTCCTTTTCAATATTTATGAACATGATCGGGAAGCCAAGTGACACAGAGCGAAACCGAGGCTAGACTTAATGTACAATCTCTCTATATAATGACGCGATTTCGACACGAAAAGATACAACGGCAAAGACGGATACAAGTCCTACTTTGACTATATTATGGCAACGGCCTTCTATCTGACAAAGGCGTTATTATCGTTGATAACGGTTAGCATTATGCTCTTCTCCGTAATCAAGTGTCAAGGCTATTATTTATGTCTGTATATTGTGGCTAGCTCACATGATTTATTGCTTGCAGCCCTTCTATACGGTGAAGTACATCGATCTGCTGGTTACGGCGAGCCTATAAACCCAGTTTCTGAAGTTCACAAACAGGTTCAGCTTCTTGCTAGTCTAATCCACGAATTCGATCAGCATGTGGCAAATGATCCTCGTGTGCGAGTAGTGATGAAGCAGTGATTATCGGATAAATACTGGAGGCAACTTTTAGTATCACCGCAGCTATCATATACACGTATATCGATAAATTTGAAAGAATAAAAGTTCAAGTATACTTTTCGTATTATACTGCCTTTGTTACACATGCGTCTCATTAACGGGCAAGTAAGGCAGCCGCTATTGCTACCTTGAATGTCGAGTACTTTTAGCGATAGATTTTACTGTATCATACGTAAATCGATTTTATTTTGAAGTACTACTTCTAGGATTTACTTGAAAAACATTGAGTATATGGATAGTTAATGCATGATATGTGCGTTGTTTTGCTCCCTTCTTCCGAGTTATTTGCATAATGCGGCTGCCGTAGTGCTTACAAACAAATTTCACATTGTTATCAATGTGTACTGCAATGTACTGTAGCACAGTAAAAACTAAAAAGAGCATGATTATATATGCATACTACAATACTACGCCCATTATAATGAGTTGATAACTAACAAGCCAGAATAATTTTTATACTGTAAATTGTCCCTTTCTCGCGGATAGATATGGGAAATGGGTGTTAAAGATCAGAGGACGAGTCGCTCTTTACTCGTAAAAACCAAGTCATACTGGCGTTGTGGCTCCCGTCCTGCCATAGTCGTTAAACTGTTCTTGTTTAGTCAGCTGTGCCGAGTAGGAGGGTGTAGCAAGAGGACTAGCAGCAAATTGATTACCTCTTAAGAGCTGGGCCCAAATGAAAGTCAACACACTGTTATAATCCTAGTTTCTCTGTGTATTTGCGTGCAATAGCTTGCCCCTTCGCATCAACATCAAAAGAGGTTACTCGACCCCGTTTCTTATGCAGAGCCAAAACCATGACTATTGCTCAGCTACCTGTTAATGTGCCGATGTCAAGTATCTCCGTTGGACCAAGGAGATGTACTAGCTGATAGAGCATTTTTGCTTGTATGATATTGACTCGATCGCCATCACTGCTAATTTTGAGTACTCGCGTGTCGTTTCTTGATCTAGCTCGCTTGTAACTGCTGCTAGGCCGGGAGGGAGTGAGGTACTTTGATCATGACAGTAATCCTTTTCATGCGGACGTTGACGATTGTCAACATTGACATCGAGTTTTGGGAGTGTGTTCCAACCCCATATGGCAGGAGAAGTAAATCAAAAAGGCGTAGTAAACGCTAGCATTGTATACTTTCAAAACTTTATATACCATACTTTTATAATCCTCCGACTATCGACGCCACACTCGATTTTCCATTCGAAGCCTGCTGCTTTCTACTATTTGAGCAAACATACCAAAGTTACTGTACCTATAGCCTCAAAAATGTGCTTATTAGTCGTGCTGTGGGTTTTATATTGTTTGAAAAGTCAAATGTATTATCTCTTCAGAGCCTTCAAGTACGAGCTTATAGTTCAGTTTTGCACGGTTTTTCCACTCACTATATTTGTATATCCATTTTGTTTTAGCTGTATAGTCCTGCATTATGTATAGATGCAATGCACACTTGCCTGACACTGCATACAGCTACAGTAATGCGCTATTAAAATGATTAATTGTGTAAGAGATATGATACAATGCTATAAAAGAATACATAAAAAAGTGAAGGCTGTTCCCATTGCGTACAACGTGTTTCATTACATGATGACCCACAGGTATACGCAGGACATGAGAACCATCATTACGAACATCATTATTATTCGGCTAGCATTGATTCAATTGCTTCATACTGTGTTTTGGGCCAAAATTTCAAAAAACATATGTGCTATAGCTATATCAATTAAAAGCGCCTGGGAACAAATAAAGAGAAGGGGGAGTGCAGGGAGGAACAATCAGAATCGGTGCTTACGCCTCGAATAATAATAGTACGTATGCCGTGGGTCTTTGACCTCGGCTGTGAAGTCTATAAACTCTGACAAACTATAGTATAGTACCTTGACTCAAAATTACTTGATACTCCAGGTCAAGCACAAGAAATGTCCATACTACAAACAGGGTTCCCACCTTTTACATATCCGAAAAATACGATTACCGTTCGTTGCCGTTGGTTGTCGTTTGTAGCCTTTCGGACACCTTAAACGACCTTCTAAAACCCTGGAAGGTTGCAAAAGGCCTAAGCCGTAACTTGACTTGGAAACTATCCAAAGCCGGTTTTCCTGCTACTGTAATACCATTCGTATTGTAGGAGGAAGTAAGTAGTGTTAATACTGTAGTAATGGTGGCTTCAGGAGAAATGGTCGCACCATCACACACAAATTTTTGTTGAGGTCTAACTACAAGTTACACTACTATCAGCCAGCCCATATATATATTATATTCGCGTTGAAGAAACACCAGCGTACAGGGAGACAGTGGCTCTTATTTCTCATCAGTTAGATGAAGCATTTGGGTAAACTTTTATGCAACAGATTTGGTAGCGAGGCAGCATCATGTGCATAGTTTATAGCTTCCAATATATGCATATTGTCTTGTTTTTTTACCATCATCAAATCAATGTTCCATGTAAAAAGAAAAGGGGTAAAGATCACACGTTTACAACGAGCATTTCGGCACAGTTCGCAGCTCTCTCGTTACGCAAAAATGCCTTACCCTAAATGTGTGCCTTTGTTAAGGGTTTTGTTAGATAATTGATTATATACAAAATGTTAAGGAATCATTATGCAACCGTGTGAAGTAATATACACGCATTATATTATTGAGTCAAGTTAAAGGTAAATAAGAAATGGAATATCGCAGCATGTAAAGAATAATGTTGATTAAGTATGTGTGAAAAAAAGGAAAAGAATGAGAAATTAAAATTAGAAAGGTTGTGATGATGATATGATGATTTAAGGTATTATGGTGGAAGAATTAATGAATATTATGGAGAAATGCTTTGAAAATAACACACGGTGCTAGAAGAATACTAATGAATCTACTTGATTATTTTGCCTCCAAGACCTTTAAACGACGTCGACGTAGGGTTTCCAGCCATCAAGTTCTTGAGTCCGTGCTCAAGAGGTAGTCCCATGGCATCTGTCGTACTGCTACTGGCCTTTTTCGCATACCGCCGAATATCGGTTTTTGACAGTTTGATGCGGAAGGCGACTTCCAAAAGCTGATCAGGTGCAAGATACTCGTGTGGAATGTGTAACAAGAATGTCAAAATTTCAGAATTTGTGGGACATGCCGTCAAGAGATGATCTATCATACGTTACGGTGAGTTGAGTAATCCTTTCCTCAAGTAAATTTGTAAACATTCCTGGTTAATACCTTTTACGAGTTCTAGTATAGCAAGACTTATCCGGTAAAATACTTTGACGCCTTCAAAATAGAATACATCCCATACACGTAATACGGAGCTCCATGGTAATGTTAATGTGAATGCCGTCATGAACCATTGTGCTATATACATGATGGGCTGTATATCATTGTTTTCCTATAATGGTACGAATGATTTGCAATGAGAACTATTTCGTTTTTCCTCTCAAAGTGAAAACATTAGGGACTTACTAGATGCTGTGCCAACTTTGGCTGATGATCTTTGAGTAATTCACCGATAATATAAGCATCAATGCGAATTTGCGATAATGAAGGTGTAAAATATCCGTTCATGTAGCGATCAATAGTAGCGACCAGTAGCCAAAACGCATCCTGAAAAACATGAATGAAAATGTTAATCTCTAGCAGCAACAACAACAATATATTTCAAAAGTTACAAGTTTCACGTCTTTTACCTCAGCAGGCATATGCATCAACATACATCCTGCAAGTCGGCCCATGCCTTGGCAATACTCCAGTTGTGTGTTATAGTGAGAATATGCTTTCAAAATATCACCTAAATCGCGCTGTCCCTGTCCTGTCTCATCACTAAATTGACTATGATCTGGATAACATCGTGGAATATCACGTTCAATGACATCAAAGATCTTAATTCGTGGCTTATTACAAAGGTTCTGTCGAATTGAAGAAGGGTTATTAACTGCGAATATTCTTATACGTGATTTTAAAGAGTTGTCTCTTCCATTTCGTCTTTTTGCCGTCTTTCTTTACCTGATACATTCCGCTCTTTTTGTACGAATCACCACCAGCCAAAAACTGCCAGACGCGTGCACGGACCGATGCTGGCATTCCAGAACGAGCCATCTTTTTGAACTTGGCATCCTTCTTTACAGTAGCAGGATCCATTTTCCCGAGAGTATGAATCCATTTGTTTTCCTGCTCTCTATACGCCTTGATGGATTTCGTGGACGAATCCGTTCTAAAAGACGAAAATAAATCCCGCTAATTTTCAGCAACATGATTTTCTTGTTCTATCCATAGATTATGTAATACTCATTCCTAATAGATCTATACCTTTGTAGCGATGTCTTGCCGTTCAGTCTTGCATGCTCTGGTTGGATCAAAAAGCCATATTCATCGACAGGCATGCTGTCATTCTCTCTCGATATTGATAAATCTTTCGGTGGTGGCATTGGTTTATCTCCTTCATCGTCACCATCATGCTGTTCCTCATCATCTGCAGATATACTATGGTCTTTGTCAGGAACCGGTCTCCGGCCAGCGGGTCGTACTGCTCTGATTGTTGTGGATTTAAACAAGGTTGTTCCTGGCTCCATTCCTGTGGGCGATACGGTTTGTTGAGTTGTGAATTGCATTTGTGGTATAGAGGCCTCGATATCCGAATCATCCGAATAATCGTCGTTAAATGCAGAGGTATCAAAGTTTTCTGTTCCTTCTTCGCTGTTTAACAATGGTGGTGGTGGAGGAGGTGTTGGACTAACAAGCAGCCCCTTTTTGCTGCTACCTCCATAGTATGGGTCTGTGCGCGCCCATGGTTTAATTATCGAGGGTAAGTTTCCTCGATTACATATTGAGAAAAAACAGAGCATAAGGAAAACTTGCCTTCTACTACTCTATTTTGTCGCATATTGGGCATGGATGGTGTTGACGAGTTTGTCACCAGACTTTCGAGACTAGATCGACCAGGCCATTTGTGTGAAGGATCGTGTATAGAGAGCTGTTCCGAAGTCGATGAGTACGAATAATGGCGATTAGGTGATTCGTTACTGCTGCTATTCGAATATCGATGGAAGTCTGGATGTGGACCTCCTCCTTCGCCATCAGTAGCGAAATCGAGTTCGGCGTCGAGAGATTCTAATACACGCGGATCGAGTTCCACAAAGTGCACGCTCTCTGCATTAAATTGTCCAACGACACCTTCGCAGTAGCCCTACGTCAATATAAACAAAAAAAATTGGGTTAGAAGAAAGAATCTCTCTTTTCTTTGTATTAATTAAGGTGAAGGAGTAGTAGGAGGAGGAGGAGGAGGAGGAGGATATGTTTAAAAGTATAATTACTAGATAAAGGTCATTCTTTATATGTTTGAGCACCACGATTCGTTCCCCTATCAAAAAGATGAAGCAACTTTAACATAAGTGGAAGGTTAAAGATAGGAAAGGGGGGACGGGAAGAACTAATAATGATATTTTTTACCAGACAGGTACATGAGATCATCTGGCGTATCCGCAAGTACATCCGCTTTGGATACGCATGCACCCAAACCACCTATTTCAATCGCATTACAAGCAACATATACTGTTATTCTGTCTGTCTCTTTTCTTTTGTAATAATGATACACAAGTATGTTGCAAGGTTACAGCGTTTCTACTAGCGTAAAGATAACTTGCCTTGTTCTGCAAACGCCTTGAGCTCCGACAATGTCATTGCATCAATGTCAACCGACGCCTGATCAAATGCATCGCCAGGGTCTCGTAGAATCTGGGCTATTTTCTTGCCAATGTCTTCGAGATTAGTCGAAGTGTGCCGTGTCATTTTTATATCCATGTTGAAATGATCATCCAAAAACTAACAAGAAAAAAAAGGGATTTTTTTTTATCAGAGAAAAGAAGTACTATAATAAGCTGTGCTTCTGCAAAGCAATACATGTATGACAATTTTTTAATTCAAAGGCCGGTTGGAGTGTGGATGCATACCATAATTGGTGCTTTGCAAATGTTAAGTTAGGCCTCCGTGTTTGTGCGATCCATCTCGCCGGTATTTTGAGTTCCAGTGGAACCTCCCATATCCGTACCTTCCCAGCCCCACCAAAGTCGCTAATTATATATCATCATCCCCTATGTCCTCCCGTTTTGGATCCATAGCAATCATCATGCATATGTACTGTGCGTACATGCATGTTTAATCTTACGGTGAACAGGGATGAATTACAGCTTTTCATAAGATGATGATGTTGATAAGAAAGTGGTATACGATGTATTTATTACAGTAATATTGTGCGTATTAGACAAGACCATCGTAGAACTCTTGCAGTTCTGGTAAAGGCTGCACATCTAATGCTGACAAGACATTGATCAAGTACTCAATGTCTGTACGGAGTTGCCGTCGACCCTGGGATGTCAAGTTCCGTATCTTGACAATTTCATCCAAAAAGTGCTTCATGGCTCCTCGAGCGACGCATGTCGACCACAGTTCAATCACATCCGTTTCTTCTTGTTCCTCCCCTTCTTCTGCTTCTTCTTCTTCTTCTTCTTCATCATGCTCAATAGAGGGTTGTGTCTGAATATCGCCTTGCTGGATAAATGGAATAGTTTCAACGTGGTATGCGAGCGCTGCGTCGTCGGTATACACCTCAAACTCTTGTGGCAACATCAACAGTTGCTCTCCAACACGCGTAATGTACTCGCTCGGAGATAAACTGAATTGCGGCATGTCAACGTCAATCGTAGCATCCTCGATCGTTGTCTTGCGTGGTTGTGGATCTGGTGCTTGCCATACAGACTTCATGGGTGCGATATCCTGCAAGTTCCGTACAATTGGTTGCAAAGCAGCTTGATGAACCAGTGCTTGACACTCCGTCGTCAGTTCGTCAATATGGCGATTAGATTCTTTAAGCATGACATTGATCACACTATCTTGAGAATCTTCGCTAATGGTTGATATCTCTGACACCACTCGTTGCAATTCGTGGCTATTCAAGCGCGATGTTCGTAATAGTGCCATGGAAGACCGTGGATAGCTGGACTGTTGCTGTTGCTGTTGCTGCTGCTGTTGTTGTTGCAGTTGTTGATGCTGAGTATCAAGCAATGCATTGTTGCCCATGCTTCGTTTTCGCTCGTGTCTTGAGCCCACTTCTACACCACCACCACCCACCAAACTGGATCGTCGTCTGTGCCCGCGTGCTTCAGATGACTTTTCTGTAAACGTCAGCACACTCGGTGTAACTGGACTCAGCAAAGCATTATCGTCCTGATCCCTTTCCTGAATGACATAGCGTACAGCTTCCAGTTCTCGTGTGATGGTATCCTTGAACGTTGTAAAATGCGTATCCAAGCTTTGACATATGCGCAGCAACTGTAGTTCAAGCTGGAAGGCTCGCCAATCGCCGGACTGCTCATTATCTTCATCGATGTCATTATCGATATCTGCATCATCCAGGTCCGAAGATGTGCGCGGCTCTCCTCCTATTTCCCTCCCCCCAGACATGCTTTTCTTAGTTGTTGTGGGTGCCGTGGTCGATCCATTGTTCTTGACTGTTTGAATAACTTTTTGAAGCTGCGACTTGACTTGACTAATATATGTATTGATTGTTCGGAGCCATTCCACTGCGCCAAATCCGTGTGTCATTTTCAAACAACGTGTCAAAGAATCCATGGCCAGGCTGAATATACTGTCAATGGTATTCGTTAATATATATTGTACAAGATCAAGGGCGTTCTTTTGATGGGTGCGTTTGAATAGCGACACTAGCTGTTCGGTGAGGTAGCGGCTTTCGAGTTGTGCGTATTGGGATTGGAATGGTAAAAAGGGAACGTAGAGAACGTAAGACCATGTATTCGCGTCTGCATGACGAAGAGTGAGCGGGATCAATGTGAGTTGGCTCGAGTTGGATCGTCGACGCGCACGTGACTTGAGTGATTCTAGTGAAGTAGTGTTGTCGGCAGATGCTGTATTGACGGGGGGCTTTGTGAACAGACGTTCCAATGACAGCCCAAACGATTCCGTGACTGCAAAGGTCGACACCAAGATAGGCAGTGCATCGGCGCCCTGGTGCGTGGCTATGGAAGCAAGTCGATCTGCTAGTGACGGATCAAGGGATTGAAAAATATGCTGTATTTGGGCTTGAACCACAGGCTTTGGATCAGGGAAAATGGAGGCACACCAAACATATTCTTCAGACAAAGATTCAAACACGCCCTTGTAGAACGTGTCGAGCGACTCGACCCACTGTGCATCCACCTGGTACTGCTGCTGCTGTTGCTGCTGCTGTTGCTGCCACGACTCGACAATCTTTGGGTTGCGTGCTTCGAAATAAAGATCGACAAAGTCCTCTGCCTTGCCAATCTTGCCATAAGTCTTGAAATATTTGTAACACTCGACTGCGTCGTGCTGTTCAAGTGCATCTATGATTTTGGGCCTGACTGCAGTTTCCAGCTGTGTTTGTAATTTACGCAACAATTCTTGCCGTTGCGCAAACTCAGGTGTATGCTGAAACACGTCCAAACTGTGCTGTGCATTTTGTAATCGACTTGCTGCACCTTCATAGTCTTGGCTTTCCAATACGCGTGTTGCTTCTGCTTCTAAATTGCTCCAGTTCTCTGCCTCTCTCAGTGCCGCGCTGCATTTTTCCATGTGCGTTTTGACAATGTGTAGCTGTTGTAGCTTTTTCAAGGCAGTTTCTACCGTGTTGCTTTTATTGTCATTGGTGTCGTCATTGTCCTGTTGTGCTGAAGATAAGTGATTGCGTACTTGGTCGATACCACGTTTGGCTGACTGGGCATCGTCGGTAATGAGTTTAAGGTCGTAAAGCATCCGTGGTAGAGACTTGATGACGCCATCCGTAACTTGTCCCACTTTGCGTGAGACTTGTTCGCTCGAGATTTGGAGTCGAGTGACGAGAACAGTAACTTCTTGTTCAGATGGTCGTTGGTGTTTGTGGCTATCTTTGTCATTCGGTGAAGCGTCATCGATATGTCGATTGCGTGGTTTCAGCGAACTATTGATCCAGCTTTTTACATTAAAATCGGGATCGGCGAATGCTGTGGTATCAAAGGCTGTCGATGTCATTATTGTTGGTGCATTGAAAGGTTATGGGAGAGAGCAGAGTGAGGCTAGACGTTTTGTAGGTTATAGAGAAGAACGCGCTCTACTAATAAGTCAAGAGCTGGGTCTCGAAAAGAGCTTTATTCAGGGCAGCATTTGCTTGCTGACAACAAAAATACTTGTAATTCTTTTACCACGAGAATGGTTAGAGCTACTGGGCATAGAAAAGCCCTACCATGTTCTATGTGGCTAGTAGCCTTATACAGATGCACCCGCCAAGTATCAAGTGCAAAAGCGTGTTTGGTAGAATATAACAAAATGCACAACACAATTTTATTAAACTTATTTCCAGTTCCAAACTTCCTTAACCCAGGTTTCCAAATCCATTGGCACGTCTTGCCATTTGCGTATGAACGGATGTTCTAGCATTCTTCCAGGCCCAGGGCGATCGCGCGGGTTTTTGATCAAACTAGAGAAATATAATTTAAAACTAAATACATGGTCGCGCGCCACAAAGTTCTCTTGAAAAACATTGATTGATATACGTACCAGACAGCCACAAAATTGCGACATTCTTTTGAAATATGGGATCCTCGTATCACAGGCACAGGTTGACGTACAATCAAGTCCAATAATTCGATGATGGAGAGTTGTGGTTGATCTGGAGGTGGTAATGCTGGACTGTTTTGAGATACTTCGATCAAGGTCAACCCCAGCGACCAGATATCCGATTGGACGGCATAGGGTGCACCCTGGATACGTTCCGGCTATTTGGACAAGTCTTAACAATACAGTTTTCTTTGGAATAAAGTGCAAAAGAGAATGGGACTTACAGCCATGTAGTACTTCGTGCCAGTAAATGTTTTAGCAATCGAGTTGATCAGTTCGCCCGAAACACCAAAATCGCATAGTTTGATTTGTCCTTTACGCGTAACAAGAATATTGGATGGCTTGATGTCTATGATGTTTTGAGTTAATTCTTATTAACAGCACTGCTAACGAACAACAAACAGTTAGAAAGCCTATAATATACCTCTGTGAATGACATGTTGTGATTGTAAGTACACCAGACCTTTACACACCTATACAGTTGGCCAGTAGATATTAGTTAGCTAGTAGAGACCCTTCTCATTATTATTATAAAGAAAAGACTTTACCGATTCGGCGATGCGTTCTAGAACAGGTTCACCAATCACGCCGCCAAGATCTCGAGCGCGTTTATATATATCTTCCAAGCTACCAGCCTCACAAAACTCTATGCATAATGACAGGGTTGTGTCGCCATCCTCCAGAAATGCACCGTAAAAAGAGACAATGTATGGCGAGCTACATGTCTTTTGGAATGATAGTTCACGTAGAATTTGTCGTTGGACTTTTGGATTCGGATCGGTACCAATGGTCTACAGATACGTACCAAAAAAAAATGATAAGGCAGGGTCAAAATGGGAGAGAAAAGTTCCAAAAATGTATAAACACATGCAGATATACACACTTCTATCCCCCCCCCTCCTTCCTCTCTCTTTGGAGGGGTTGGTGGGCGAGACGGTAGAAGGAAGCGAAAAGAAAGGAAAAGGGAGAATAGAAGCCAAACTGCCACTTTACCTTTTTTGCCATGATGAGTCTCGTGGGTCTGTGATAGACTTTTCTGACCGTTCCAGCTGCGCCCTCGCCCAACAACTTGATCACGTCCAGATCCTCAGGCTTCATCTCCATAAACTGGCTATCCTGTTCGGTATTCTCGGATGCGGATGTTGCAGATGATGAGGATGAGGACGATGCAGACGACGAAGCAGGGGTTGACATGGTGCTGGTGTTATTTGTAGTGCCATTGCCTATAAAAACAGCGATGATCATCACTATGTATGAGCATACAGAGCACTCAAATAACTATCGAGAAATAGCCAAATGCATCTATCTGTCTGTTTATCAATCAAGCTGCGATGAGGTTGATTACATTACCGCTATTTCCATAGTAACGAGCAGCGACCGAGCCCGCAGGAGGTGGTCCAGGTGGTGGCCGGGGTGGTTCCCGTAATACCGGAATATGCTGGTTCCGTCTTATACTTGGCAATCGTTCTTGTTGTTGCGACTGCTGCTGCTGTTGTTGTTCTTGTTGCGATTGCTGTTGCTGTTCTTGTTCTCTTGCTTTCATATACACGGCAGCCAGCGATTCTTCACCATCGTCTTCGTCTTCATCATCTTCACCACAACCCGGGTATCTTTGGCTAATGGCAGGCTTGCTTTGTGCTGAATCTGCAATGGGTTGCTGTAAGGCTGATGCATGGGCAGTCCTGCTGCTGTTGCCGACAATGTTGCCTACTTTTTCGGCAAAGGTATTCTGGCTACTGCTACTGGTATTGGTGCCGCTGCTGTTCTCTGTTGGTACGGTTGTGGACGTTGCTGGTGGCGTTTGCAAGTGTTCAAATGAGAGTTTCAATCCGGGCCGTCGCTTGTTGCCTTTGGGGCCACCGCCAAAACCACGAAATGGTGGTGGTGGTGCTAAGTTCAAGGCGGGTGGTTTGTTGGAGGGCTCTGCTGGGACGAATACCATTGAATTCTTTTAAAAGAAATAAAAAAGTGGGAGAGAAGAAGAAGAAAGAAAGGAATGAAAGAAGTTAAAATAGGTTGTTTTCCAGGAGTACTTTTCCACTCTCACAAATAACAACACACTAACAAGTAAAAGAAAGGTTAAAACGCAGGGTCACCAACAGTTCTAGGCATTATTTTATATGGCTAATATATTGGCACCCACTGTGGCTGGAGACACAACGAGAAGCCGAAACATTTTGTGCAACGTTAAATGCTTAGATGGGGCAATTGCCATTGTGTCGATTGCACTTTACGTATCTTCTGCTTTGCCTTTCTCAAGATGATTGCCAACTTGATTGCAGAACCAAGGCTTGAATATCGCAGCAGGAACAGCCTAGTCTAGCTGAGACAGATGCATATGCGGCATAAGGCTAAACAGCCTTCTTCCTGCTTTACCAGTAAGCCCGCCGCTACTACCTACTAAGCCAGAGCAGAGATACCAATCGAGGATGATTCCTTGTCTTCATGAGCGCCAGTCTCTATTGTCAAGGCCTATATCGGTCTCATCGTATCAAGGGCTTGGATCTTGTGTCAGATTCACTTGAGTTGTCCCTGTTTCAGTCTACTTGGGCGTCGTATAAAACCGCTTTGTTATGCAGCAGTCAAGTCATAAGATGCATACCTCTTTTGTTCGCTCTTTGCCAAAACGGACAAAAACAACAGCAACACCCGCTATTCACACCAACTAGTCCACTACTACAAGAAACCCCATTGTCCGATAATGCACACAGAGAGATTGATGTGTACGTTTGTTGTATGAAAGGAAAAAGAAAAACCATTGCATGTTCCCAGTTCTTTTCTTTTTGGTTTTTTTTAATAGTGTGTAATATAAAACAAAGAGTACTTTTACATGTCGTCATCGCTAGCAGCCACACCGTCGCCTTCGTCCTCGTCACCACTGACCAACTCGTTCTCTTTCTCAGCCTGTGCCATCAGAGCAGCGAAATCACGATCATCCGTCTCCGATACCAACTTGGCCTCCTTTTCGACCTTGAACCGGGACCATTTGTGCGACTCTAAGGTGTCCTTGATGGCATTGATGGCCAATTCCATCACTTCGAAACCGGTCGTTTTGTCCAAAGCGTCTGCAGTAACAACGTAGAAGGGTGCTGCGAGGTATGTCACCTTGATAGGAACACTTTCGGTCGACACTGCTTCACCTGCCGTTAAGGCGCTCTTGATTGCATTGACACCGTCGATACCAGTGCATCTCAAATCGAGTTCTATACATAAAGGCACTCTATTATTATCTCCCTTCTTTCACTTATCCACCCTGTGTGCATGGGCATATATCCCCTAACAACTTACGTGCTCGGATCTTGACGGGTTGAGGAGTCATTCTACGCTTGATGTTTGACACCAATTCGTTCATAATTTCTGGGCTGATATCCATGCCTTCGAATACCGGTGTCGAGTCGCTTTTCGATTGATTAAAACATATATTAGTATGTTTTTCTAACTCATTATCACCCCACTAACGATCTCAACCACCACTACCCCCCTTGGTTAAATGCTGTGGTTAATTTACTTACGTAATGGCAAGTTTAAAGGCATCATATGCGTGACCAAACTTCTTATATAATGGCCAGCCGATGCTTTCGTAGAGTTCCTTGAGTGCAATATCGTGCTTTTCTGCAACGTGACGAAGGATCGAGTGAACTGCCTTGGACTTGTTGAAACGTTCTTCACATTTAGCGATATCTTCGGGCGTGACACGACGCTTCGACAAATCAATATAACCTAGTTTCATTCCGCTTTTAGTTAAATAAAACGTTCAGTTCACAAGTCTTCAAAAGTAGAATTCCTCTTTTACCCTTTTCTTCATCCACTCTAAGAACAACGACGACTTCATTTCGTCCAACGCGAATCAGTTTCTGAACCGAACGAATACGTCGTCTAGACAATTCGGAAAGCAAAATCATGCCCTCTCTATCTCCATATTCGAGCTATATAAATATGTATAAAGTCGTCGGTGGTCCCACGAAAAGTTTGTGTATATTTGCAAGTGTGGTTAGTGCGCGTTCTCAATGTCAGGTCTTTTCTTTTTTATGATTATATTACGAATCGAATGAATATTGAAATAAAATTCTTTGATAGACGTTACCAGTTTGACGTAGGCACCCATGTCGGCAATCTGTCGAACGTTTACCATGACAACGTCATCCACCTTGGGAAGCTCATTTTCGTACATACGGCAGTGGAACTTTTCACTCATTTTTGTAGTATATATGCTTTAAGGAGGGACGAAGCTATCTCATTTTTTCCCAAAAAAATATGTGAGTGGCAAAAAAAGCGGCGACTGCGAACAAACCAGTCACGCCCAATTTCTTGACTCAACGGAACCATTTTATTAGGTAAGGTATATATACTATGCATATGAAAAAAAAAAGATCTACATGGGAAGGAGAAACAGAAAATATATGAAGTTGGGAGGGGAAGAGAGGGGAGCTATTACGATATGGACATCGTTTCTAATGCTTGCTAAAGTCAAGTTTGGTTTGCACATAGCGAGACTCTTTGTCAAACTTTCTCAGGGACGCCATAAATTGTTGCATGGTGACGCCCTTGCGTGTATCCACATGGTTGAACTGGACACCTAATGTGGTCACCTCCTTGTTGCGCCACTCGTCGTCAAAAAAGATCATCTCTTCGCAGCTAATTCCAGATTTCTTCTCCAAGGCTTGGAAGTGCTTGATCTTGGACGATGGATAGGCTTCAATAATGTCAATCTGGCTTTGTAGCGTAGGAGCACCGCCAAGTTCGGGAACCCGCAGCATTTTGAGCGCAGCTCTTGCCCTGAATGAAACCAAAAATTCCAGAAACTTTTTTAATTTGCGGGAGAAACATGACTACTGTCACCTGGAAAACGATAACAGCAACGTAGAAGAGCTAACTTTACCAATCGGGCGTGTGAGTTCGCGATGCAATGCCAATCTTGGTATCCGGGAATGACTTGATTAGCGCAAATATTGCTGTGATATCTTTGAAGAGCTTGACATTTTCTCGTCCTCTAAAAAATTCCGCAGTTTTTTTTTTCAGCTTATCATTAATAAGAGTTTTGGGGGGAGAGGAATCAAAGGATCGTACAAAAACAAGACAAACCTGCCGTAGATAACGTTCTCTTCAGCACTGTAAGCAAAAGGGGGGCCTGTATTTGTTGTTAGTAATGTCCCATTTTGTCCTTGAACAAGTACCACCAGTATTGTAGATTGTTTTTACCACTTGTGCAATCGATCCTGCAATATGTTTGTCATGAGTTAGCATTCCTTTGGTAACAGAAATACGCAGCAACAGATAAATTTCAAAATAAGGATTCGCCGTCCCCTTCCTTACCAGGTCTCCCAAATAGTGTAGTCCAGATCAAAGACGACCATTTTTGGTAGCCGTTCAGGCAACTGGTTTTCGAGTTTTGTGATAGTCATCTTGTTGACTTGTAAGCAGAAATTTGGGGAGGTGGGTGAAGAGAAAGGAAGAGAGAGAGAGAAAGAGGAGAAGAGCGTCTCTTTTATTTATAATTTTTTTTTGACAATGGTAGAAGATATACTTGGTGTAATTTTACGGTTCATTCACTGTTACTTTGTTGCTGCGCCAAATGAGTCATTTGTTGCTGCTGCTGCTGCTCTTGTTGTTGGCTATTTCGTTTCTGCGAAAACTCAAATACTTCCGTTACTGCTTCCTTGAAGCATTGAAAGTTGTAGTCGATCAATCCGTGCTTCTCAAAATTATCATGCCGCAGTAGACAGATAAGGACCAGTAATCTAAATCAGCAATTATCAGTATAAGTGAATTTAAAGTAGAGAATTGTGAAATCGTCAAAGATGGATGTCTTACCTGTTAACTTCTCGCATATACAGTACATCACCATTATCCAATTTGATCAGACTTGATGCCTCTGCTTCATTTTGCAGTCCAACTCCATCTGCCCTTCTCAACGATTGCTCCTGACTCTCGTCATCGCCGTCATCGCCGTCACCTCCTCCTCCTCCTCCATCACCTTCATCGTCGTCATTGACGATGTTGTTGTTGCCAGATCCATTGTATGGATCTCGTAGGAGTCTTGTGCCGTTACCGTTGCCGTTGACATGATGACTTTCGCCGTATTCGTCCTCTTCGTCACTGATTGATGATCGACCGTTTGGACTAGGCACTTGTGCTCTGCATGAAAGAAAAACAAACTTAATATCTACAGCTTGATTTGACAACATACAACAAGTGGACAACAAGTGTAAGGATAAGCTTACCCATATATACATTCAATGTCGATAATGACGTCAATCATATCACTGCACAGTTCATAGGATTGCATATCCACCGGAGAACTGTCCGTAGCAATGTAGATCTTTGTTAATGTGTCAAAAAGATATGCCTTATCAATACCCGAGTTCTAACCGTTTAATAAGTTCCAGGGTCAGCATTTTTATCGTTCTTTCTCCTGGTCCAGTGATAATCCTTCCAATACCTGACATAACACATTGAGTAGATTTTCCAAAGTGGGTAGCTCTCGGATCAACTTTTGGATGATTTTACTAAAGGCTTCGTAGATTGAATGGTCATAAATGCTGGTAAGGTAGTACGATAGATGTATATGCTCCAGTTGTGCATCTGCTAGCATATCACTCATCCGCTGTTGAACATCGCGTTGTGTATCTATTCTCTTAAAAGTTAGTACATCTCTGCTGCCGAGACCATAAGCTTAACAGTAGCCTCATCCTATGGACTTTTCCTTTACCAATTTTGTAATCGTCCGATAATCCATCCACTTTATGGATCAGCACTTCGAAGCTGATGTTTTGGTTGACACGATAAGCACTGGTTACAGTGAAAAATAACCGATGCAAAGCCTCGCTATAATCATCCTACGGGAGTCCATTCAGCTACGTTTCTACTTATCTCTAGCCAACGATGTCTTTGTCAATTCTTCCATACCTGTGCATCAATCACGAATATCAGCGCTCCCACTGCTCCAAATATCTCTTGCGAATCATAGGCCATGTCGAAAAAATTGACTTGGCCGGGAAAGTCCCATATCTGAAAATCGATAAATGATCGACTACAGCAAGTAGAACATAGTAGCAATTTGTCGTCAGTTCCATTTTCCTCCTCCTCTTGCCAAGAGAGCTTCGCATAAATAGATCAGGTAAATTTTAACTCTTTCTCCATTTACGTGATATCTTCTTTCTGGATTTTGGTTGTGCTTTCAAGATAAAGGGTATCGTTGGGTGGCATTTTTCCAAACACGACTCGTTGAATACTCGACTTGCCGCTCCTATAAAAATAATACGTATAGTATATATATATATATATATATGTGTGTGTGTGTGTGGAGAGAATGAGCGTCTTCGGTTTTAACTATGGTGCAGATAAAAAAAAAGGAACCCTATCAAATAGATTCGAACCTTTGCAAACCCATGAGTAAAATGCGCGGTTTATCGGATCCGGAAGTGTCCTCCAGGGTGTCGCTAAAGAGAGACAACACAAACGATTCATAAACAATACGTTAGTGTTGTTCTGTGTGTATGTGTTTGTGTGAGAATACCAACTTGTCCTAGACCATTTACAAAAGAAACATCGTTCATTTACGTTATCTCGGAATCATTGACATGTGGATAGTCGTACTAGAGCATGTGTCAAGCAGCAATTAGTTGAGTAATAGTAAAGAGCAAGGAAATGGTTGGCTAAAATAACAGTACTTACGTTCATTGTATATTTTTCTTCGAGTTGTGAAGCGGAAAACCCGTTGCCAGCAATGCAATAAGTGGAGAGCTCTCTCGCCCAATGTGAACTCCGTCTTGAGTGCATATTCTATTCAGGCAGCGAGCTTTCTTTTCATTTTTTACATTGTAGATTTTTATTTTTATCCATATATATATTGATAATGAAGGAAGAGATCAAACTAGTCTTTACGATGATGATATATCAACGAAGAAGGGGAGGGGGGATAATGATAAGAGAAAGATGATATTCATAGAAAATGATGCGGGTTTTTAGAAGTTTTCCTGATTTTTTTGTGTGTATGAAAGTGTATAAGGGTTTATGTAGAATGAGTGGGGATGGAGGTGCCAGTGGTGATAATAAGAAAGGGAAAGCATAATATATATATATATATATTCAAGCGGGAGATATGTTATATACTAGATGATGAGTGGAAACATATGAAAACGAATGTGTTAATGGAAACGGTATTTATTGCCGCTGTTGTTGGTGTTCTTGTTGGAGAAGAAAGCATTTTCAACATGTTCGACAACGGATGGACTCGTGGGCGGCGACAAAAAGGTAGCACGCTTCTTGGAGGCTGCCGAGCCGGCACTCTCACGCAGCTCAGCAATCACGCAGCTGCAAAAGGCAGTGACAGCCAGGTTAAGCTAAAGCGAGATAGAGCATGTGATAGTTTCAGTTATTAGCTAACATGGGCAGAGTTATTATGCTACTAGTACTAACCATGTAAAAGCCCCGTTCAGTCTTGCGTGCCACCTCGACAGAATCAAAGGGATGGATATGAAGGTCAAAACGAAGCTTGCAAGCACTATAATAGACGTGTATATTTAGAGGTTGTCCGGGAAGAAGACCAGACGATAAACAACTTACGCTGCAAAGAAGCGGAGGTTCTCGGTTGCCCGGAAGGTGCGTTTGGTATCATCGTGGATCTTGTTGATCAAACCAAAAGGCCGACGCGATCGATTCACGATATTGTTGTAGACATTGCACAGGACTTTTCCGTCACTAATGAAGGCATATAAAGAAAGGTTACTCTTTGCTGTTTGGTACGTATTCATCGATCGCTCGCGTGAGAAAAATTAGAGATCCTTACGCCAAGTGAGCCAAAAAGTCGTCCTCATCCATATGTGGGTCTGGAAGCAGAGCGCTTTCGTCGGGAATATATTCACTTAATAGTGCATGGTAGCGTCCTACGTACCACAACAACGAACCATATTAGACAACACGCCCTCCTAACAACCATTATATCCATAGTGATGATAGAATTAGTTACCCATCTCATCATTGACGAAACATGCAGGGTCCAACCAGTTCATCTCTGTCGTTGACGAGGATCGTCTCTTGCTGTCACGAGTCATCTTGTTGCTGCTACTGCTGTTGCTGGTGATATCATCATTGTTGCTGCGATAAGGTGCCAACAAGGCGTTAATTTGAGGATGTTCAAACACTTGCACCGGTTCTTCTGTGCAACCGATAGCATGATGGTGATGGGGTGGATTGAACGCAAACTCCTCCACCAAGGCCAGATATCGAAGGATGGCGACCCGTTCTTGTTGCAGCTGATTATAAGGGATAAAGCCTTCATCATCACCGACTTGACCGCTTTGATGACGAAGTTCGAGGTCCTTGACCGTGCCGAGCAGCTGAATACCAGCATGGCGTAACCTTTTCATGGCATGTTCAGTCAAGTCATTCCTGTGGAACGTGTAGGTGCGGACTGAGTCGAGTGCGCGTGTCACAGACTGCAAGAGCGATGCAATGTGGAACCCTGCCCCTTCGTTGTCGGAACAAGTGTCCGAGTCGGAATGCTCCGAAGAAATCATACACCAGTTGTGAAGCATCACCTGAGCATCTTGGAAGCATTGGCTCAATAGCACATCAAGGTCCGTTTCGACATCCAGTTGCATCCAGCTAGGTGGTGGTGGTTGGCGCTCTTCTGGGAGAATCATGTCCTCGTCATCATCGTCATCAGCATCGTCATGTTCTTCTTTGTCTTCTTTCAAGGTGTCATTGTTGCTGTTGTTGTTATTGCCGCGAGTTCCTGCACCACCCTGCTTGTTATTAAATCCCAAAATGCCCACCCTAACACATACCACATATTTAGTAATATGCTTCTTAGGATGTTGATGATGCTTACAGGCATGATATATGGAAGGAATGTGCTTCTATATATGCTTACTTGTTTATTTTGAGATCACGTTTGGCATAAAAGTGCTGCAGTCGCTCAATAGAGCCCAGTGTCAACACGGACGATCGTCGTTGGGCTTTGTTGCAAATTCGTAAGGAGTAAGCGAGATAAATGAACGCGTTATTTTGTGTATTCAATGAAGCAAAGGGGGCAAGGACGCAAGAAAGAAACACACACACACACACACACACACACACAAAATATACCTGATCGCGCGAACCCTTTGGTCTGGATACCATTGACAGGCTTGAGATAGCGTCGACCTTCAGGGCTCATGGCTCGAACCACATTATCAGCGGTGGGAGTTCTGTTGTTCGAGCGACGTTGCTGTTGCTGTTGACTGCCACTAGCAGTAGTATTAGTAGTAGTAGTAGTAGTAGTAGTAGTGCTTGAGCGGTTCGTATTGGTGGCACGTTGTTGCAACAGGTCTGACTCGCTGTTTCTATTAGCAGGGCCAACAGTAGTACTAGCTTGGGTGGTTGGCTGATTAGCAGAAACGGACAAGGTAGATTGCTGCAACATGATTGCCGTCAATACGAATTACGTTCCAACGACAACACAAAGAAAGAAAGAAAAAGGGCAAACAAGGAAAACAAGGGTTGCAAGCTTTGTCTCGCCATATATATGCATATGCGTGTGCGAGCACTCGCCCTAAATACTACTCAACCCATAGCTACAGAATTATCTCATGACCGCCGTATCCAGCAACACTCACTCAGAAAGTAAGCCAATCGGGATCGCAGCTGTTTGCTCCAGGCAGCACACATAAACATAGCTAAAGGGGGGACTTTTTTTGCTATATCCCTCCCTTCCTCCTCCTAATATTAAATGACGAAGAGCGGCTTGATATAATACAATATATGCATATATTCATTATATTCTTCTTTCTTTTGACTTCTATGATTCACATATACAAGACAAAGTTCACTGCTCCTCTTTCTCTTAAACAGCAGAGCTTCGCATGTCTTCCAGACGCTTGACGACAAACAAACTGCTGTCAAGGAAACGCTCGACACAGTTGGACAAGCAACTTTCATCGTTGCGATCCGTTTTGTTGTTGATCTTGAAAATGCACTTGTCCTAATACATGCGTAACAAATCTAATGAGTAACTCTCTTTTTTTTCTGGCAAAAACATAAACCACAACTTTATCAATTATTTACCCAGCAGGAATCAGTCATGGCGTGGACAGTTTGTTGAATACGCGCCTTTGCATTCTCGGCTTCAAGGAACTATTACGGTTGTTAATGCAGAAAAAGTCAATTTTTCGATTTCAACTTTATAAATCGTTCTCCTGAATTACCTGAGCGAGCTCACGTTGCTCAGCTTCAGAAAATTGCATTTGAGGATCTTGTGCCGACATGTCTTGATCGTTTTTGTTCCGTTGTAAAATAAAAAGTTTTGTAAGCTGGGTGCGGGGGGTGCTGGTTGCCCCCCCCCCGGGGATTTGTGACACACTATCGGGTCGATTCCGTTCGATCTTTTGGCTTTGTATCACCTTCAAGTACGCCCTTTCTTTTCCCACAATGACACCATTTGTGATATGTGTGCACATGACATATTGTAGTACTCTTCCCGCCATTTTTGTATTGTTGTCTAATATAGTGGCTCTAACACTACCAATCGTGAGGTTGTATTTCCACAGTTGTCATACATACTATATTTTATTGATATATATTGAGCATGAAGCATACAGCTGCACAGATGTCTAGATATGTTTGATACGGCGCAGATGTATATTATACAACAGATGAAAGAATTGTGCTTCAGTAATTTGGGACATATTGCTCTCATCCTATTGATATTTATCTACGAAAGGTAACAAGTCATTGTAGGAATGTTGGTGCTGCGCAAAAACTTTGTCTTTAGCCCAGCTAACTGAGCACTACAGTATGATATGCTTTTTTATACGATGAGAAAGCTGACTTCAACTGCATCAGTATCCCGATAATCCATCATTTGCTTGTTAAAACCAAAGAAACTGCAACACCATCTTTACTTGAATTACAGCACCATGTAGTAAACCTCTATTTTTCTTGTCAACCCTCAGCAGAATAGTAGTCATGCTTCGCCCGACATCCAGGGCGACACAAAGTGCTATGCTTATAATAACTAACAAAGCCCATCGGTAACTTTGAAAGCCGCAACGAAAGTTTTGGATACTGCTGCTGCTCGCTTTGATTTGCAAATATGTACCCGTGTCTGTAATGTAAAATACAGAAATATCATCTCTGGGAGACAGAGCGGATTCGAGCAGCCCAAACACTTTCACGACTTTCTGTACATGCCGAGTACGGCGTTGATAGTGATAAGCCTTTGGCGAAAACGTGACGAATGATTCTACTGAACGGCGACGGATCGCTCATGGTCTACGACGACGGCAGCAGCAAAGCGGGTAGCAGCAATCAATAAGAATAAATCGAAAGTCGCTGTGGTCCAGAGATCTGTAGGTTCGAATACTAGGCATGCTTTGTTTGAGCAAATCTGGCAATGCCGAGCGGTTTGGCGATAATCTTGTTGGACCATCATTGGACCATGACCGCTTAGATGAAAATTTCATGGCGATAGCATCGGTTTTCTGAAAACTTAAAGATTAAAGCTAGACGACAAGATCGTCGTCGCTATAGTCAACGGCGGTCTTGTTCCCTATACCTTAATCTTGCTTATCTACAGGATATAGGGCGTTTCTCGACATGGAAGAGTGTATTAGCAAGATTCTGCAAGTGTTTACGGGTACGCTGGAGCTGCTGTAAAACTTAATACGACCGCTTATTACGAATCTTCAGTAAACGTCGGTAGCACACTTTTGTGGTTATTTGAATGGCTTTATTAGCTCTAATGTGCAGTATAATAAGAATTTGTTTATGCTCAGCAAAGTAGTTTTAAATCATTCTTAGCCTCTTCCATATCTCTTAAATTAGAGGCAATTTCAATGTTAGCTGTTTTTTCCTGAGCTTCTGATTTCCAACAACACACACATAAACAGATCCTTTATTCTTGAAAGAGCCAATTAAACCACCTCTCAGATTTTGATAAATTGTACCTCGGTACCTCTGTCACTCCAGAAAATTGGAAAGTTTATAAAGAAGATCAGCTTGGCTCTTACACAAGGATGTCACTAATCGCCTCAGTTGGATGGCTTTCCGAATCAACTTAAACAACAAGGAAACGATAATAAATTAATAAAAAGCTCACAAATTTATCTTATGTGTTTTGTAGTAAACAGCTGCGTGCAAAATGCCATGACTACTTTTAGATTTCAACGAAATCACGGGATAGATGAATGCAGTGGGGTGTGGTGCTAGCTCTATGATGCTATTTCATCTTCTCGCGCCTGGGATTGTAATGTTGACCTTACGATGTGATCAACGCATATAAACCGTTCGGTCCTTTTTCATCGAGAGCCACTTGCTTCTCGTCGTTAGACATTATTTTGTTTATCTCTACTTGATAAAGTGTGTAGCAATTTTACTCTAAGGCAGTTGACCTACAGGTCGATCATTACTTTCTTATCGTGGCATGTAACCGTCTCTCTCGATTTCACATTTTGGGCGGCCATTTGACACAATGCACAGACCATTCTATCGTTTAAAGAAATTGCTCTTTGTCAAGATTGCTAAGCACGAGCTCTTGCTTGCTGCTGGGAAATCACTTTTGTATCAAGTCCGCTTCTCGTCGTGGGAGAGAACCCATTTAGAGTATTTGACCATTCTACCTACAAATGAACCTTGAGCACAGCTTGTACTTATTTTCATAGGAAGTGACTATTGGCTGTCTGTACCGAGCTCTGAGCCTATGTTTCCAATACATATTTTTTGGCCCTTATCGAAACTAACGTTTACGTTGCAATGATGTTTCACAATGTTTGTGATGGCTTGTACTTCATTTCAAACATGTAGTAAACTGCTCTTAGTGATAATCATTCTACGAATAACTAAATAGTACTCTTTGACTTGGTATTTCATTTCTTTGTCAGTGACCATTTAAATTATATCGTACCAAAAGCGGCCAATTAAAGTTCATAGTGCCGGCAAGCAAGCTTTACATTGCTGGAGCATTCATGTGAAAAAGACGTGTTAATTACGACATATGTATCAATAAAGCAGGGGAGGGTCAACATGGTAATATCTACACCACTTCGACCGTTTAACTATCATCTCTGCGATCTGTTATACACTAAACAAAGAGTATGTGGGTGCTTGTAATACACCAGCATCATTTGAGTTCTTCCCTTGAATGATGAAAACGTCGGCCACGACAGTTGCACCAGCCATCCTAATCAATCGCTCGGCCGCTGCAGCAGTTCCTCCTGTTGAAAACACGTCGTCCATGATAGCAACCCGCGCACCGACCTGGATTGAGTCTTTTTGCAACTCAAACGTATCCTAACATTTGGTCCAAGCACAAAATATCGATACATACACTTTGATTAGCATGTATACAATGATAAGGTGCAGATGTACTACTATGAACAACTATGCACGTAATATACCGGTCCATATTCCTTCTCATAGATGGCTTTATAACACGCGCCAGGTAACTTGCCCTCTTTACGTATAGGCACGAATGAAATCCCAAGGCGAACTGCAACCAGTGGCGCAAACAAGAATCCACGCGCTTCCAAACCTACAATGACATCCACCGATTTGTCTTTCAAGTATTCGGCGAAACGATCAATTACTGTGGTCGTTGCGTCAACGCTGCGAAAGATGGGGAAAATATCGACAAATCTGACACCTGGTTGTGGGAACTCCGGAAATTCACCAAGTAGATCATAGACAGGTAATAGAGAAGGGTCTTGCTCATGCCTAGCGGAGCCAAGCATGGATGATGGCAACAAAGAAGAGACAGTCATTTTGTTTTGCAAAGTGTCAGTGTATGTGTATGTTTTTTAACGAGAGAAAGAAATCAAAGAAAAAAAAGGAAGAGCATCTATAGTTATTTGTTGTTAGTGCATATGTCCACACGGGTCATATCATATGACCAGCAGCATATATCGTTTCGCAACATCCCTACCCGCTCGAAAATACCGCCATCTAACAACGACGAGTTCTTTTTTAAATTATTGGTGATTTCTGGCTTCATTAAACAGTAGTGTTGCCAATGATACCTAGTGAATTTCATTATATGAAGCAATATGTTGATTGATTGAATAAGCATGTATGTTTAATTCCGTAGCCTTTCCTTCTTTGAAAATGTGATGTTTTTGTCTTACGTCTCTGATTCAAATACCCACAGGTTGCAATCCAATCTTCAATAATGTCCCAGAGATGTACCATAATTATGACAACTGCTTAAACTACCTAAGCGCAGAAAGTGAGCTACTGGTATTTCTCTCCTTGTTGTGAATCGGCGTCGAGCCCCTGACCCTGAAATAGACACCTAATAGCATGGCGAATTGACCAGTACGATAACATTACCAAATAATAGAACCAATATAGCTCGGAAACCCTATTTAGTAATTTCACTCCCATCAAGGCAACCTTGCCATAGCATTGAGAGAAAGTCTAGCACAATTATGAATGCATGGAATGTATGTAGCTTTTAATGTTTGATCACGAGGTATATGCAAACCGAAAAAAGCAAAGGGAATATATAAGATGGGTCTAGGCCAAGAAGGGTAAAGTCAAGTTTTGGGGTAAATAATAGAGCTATACAGAACATCGATATACAAAATTGCGAGAAGAGAGGGAATAATATAATTAGGTGAATAGTGTTGGTACGAAAGCTGGTGATTTAAAATGAGTGCAATACAAACATATAAACAAAAAGAAAGCGATTTGGTAGTACATAAATATTACAAGGAGAAGAAGAAGTCTACGCCATTAATTGAACAGCAGCCTCTTTTCGCGCCACTTCACGAGCAACAGCCTCTGTTTCCCGCCATTTCTTTCTGTGTTTGCGTGTGCTGATAAAGGCATAGACAATAGCCAAGATGACATTGGCAAAAAACATCCACACGGCAAACGTCAGCTCTGCCATGGCCGGCATACCCCATTCTTCTGTTTTCTCACCGATCAAAAGTAACAGTACAAGTGCAAATGATAAGAGGCCCATGATGATTTGGCAGGCGCCATCGACCACACCTCGGCGCTTGCAAAGGCTTGCGAACGTCAGTCGCGCCTCCTGAGCGGTCTTTGCCGTCTCCTCGATGACCTGGGACTTGTACTTTTCCGACGTCTCCTGATCGAACGTCGAGAATAATTCGTCTTTGGATTTGACCAATCGACGCAGCAAGTACCTCAACACCTCAGGAATTACCCAATACTGAATAATGTAGTAAAGAGTATAGAACGTACTTGCAGCAAGCAGCGTTAGGCAGATAACAAATCCATAGTATGGCTCCACCAGATATTCAAGGCACGCCATGGCTGCAGGAACAAAACCCAGCACTGTCAATAGAATAAACGAGTTGTTCATTTTGGCAATGTAGCTGTTGCCCAATTCGCTAATCTTTTTCGCGCATGCTTCGATTTCGTCCACAGCTTCTTCGATCTGTTGTTGGAAATCGTCATCGTCCGGTATGGGAGTGGGCACCATCGGGTTCTCTGCTCCAAGGTCATAGTTACGCATTGTAGTCGTTTTTGTCGGTAAGGTTTTTTTCGTACGTGTTGGTGGCTGTGGTCCGTTCTTGAGCCATATTTGAAGAGGGCTTTTATATAGCAGCTCGAGCATACTTTCTGTGAAAGGATTTAAGAGGATACAAAGAGTAGAGTGGTTTAAAAAAGGGTTGATTGTGATACAGGAAGGAGGAGGCTTCGCTTCATGTTCTATGCGTAGTACGGCGTATTCGCTCGTGATTATAAAACGATGAAAACATTCTTTAGGTTACAAGCAGCGTTAAACCCAGTTTTTAACTTCGAGCATAAAGTTTTGCGCGATACGTCTAATACTGTCACTGCCCTTTGTCATTACTCATACAAGATTGTAATTATAACATATGAGGGTGACTTTATCGTTGTACACAATGACATCCATTCGTCAGTGCTTGGTTCTAATAACGGTTATATCTTGAGCGAGTGTTGGACAGGAACAAAGTTTTGATTTCGCATTAAGCTTTTGGGGAAGTAACCAGGGATACACACGGCGAAAACTTGCCCGAAAGAGGTTGGATCCACAAAGGCACAGCCGCCGCTCAGCAGATTTGGTGCTACAACACTTCTTTCAGTACTATTTAACAGCAGTACTACGTAGTAGAGCAGCTGTTACCGAGTATCTTCTGCAAATACAGGTTCACGCAAATGACTCTCCCTGCTCAGCAAATTGTGCTCAAATTCCACCTCTACGGATCAAGAAAATCATCGGGTGATCTATTGTTCCATATAGTCAATTTATATAAAGGCTAATCCATGCTGTTGCTGTCTGTTGAACGAATTACCATATATAGCATCATGTCCAAATTGTATGCACGGCGATGCTTATGATGATCATAGCAAAACTTGAAAGCATATATCTAGGTTTATAATGTCGAAAGTGATCTTACTACCTAAAGTCCACAAAATATATATAGGCACTGCTGCTGACAGTTTCAGTGGTCTCTACACTACTGGTGCTCATACAATTTGACGTCAGTGATAGCGCTCTGCAGTTGCTAAGTTTACCGTATCTGTTTTTCCCTATGCAGCAGCACTGCATCATGTAAATGATACCTTATTTGAGCTTACAAATTTTTAATATCTGACTAGATCCACAGTCCATTATATATATTTTATTAAATCACTAATACAGTAGAACATTGCTGCAAATACATAAACATATTTCTAAAGTGCTTCAATAGAAAAGAGCTTGCTATTATTAAAGTAAGTGATATTTGACGATAATCGTTGTCATATCTTATGCTGACAATTATATAGACTCAGTTGGAAAATCCAACTGGATATGCATTGCATATTTATATGCATGCTTTATTTTCTTTTTCAAAAAGAGCTTGGAGGCAAAAGTGGCCGAATCATAAATTTCAAAGAATGTACCTAAGAAAGACATGTATTACTGTATATATATACTACGCTGCCGTCACGACTATACAATCATTGTAGATTAGTGGTTTTCCGTAGTTGCTGTTCCTTTTTCCAATTTTTTTTGGTTCCTTTTCTAGGGTCTCTTTCTATCTCTTGCCACCTTTTTTCTTGATTTCTATCTTACGAAAAGGGTATGCTAAACCGTCGCCGTCCATCAGATGGACGAGCCCTTCCGACAAGATATATGAGTCCAAGCAAAAGCGATTCAGTAGTTGCCGCAAGAGCAGCAGCAACTCCACCACCATTACCGCCACCAAAACCGGCCTCCAGGTCACCATTCTCATCCTCTAATGCAGACCACGTCACACCGTATTCTACATACGCAGGGAATCATTGTAACAGCGACCATGTTACCGCAGATTCTGATTATGATCGACCTGCCTTGTCAACAGCAGCAACGATAACAGGGAGCAACAACAGCGATTATACTAGCTACTCGCCACCATCATCACCATCAAGCCCCCTAACCAGCGGAAGAAAGAGTTCTAGCAGCAATACAAGCAACCGAATTAAGGTAATAGATTTCAACAAGTCTTTACCCCTTGGAATAAAAAATGGTCAAATTGTAATTTTGGCCGGGTCTGTTTTCTGGCCGTTGATGATTTTTCTTCCTGTTGTGAAAACATAATAGGCCATGAATCGTGCATCCATTAATGAAAGTCTGGGTAGACCCTTGGATAGGCTTTGCGTCCAAATGGGTGAAGGGTTTGTCAAGCGAGATGAAGAAGAGCATTATCAGGATACGCACCTGTCCAGAGCACGTCTTGAGAAGACATGTGATTCCCTTCGACAGCAAAGGGATAGCTTGGTTTCAGAGATTCAGGACTATATCTCTGGACCATCATCCTTGCCTCGTCCAAAGCAAGTAACCTTTGTGATTTTTCGCTATTTATTTGGTATAAGACTCGTATTAGCAAAAGAAATATAATCCAATTCAGCTTATACCTTTCTGCCGATCTTCTTTTCTAGTAACGAAGACGACGACGACAATAATGACGATGACAAGAAGCAACAGAAGCTATGGGAACGCTTCAGAAAACTATTTGACGAGCAACTTATATCCATTCAAGCAGATATTCAAGAAGCCAAATCTGAATACGATAAATTGAACGAGGCACGCGATGAAATAATGAAAGAAATGGTACTACTAAATACGAAAAACGCAGAGCTCAATACCATGAACAATGATTTATCACGTCGTGTCAGCGAACGAGAACGAGAAGCAGTGGCATTTATGGCAGGAACAAATTTCCTGGATAACCAAGACAAGAAGCCAAATTCAAGGAATAGCGACACGTGCAACACTACGCCGATGTTGAATAAGAAGAACAGCAGCAGTGGTGTCGGTGGGATTGTTGGTGGCATCGGAGAAGAAGGGCTAACCAAGATCAAGAAACTTAAAAATCGGGGCCTCATGTTTGGAAAGTTTGGTAACAAGCAAAATGGTCCTCAACGCAAAAGTAGCAGCAACAACAACAAGTATGGGAACGGAAGCTCCACGAGCGGCAATGGCGGCACTGAAAGTCCGTACACGTTGAGTGAATCTGAGTCAACTAGCACAATCCCAGAAACACGATCCGTTGGTTCGGCCGATAACTACAGCAGCAGCAATCATGGAGATTCTATTGCGGCAAATGACGAGCATAGCCTTTATCAAATCAAATTTATACGACCTGTCCGCTGCGAAGTATGTGGTGACAAGATATGGCGAAGTTCTGAACTAAAGTGTCAGGGTTAGTAGTAATTTACATATCAATGTTTTGGGAATAAATAAGCGTCGTATATGTGTATAACTCTTATATAGGTTGCGGCGTAACATGTCATTCCAAATGCATGAGAAAACTCCCTTACGTATGTTCAAACATGAAAAGGAATGACAGCAGTCATAAATCCATGTCGACGATGTCTACAAGGAGCTCAGTTGTTTTTGGGAACGATCTTGTAAAGCAAGTGCAGCTGGAGAATAACAAAGTGCCACTCATTGTTCGGACTTGTGTTGAGGCTGTTGAAGCAAGAGGTATATAATTATTACCTCACCATACAAAGTGCACCAAAACTCATTATAACATTTCGCTTTTTTGCAAGATATGGACGTTGAAGGAATTTATCGCAAGTCAGGAGGCGCAAAGCAAATGCGAGAGATTCAGCAGCTTTTCGATCAAGGGCAAGTGCCCGACTTGACTAACGAGCACCTTTGGAACGATATCAATGCTGTTACTAGTGTTTTGAAGCAGTATTTTCGAGAACTACCAGATCCACTTTTTACATATCAGTTTCATAACGAGTTTATCAGGTCCACTAGTAAGCGCAATAAATACTCTAAAGTGTTGGCAAAACGAACATAAATATCAAGTCACGATGATAAACCACCAACAATGACTTGCCCCTAGACATTAACGATCCCACTGAACGCCTGCAGTATATCCGCTCGCTAATTAATGAGTCGCTTCCTCTCGAAAACCGCGATACGATACGGTACCTGATGTGTCATCTTCATAGGTATATGTTAAAGCTTCAACGTCACTAATTATTACCGTTTTATGCTCACAATTCGTAATTTTCTCTTTGGCTCATCTAAGAGTACAAGAGAGGTGTGATGTAAATTACATGAATACGCGGAATCTGGCTGTTGTATTTGGTCCTACTCTACTACGAAATCCAGATGAAGCGAGCGATCTGCTTGAGATGAACCGCAAAATCGAAACGATCGATTACCTTTTAAACCACTGCAACAAAATCTTTGATTGTTCCGATGATAAAAAAGAAGAGGGGGCCAAAGATTAATAACTCAGTGATAGGCTTGTTTTTTCCATCTTTTCTATATACCTCCTCCTGCTTCCTCCTTTTGTGTAAAAGTTTGTAAAACAAAACAATGGCTGGTCCAATAAATTTAGTCTCTCTAGCATTGAAGGAACAAAAAGGCCTTCTTGTTGTAGAGAGAACAAAAGAAGGAATACGGTCTTATTGATAGAGTGATATTGTCAACGATTTAAAAAGATGATACTGTCACTGTCATTTGCTCAATGATATTATTGAATGAAGAGAATATTTAACAAATATATTAAAAATACATAGTTATCATAAAATCATGTACAGGTTGGTTACGAAGAGTGGCTGCAATCGCTTGAAATATTGTTACATTCAAATGTTTTGTAGTAGCTGTAGAAAGAAGGGGATCAGAAGGAAATGATAAGGGAGGAAATCCCCAACAGAAGAGAAGAAGAGTAATAACAATATTGTCAAGTACGACGACGCCATACCAAGGTAAGAATAATTTACATAAAAAGCAAAAGGAGCGTAAATCGGGCAATCGTTTGAAATTTTAAGCGTTTTCTTTGGTATTGCCTACAGCCGACGAAAAGTGTTTATCATTGTAAAAAGTACCAGCTTCTTCGTCGCGGAACACGCGGTCAACGCCCCCAATAGAGTTTTTGCTGGATTCGTTGTCGTCGCTCTTTTCTGCAGCAGCTTCGTATGGCAGAATGAGGTTCAAAAGAACAGAAAGAATACCGCCCATGATGTAGCCGGTGCTGACGACGGTCGTGATAGCATCATAAAAGCCCTGAAGTGCCGAGTTCTCAACCTTTGGCATGACATACGTGAACCAATCTGGAACCACGGAAACACCCAAGGCAAGAGCGAGTGAGGCAGCGACAATAACACGGTCGCGACGCGTCCAATCAAGATAGCCGAGAATTCGAATACCAGATGTAGCAACTGAGGCAAACAGAAACACTGTCATACCACCGATCAAGGGTGAGGGGATGGCTAGAAACGCTGCGGAAATCTTGGAGAAGATCCCAAAAATGATGAGTAAAGATGCGCAAATGACGCCAGCGTAGCGGTTGGCACATCTTGTAACGGCAATAACACCGTTGTTTTGACTGAAAGTAACGACGCCCATGCTAGTAGCCAATCCAGAAAAAATACCAGACAGACCGTCGGCGAGAAGACCACCTTGGCAACGCGATTCAAATGTTTTTCCAGTAATAGCCATGCCTGAAACATCGCAAGCAGCAGTCAAGTCACCCAAACATTCACTATTGAAGCAAAAGAAAATTGTGAGTTTCTTGTGGTTAGTTTGGCTGCATTTGTCATGCCCTAGAGTGAAAAAATTGATATGGCGGTTGGTTCTTACATTGTCATATCCAGATAAACGAACAAGAATGGAATAACACCTGGTCCATAGATACTCAATTTGAAAGTCTTGACCCAAAGGAAGGTGGCTGCTGGAGCAGCGGCAATATCTGAACTATCAAACATGCCAATACCGGCAGCAATGATACAACCAAAGAGAAGACCGACAACGACAGAAATGTTTTTTAAAAAGACAGAGCCGACGAGTTCAAGCACGATGATGGTAAAAAACACGGAGGCGCCTAATGCAAAGTTGACAGGGCTGCCCCATTTTTGTGCGTTGGGTGCATAAACCGTTGGACATAATGCAAAGTCGCCAGATTCGGGTCGACTCATGCAAGGACCGGAGCCTCCTGCCCAATTTTGCATGGCACTCGTCAACAATGAACTTCCGATAACCAAAAGGACAACGCCGGTGACAATCTTAGGGAACAACTTGCGAATGATACGAGGGGGCAAAAAGCTGATTGCAATTGTCAGAAGGGCGCAGACCATTTGAGTACCGAGAATAGCACCAAAGGCATCAGGGCAAGGCAAGGGATTCACGGTTCCGTCTGCAAGTACTTCAGAAGGGCAGAAACCGCCTAATTGCAATCATCGAAAAAGAAGGAAATCAGTAGATGTTCAATAATACACTTATAAAAAGTGTCTGTAATAAACTATGCAAAGAAACAAAAATATACTACTTACTGGTATACATGTTCGATACCATCGCTTGGGCAGCTGGAAGATTGGCAAATGAAACACCAGTGATCTGCAACAAACCAGCACCAATGTAATATCTTGTTTTTGGAACTCGGAAACGGACGATCTGGATTAGACTGTATTGCAATATGGAAAACCAGGTTGTCAGTTGATCGAACAGCTTACTTGTATGCTTTCAAGTATAATGATGTGTAAGCAACATACCTCATCAACCCAGATACGATCAAAGACGCTGAAATCATATACTGTCGCAGATCTTGGTCAAGGTTCAATGCATTACTACCTGAGCCTGAAATCAAAATTGTTGGAGTGATTACACCACCAATGACTGATAGGAAGTCTATAGAAGATGTAAGATATAAGAACCTAAGCTTTTACAGGTTTCATATAGTAAAGTAACAATTCAACTTACGCTGGATACCCATGACAATAGCCAGGAAAACTGGAATTGGATCGTTGGGTCCATAGAACGGCGAAGTGTTTGTTCGCCTGCGTAAGAATGGAATATGCGGCATACTATATATGTTCATACCAAATTTAGTTGATAGATGCATCGAGAACAAAAGGTCTCATTGGTGAGAAGATTTTCAATTGACAATTACCAGAGAGCACGATAATCATATTTTCCGAACCACCCATCATAGGTCGTAAACTTGCGCTTCATACGAGTAGAGAACGAGGCACTAATTATAGGCGGGGTAACTTCGGGATACAGCATCTCTTGAGGCTGTTCAGTTCTAATTTCAGTAGCAAGATCGCGTTTCTTTTCCATGTCGTCTGATGATGTGATGCTGTTTCTGCTGGAGGAAGAAGGCATAACAGTTTATATAGAATAATAGAGTAATGTTATAAACAGAGGTGCTTGCTGTGTTGAAGAGCAAGCAATAATAGTTGGTGAGAGAGAGTGTGTGTCAAGTTAATTGCGCTTCCAATACAGATTTTCTGTTGGGCTGGCTACAAAGAAAGAAACAGCAGTTAAAATAGGGATTATAGGCAGTATTTATAGTATTTGCCAATTTTTTTAGAAATTGGTTAAATTTTCCTCTGTTGGGTCTTGACCCTTTTTTGCTCAAAGTGCCAGTTTTGGCTAATTGATAAAAAAAAAAAGAGGAACGCAAAGGACATTTAAATGACACAATAGATAACAACGATGGTGTCCCGCGATGGAATTGCTCTTGGTCGTGGTACAAAGACTTCTTTCGTGATGATAATTATTTTACGAATGCGCGCGTGAACCAATGAATAATATTTTCGGGCTCTTTCGCGTCTTTATCACCAATGAAGCTGCTATCGCTCACGTCAATTCTCACTGCCGCTGTCGTCGTCTCTGCTAATACATCAGCACAAGCCAGTAACGAAGCTAGTGTTGTTGGACCTGACGGAAGCATCAATCCTTGTCACAATCTTAAAGAGCAGCAGGAAATTGATGAGTGTTATATGCGTCTAGCACTCGAACATGTATTGGTTCACAACCCCACTTTTCCTTTCGGTGCTCTGATCGTGGATCACACCACGAACGAGATATCGTGCTATGGCGCCAATTCGAATCGCAAAAACAAACTTTTGCATGGTATATATTATTGCTTTAGTCTTTAACAGAGCAGTAGATATAGATTATAGTGTGTGCTAACTACGCCTGGGATGTTTTCTTTACCTATTACACTCCAATGTCATGTTATCATCATAGGCGAGACAACTGCATTTTGGAAGTGAGTCTTTTTTCTACTGTCATCGGGGAGGCGGAATTTTAAAATAAGATTCGAGAGGACCGCTGTAGCGGGCGCGGAGGTTGGAGGGAATATAAAAAGCTGTTATCTCCATGAAGCCACAATCCTTATCAACTGATATGCCGTTTTTGTAGCTGTACCGAACTCTATCCGTCTCCAAGTAACAACGACATGCACGATCCTGGGCTGGAATGGTCCCACCAGACACTCTACACCACTGGAGAGCCGGTAAGTCTTTTTTTTCTTATCTGCGATAAGTAAGATAAATATACTGCTATCTAATTATACACTGTTGCGATTGTCGCGCTGATATGATAATAAGTGTCCCATGTGTGCTTCCCAAAGCATCTATCGTGGTGTCGGCCGTGTCGTATGGGGAACGTCCATTCCTGATATCAATCGCAGTGGTCGCCAGCAACTCTTAATTGAAATGTAAGAATTATACTCCTCACATAGACCAAAATACCCCGCAATCAAATTTGCTCAATAAGGTTCGGTATTTTCCAACTAAATTAGGGACGACGTCATTGGCTCTGCGCATATGGGTGGCTATCAACTGGACCATCGTGTGCCTGATGTTGTTGGTGGCATGCTCAAGAATGAATGCGACCATGCCTTTTGGTGTGCTTTTAGTTACTTCCGCGATGATGGTTATTATCAGTCCATGGCTTCGCAGGGTCTGGACGGCTACATCGAGGAGCGCAACAAACGTTTTCCGTGCGTTACCATGCCTCTTTTCAGAGAGCAGTACGATTAGTGTCGTCTCTTCGCATTATTGAAACGCACAGGAAGAGAAGGAGCAGAAACCACCTTTGTAAATGAATGCGCTTATTTCTCCTTCAGTTGATGGTTCCAGCCACTCCATGTAAAAACACGCTGTACAGTCTTCTTACTTTGTCTATGTCATTTTAAAGAAATAAACAATTATGTTAAATCCTGATTATTATGTTTTTTTACCACGCTTTGGATGTGACACAAAAATATACCTATCCACGTTACAAAAGGCAAGCTTATCATCCGGATACTGCTTTATCAAACAAGTGCTTCATGGAGTTTCGGATCAGAGGCACAGGCTCACAGATTTACCAATATATAAAGGCCATTTCGTTTTACTTTCTCGCATCTTTTCTTATCTTGCAATCTTTATTTCGATGTCTGCCATTGTTACTACTTCCCCCGCCGCCGACTCTTTGCTCAAGGATGTCCATACAACTGCTGCCGCTTCTTCTGCAAGCATGGCCACCAAGGAACGCAGCTTTGCTTGTATTGATCTCTCGGACTTTGACAACCGCCGAGACGAGATTGTGGCTGACCTCATGCGTGCTTGCACCACTGATGGCTTTTTTTACGGTAAGCGGCCTTCTAGGTATAGAATTGGGATGGGTTACTGCAGATACAAAACGGACTGATTGTTAATGATGGCTCTGTGCTTCATAGTGATCAACCATGGTATTTCGGTTGAGGATATCCGTGCCATGTTCCAAGCTAGCGTTGACTTTTTCGCCCTGCCTGATGGTATCAAAGAGAAGTATCCCATGGATGTATCGCGCAATGCCGGCTGGGAGAAACTTGCACAGGTAAAAAAAAGAAAGAGGAAAGTCTTAAAAGGAAAGAATGTTAATGTGGAACAATGAATATCTAAATCGTAGATTCGACCCTCCACTGGTGTTGCTGATCTCAAGGAATCGGCCCAATTCAGCTTCCATGGCATTGAAGATTTATGGCCCACCGATCAAGATGCACCTGGCTTCCGCACACGCTCAGAAAAATTCATGCTACAGTGCCACGACGTCTCTACCAAACTCCTTACATGCTTGGCCATTGGCTTAGATTTCCCTGAGGACTTCTTCACGCGCTGCCATGATATTACCCAACCTGATATTCTCAACACGCTTCGTTGCCTGCACTACCATGACATTACTGGCCAGAGCTTCCCTCCCGAGTACTGGCGTGCTGGAGCTCACACTGATTTTGATACGCTCACGTTGCTATTCCAGCGCCCTGGTGAGAATGGATTGGAAGTCTGCCCTGGTCGGGAGGCTTCCACTGATTTTGGCCACGGTGATACTTGGGCTCCTGTTAACCCCAATGAAGGAGAAATTGTCTGCAACCTGGGCGACGTAAGTAGAGTAAATTGTGCGGGAGAAAATGGAAAAGGCAGCTAATGACTTATTGTCTTGGTTACACAGATGTTGATGCATTGGGCCGATGATCGTGTCGTATCCAACTTCCATCGTGTCAGAGCACCCAAAGTCGGCGAGTACCAAGGACCCCGTTATTCTATTGCCTACTTTAACCAGTGCAACAAGTCTGCCATCATTCAGGGCTCGACTCGCTACACGGAGCCCGTCACTGCCGGTGAATTTTTGAGACGAGCCATCGAACGCAATTATAACGCTCTTCAAGCTCTCAAGGCTTCCCAAAACAATGCTTAAACAACGCGCCCATGATCTTTCCCAAAATCAACCATAATACTTCTCCACGTAGTCACATCTTACCTTTTTTCTCGTACTTTATTTCTTATTATTCAGCTGTTCTTCTTTGTAGATATCTTCGCATTCTCTGTCGTCCAATCTTTTACATATCTTCTGTCATTGGGGCGGCAGGCACGGTTGCAGCCACTCCGTGTAAAAAAACCTGTATATATAACGCATCTGCATACAAAAAATAAATTTCCCCTTTTGTCTTTTTGTTTTCCACCCCCTATAAAAACGCTTTGCATTGCCCTATGAAAATTTATATCATGATGCCTCCACTACTTGGTGATTCTATAAAAGTCTTCAATACTAGATAGACATGTCAAGATTAATCATAACGAAAGCAAACAGGTTCTCTTTCCTCGCCGCGTTAGATCTCCCTACATTTTCGATTTGTAATATAGCTTGATTGAACGCTGATAATCTGTCTCCAAGGACTTACTGTAGCTTTGTTGATATGGCTCTCTGATTTTTTATTAACTGTTCACTATGATGAAGTAGATAGGTTTATGGAACCCTGTTCAAAATATAATAGCAGACAGTAGAACAAGCATTTTGCATAATTTTATGTTGAATGATGCAATCTGTGCTCCGTTTTTGTGTAGCGCTGTAATCATAAAGAAAAGGCATATATGCGTAATTAGGAAGCAAGGTGTACCCAAAAATCCGCACTCCTGCTACAGTGTATGGACCTACATGAACTAGCGGTTACCAGCTTGTCCCTTTAAAAATCGACAATCCTGATATGATCTTGTTTTGTGGTGAATGGTATATGTGCATATCAAGTATTGCCTGTCATTATGTAAGCAAGTGTAACCTCGTGATGATATATTTCAGGATTATGCCGAAAGTTGGGATGTCGTACCTTTCAACGCCGAATACGTTGCTCATCTTTTCAACATCCATGTTCGTTCAACCATAAGGACGTTATTGTATCAGATGAGATTTGTCCTTCTCGACATGCTTCATTGTTTAACAAATTAGTCCACTTAACATTGAGCGCCAAAATGCTGGGAAATAGAGAAGGTGAAAACAGGTTATAACTTTTTATATAATATTTATATACATTGTGGGAAAGTAAGGAACTTGTATATGTGATAACAATAGTCTACTCATTCTTGAAAGAGAACGAGGGGTTTCCAGGTGCAGAAGACTCGGCAGCACGCTTGTCCTCCTCGGCGCACTCCTCGACCTTAATGATTTGGATGGATTGGAAACCAAGTGCACGCTGGAATTCTTTGGTAGCCGTGTTGAGGGTAGCAATTTCATCAAATCTGAGGGCACGATCAAATGCTGATGGGCCAGCCTTTTCAATGATTCTCTGCATACAGGAAACACAATTAGTAAAACAAATGGTATCCTTATCAAACGGTAATTCTTTCAGAGATACAATACATACCTTTTGTGCTTGATAGAAGGGCATGACACGCTTGTTCTTCTGCAAACCCTTTGCACTAAGTTCTTGACGGACTTTGACATCATCAAACTTGCCAGTTGTCTATCGTTGCACCCCCCCCAACGAAATGAGCCCCGGTTAGCTTTTTCACATAGATGAAATCACGTTCCTATAGATCGATTTTTGTTTTACCTCATCATAGCCAATCTTAGCAACGGTAAGAATTTCCTCTTCCCACTCGGGGAACTTGCTGGCAACGAAGATCTTGAGCGACTTGGGTGCGTTAGGTTTGTAATCAGACTCGAGTTGTTTGCCCTTCTTTTTCTTCTTTTGCAAGTTCAGTTCGGCATCACGGATGGACTTAATACTACGGCGGATATATTCAGCAGCTTCCAAAATTGATTCGTCCACTGGCGCAGAAGGCTTGGGGAATGCAGCCAATGTGACAGTGCCCTCCTTCTTCAAAACGTTGCCCCACACATGTTCAGACCAGTGAGGACAGACGGGGGTAAGAGTCAAGGTTTGAACTTCGATGTATTTCAGAACCAAGTCCTTGTGCATGCCCAATTCAAGGCAAGCCTGCTGATAATGGTCTCTAGCTGCTTGCAGCTCAAAGACACCATACTTGAGAGCATCGCGATAGTAGGTGGCGGCGTAAGCCTCGTCTGTCAAACTGATCAGCTTGTTCATCTCGTTGATGAAGACTTGGTCGTAGAAGTTATATTCGCCAGTGCGCAAGTTATCCAGCTTGGTAATCTGTTCTTCGCACCATTCAAGCAAAGTGTACAGGCGCAAAATAGCAGCATTGGCGGTCGAGTCCTCAAAGTTGGCATCTTCGACAGAATCACCAGCGTCAGCCAGGGCGAAGCGAGCGGCATCAGCACCATACTTGGCCACGGCATCGGAGATGGTCATAAAGTTACCAGTGGACTTGGACATCTTCTTGCTATCCAACAACAAGTGGCCGTTCGAACGAACGCCACGGGGCCACTTCTCTTCAGGGAATATGGCAGTATGGTTGTACAAAAAGAAAGTCAAATGGTTGGGAATCAAATCCTTGCCAGAGGCTCGCACATCCAATGGGTAGAAGTAATCAAATTCACGCTGCAGCTTGTCCAAAGTAGCCTGAGGAACATCACAGTCGGCGGGGTATGGGCCGAGCTTGAAGATGTAGTCCCAAACGCCATCGGTCATTTGATCAGCGCGAATACCGGCAGGACCAACTTGCGAACCGTTCAAGGAACCGCCATGCAAAAGATGAGCGACAGTGTAGTAAGCCATGTAGATAGTGGAGTCAGACAATGACTCGACCAAGAATTGGGTATCCCAAGGCAACTTGGTACCCAAACCGAAGCTACGGGCGCAAGCCCATTGGTTGAGCCAGTCGAGAGTCTGTTCAAACTGGTTGCGGGTCTCGTTGGTGAAGGTGTTCATGTTGGCCAAGCACTTTTTGGTTTCAGCCTTCCACTCCTCTTCGCCATAATCCAAGTACCACTGATCCATCAATGCGACAATACACTCGTCACCAGAACGAGACATGATCAGACCTTCAGGTTCGTTGTAAACGAAAGCTTCACCAGCCTGGATAAGTTCGTCCTTGATTTTAGGCTTGGCATCCTGGACCTTCAAGCCCTTGTACTTGCCAATAACCATGACACCTTGGTAGAAACTCTCCTTGTATGCCAACTCCTTGGCCTTAGCAAGCTGAGTGGTATCCTTTTGCGAGTTGATCTTCAATTGTTTGCACAGTGTAGGAGCAGTCAAATTGCCGTACGAAGGGGTTTCGAGGATTTCCACAGGCTCATAGCTTTCGATCCATTCGGCTTTAATCTTGTAGTACTCAGGCTTCTTCTTCAAGTCAGACACAGTGGCAAAATCATCAGGCGAATCAGAGGGTACGGAAGTAACGACACCAGTACCCTTGGTGGACAGAACGTTATCCATTGGAAGCACAAAGACATGGTCATAAATACTCAAAGGAGCCTTGATCTTGGTGCCGACAACGGCATCACCCTTTAACTCGGCAAGCTTGTTGATAACACCTTCCTGGGCGAAAATCTTTTGATGGGCCATGTTACGGGCGGCACGCTCAGTGCACAAGAAAGCCTCCTTGTCATTGACGTTGTAAACACCATAGGTGATATCATTGCCGACGAAGCAGTTGGTCTGGCCGTACATGGTTTCGGGTCTCAGGGTGGCAGCAACCAAATGAACGGTCTTGCCCTCCAATTCTTTGACCTGACCCAGCACTTCACGAGCCTTATCTGACCAGTCCAACACTGTCATCTTGATACTCGTGTATTCCTGGGGACCCAAAGCTTCACCCGACTGACGATCGTGATCCATGCAAGGCTGTTGATCCTTGATCGAGTAAATAGTATAGCGTTCACCGAATTTGACTTTGTTCATCTTCTTCAATTTTCTCATTTGCCAGCAAACAAACGCATCGTAGTAAGGGTTAGCATCGGTGGTGATGAAAGCACGGCGCCAATCAACCTTAGCACCGATGGCATCCAAATCCTTCATGGCATGAGGAGGGAAATACTCGGTCCAGAAGTAAGGGTCAGCAAACTTGCAAATTTCGTCGCGTGGAATACCGAGTTGTTCCATGATCTGGAACTGGTAAGTGACATTGCCCGTCTTTGCAGCGACCTTGCTCTTGACGTTCTTGTTGACTTCGGCCTTTTCTGACAGTTCCTTGGCCAGTGCTGCTTCATCGTAGTTCTCAAAATGTCTGCCGAACAATTCCATCTCACGCAACAACTTATCAGCACATGCCTATATATACGCGTGCCCAACATAATGCGTTAGTTATCGAGATATCTACTGAAATAATCCTGCTGTCACTGTATCTATGGTCTTTACCTTGATAGGCATACCAGTTACGTGGAAGCCTTGGGGAAGCAAAGCACGCTTGCCCTTCATTCGCTCATAAGCAACAGCAAATTCGACCTTGGAAAACGTGAAAGCGTGACCCAAATGAAGACGACCGTTCATGTAAGGATATGGCATGCACCCCATGTACTTTGGATAAACTTGATGCAAATCGGCACTGTTGGCGTGTTCTTCGATGGTGGGAGCGTCGATCTCGAACGTCTTCGTTTCATTCCACAAATGACGGGCTTTGCCTTCAAGGGCACGGAGAGCATCGCGCTTGGCAGTCTACGTGACATTGTTTGATATGAGTGAGTGCAACAATGGAGCGCAGTGGCATTGCTGCGGTTTGCATTTATTACCTTTGGAGGCTCGTTCGTAGTCGCCATTGATGAAAGGGTGTTACTGGAACAAGAAGGGCGGATGTGGCTTTTTCAGTTCAAACCGGTTAAAAATTGGTGCGGGTAACCAATGGCATTGAAATAATGCGGATGACACATAATCTGTTTTCATGAAGACAAATATTTGGTATTCTTTCTTTCTCTTTTACTGCTGATCGCTTTTACAATTATTGTCAGAAGCACACACAAAATCCCAAATCGTCCGCAGCAAGAGGCAAAAGAGTCCATGAGGCGTTCCAACTTCGATGCTAGCTATAACACATAGCAAGAACAGCAATAGCAGCAACAATGGTCAGTCTTCTACGGCTTTCAACGCACCATGAAAACATAGTAGGAGAGATCATGCATAGATAATTACTTTTGTTTTATGAAATGACAACGACAAACGACAAAAGCTCATTACACCATCAACTGGATGTACCTGGATCCAAAAAGTGTATCAGCCCCATTATATATACGAACATTATGAAAAACCTTGTAATTTTGACCTCTGTGGCGGGGAAGGATGATGATGCTCATCAGGCCCGCTACTGCTATCCTCCTCTTCTTCTGACTCTTCCGACTCGTCATCGTCGTCTGTGTAGTCTTCTTCGTCACTGCTGTCTTCTTCTTCATTACTGTCCCCATCTTCCTCTGATGAATCATCGTATTCGTCTGTGGTATCTTCGTAGAAAGCATCCAAATCATAGTCATTGCCTTTTTTCTTGGCTGCACCTCCAGCATATCCTCCATGAAATCCGGTTGCTTCGATGCCTGATAGGGCTGTCGATGCCATGCTCGGATCACGGTATCGGCTTTCGAAACTGTCGCTTCCAAAACCTTGCTCCAATACCATTGTGCGGCTACCGGCCCATCCTTCGAGTTCTTCTACATCACGAACAGAGGGATCGGGCTGCTCTTCTGGATAATCAGATAATGGTTCGTAATCCGGTAAAGCTTGGTTGGCAAGTAGTGAAAGCGTTCCAATAATATATTCCGTGCCCACTAGTGAATCCATTTCGTATTAGTGTCCAGATCCAATCTTTTATTGTAAATTAGTCAATACTAACCTTCGCCTTCAAGGGCTGGCGGCTCTTTATCAGAAAATAGGATCCGCTTAGCGTGCTCTTTAAGTGCAGTTAATCCAGGATGTTGTTGCTCTTGATTATGTTGTGGAATGGTAAGGGCTCGGAGAAATCGGGCTCGATCTCGTACGTCGTAACTGGGATCGTATCTTGCCAAGTTTAGCACGTATTGGTTGAGTGTGTTGAGTGTTGGATGTGATGGGTTAAGACAAATAAGTTTGGCTGATAACGTGAGTACTTGTAGTTTGGCTATGTTTGTCTACGTTAAAGCCATATAAATACTTGATGTCAATAACAAATGCCTTTGACTCTCTTTGTCATTTCTTTTTGGTTACCTCGGCTATGAAGCTCTTGACAGCTTGTCGTAAAACATCAGGACCGACTTTTGGTAGGGTTTCGGCGTGCTGACCAATGAGCCAGATAATGTTGGCGCGCGCCATGGGTACATGGATACTGTCAAGCAACTTGGCAAGCGCGATAACAGATTTTAAGCGATCTTCATTGCATGTTTGCAATAATCGTGTCACCACAATGACAGATTCCGCCACAACAAGCTCTTTTTTCGCACAAGTATTCAATTAGGTATACAAACCCGTGTATATCTCTTGAAAAGTTATCAAAATTAACCTACCATTGGTGCTATGTAAAAGCTTCATCAGCAAACGCATACACCGATCGGTTCCAGCAGATACGTTGGTTGCGCACCGGCCTATAGCTTGGATCGTGGCCGCCACAAAATCTTTGTTGGGACTTTTGACATATTGCTATTCTCCATATGTCAATAATCACTTCATATCCCTTCCTCCAATCCAGCATCTGATGCGTTTTTCTTATACCTGGAATTCGTTGAGTAGCGTGTAAATATTGGATTCGCTGCAGATGCTGGTCAAAATATCGAGTTTTATATCGCGAATGAACACAGGCTCGGCGGAGCGAACGTAAAACTGCTGGATATATGGTTCAAACAGATACTGGAGGCATGAGAGTAGTTAGTGAGTATGTTGAAGAACTCTATTATGTCTATTGGATGTCCACTTACAGGTCTTGAAGTAGCCATTATAGCAATATTCTTCAGCACAACGTATTGCATTTCTCTGTGGTTTCGTAATAACCGAACTAAGGGCCTGGCAATCTTTTGAGCTTCGGCTGCAGGAGCAAGGTGATAGAATAAACGTGCCACTGCAAGTACCACCTACATTGAACAAATCATGATTAATTCTTCGCCCATCATAAGATCATGCATGTAGCATGTGCCGATATCACTTACTCCACTGTTTCGACTTTGCAGTAAGGGTATACAACTTTTTAACAATAACTCATGATCCTCGTCGAGCTGAACGACATCATCCGCTTCCGTCCCGTTTTCAGCAACGCTGTCTTCCGATTCAGAGTCCGTGTAAAAATGACGATCGTCATGCTTTACAACTGCAAGTGTCTTGGGTGGTTCACGCAATTGATCTTCGCCCTATTTTAATAATGTCAGTAAGCTTCATCTCACTTCATTTATTCCCTTTGCTTTCGTTCCGTTCTTTTAAAAAACCACTTGCATGAGGATTGGGATTTAAAAACTGTGAGCTAGAGTTGATAATTGAACGTTAGAAATAAACAAATCATAAGAAAAAAGACATCCATTCTTACCGGCCATAACGTAACATAACACCCAGAATTGCCATTTGACCCCACTCGTCACAATCCGCTAGTAAACCACATAGCTTTCGAAAGCACGGATGGATCAAATCGAAACGGTTGGGACACACTTCGTTGAACGCCATGATAGTGCTACCGATAGTAATTGTCGACCGATCCTTCAATAATGACGCAATAATTTCAATAATGGCATCCTTTTGCGACGCATCCAGACTGTAGCATTTCGGAATAGCATGCGCCGCAGCCTTGCGCACATAGGCACTTGAATCGGTTGAGCACTTTTTGATGCCCAACAAGACGATAGGACTGATCACGGGTACCCGAATACCACTCATGACACGAAGGGCCATGGCTCGAATTATCTGGTTCTTGTCGCTCAAATCCTTTTGAAACGAGTTGATCGACAAAAGCGCCAAATCGGGTTCCTGCTCTGCATATCGCAGCAGATAGATATACACGAGCTTGCGTACTTCAATGTTTTGCGAAACAACGTTCTTCACCACGTCTGGAAAGTACTCGGACACATCTCGTCCCTTGGATATCATCTGATACGTAGCGCGGACAAAATAAAGGTGTTCAGGTCCCATATTAATATTGTAATGAAATGGTCATTCTGCTCTACTTTGAAATCGCAAAAGTAAGGTACCGCAATGAGCCGTTTTAACCCATCGAGCTTCTCTCGATCGTTGCGTGAGTCCAATTGTCGTTTGATGTTGCGCATCTTTTCTTCGGACGTATCGAAATACTGGGCACCTGAATCGCCTGCGGCTGGGAAGCCAAACTCCCGGGCATTGTCGACAAGACCTTGAGACATTTTCTGGGATAGTTTGGCAGCATTTTCGGCAAATGTCATTGCCTTGTTGATGTAGTCGCTGACCTCCATTGTATGTTGTGTGTATACGCTGTTTTGGGTTGTTATCGTGGAAGCTTGGCAACAGGACAATCAACACAGTACGCACGAAAGAACACGGCGGACCGGTCATTCTTCTTGCGCCATTTTTGAAGCGCCGTATACCGAACTCGTGACACGTTCAAGGAACTTGTTCTTCTGAAACATTGCTCTGTCATTAATAACGATGATGATGACGCATATACACGACAATAGAAAACAGAGCGGGAGAAAGATAACATCTGCCTCTTTCTCCCATGAATAATATCCGAGGGATGGTAGCGTTCTTATAGCAAACATGTACACTTTTGGCTTTGTTCCTCGCCGGTTAAAACTCGAACTTTCGACCACACCTCTCCAATAATTGAACTGGTTGGTAGATTACAGGTAAAGCAAGTATTTTTAAAACCACATACGCTGGATACCTTTTGCTAGATAACTTTTTAGCCTTTTTATTGCATAGTAGCCTTAATTGGAGAGGAAAGACATGTTTGTTTATATAGTGACACTGTGTACTTCGAATACATCACTTGCGTTCGTTGGCTCTCAAACATATTATGCAAACAAAATGTCTATTTGATCCAACCAACAAGAATTTAGCGATTCATCAAACAAAAGCGACATAAAAAGAATTTACATTGTAAATCGATGACAATTCAGCTCTTTTTCCCTAATTATATATCTCACTCTCACACCTCTTTTACCTAAAAGAAATAAAGACTAAGCCTTTAATGAAAGGATTCACCTCCGCCCTACTCTTTGTGTTTGCGGCAGCTACAACGGTGTCAGCCGGTTGTAGCGGCGACATCAAGGTCACTTCTCAAGGCGATCTTGATGCCATCCAAACGTGCAAAACGTACCAAGGCGGCATAACAATCGAAAACGTCGGCACGAACAAACTTACCGTGAAAGGCATCCAGTCGCTGAAAGGCGATCTGATTGTCAAGGACAACAATGCGTTGACGTCGCTCACTTTGGACAGCCTGCAAGTCATCGACGGTCAGATGAAATTGGACAATAACAAGATCCTCAGCAGATTCGAGCCCAAAGCTCTAATTGGCGTGCGCAGCTTTGAAGCGGCAGTCCAACCAGCACTATCCTCAATTGCGTTCCCAGCAGGCCTGTCGCAAGCGGATCGATTTATGGTGTCAGACACAACCGCAGCCCGTATCGATGGCTTAAAGATGGACAAGGTATCCAACTTAATCATCGATAACAACATATATCTGAAATCCGTCGATTTGAGTAACTTGACGGATATCGGCGATACTTTGACCGTTTCTGCTAACTCGCCCAGCCTCAACTTGGATGTAAGTACGGTTTAATCTAAGGCTATAGCTGTTTTTGTTAAAACGATGATGGCTCACACTATTCTTCAATGGATATCATTATTCAGCTCCACAGTCTAGGCGGTGTGAAACACGGATCGTTCCGTAACCTGGCAGGTGTCAACTTGGATGGACTCAAGCATGTCTCTGGTGATATCTCGTTTATTTCCAACACATTCGGCAAGCTTGGTTTGAAGGAGATATCCGAAATCGACGGCACCTTGACAATCACCAACAACAATCAGTTATCGGAGCTGGCACTCCCAAAGCTTCGTCGGCTTGGTGGCGCTTTATCCGTCGGCCATAACACACAGCTGGGAACAATCGAAGCGTTTCCTAACTTGGAAGAAGTAGATGGCACATTGGACATCGTCGGCACGTTTGATGAAGTCAAGCTACCCAAGTTATCTGATGTAAGTAAAAAGAAAAGGGTTCGATCCGCATCTGAGAGTTTAAGACCCGAGTTAATCTAAATAATTTTTGTATGCATGATTTAACTGCATAGGTCCGAGGCGGTCTTAACGTACAAACTTCCAGCAGTAAATTCTCGTGCAACGATATGAGCAAGTTGAAGAATGGCGTCATCAAAGGCAACTCCTTCCTATGCAAGGCATCGGTAGCTAAACCAAAATCAGGAATGAAAGGCGGTGCTGGCGGTGGACTGGATGACATGGAAGGAACAGCCGGCTCAATCCAACTGGCTTGGTTTGTTGTCACAACAATGAGCTTGATGGGTACTTGGTTCTTGTTGTAATGCTCTTTTTTATTGTCTCAACGCATCCTTGATTATTATAGTAATAATAATAATCACGATGATGACGATCCTGCTTGTACAGGAGCGCCGTATTTTTCTTTATAAATCCATGAGTTTCCCACCATACCATGGCCCTGTTGATCAGCTTTGCGATAGTATTTGGCTGCGAGCTTCATGTCCTTTTTGAAACCTTGTCCGTGATGATAGCATCTCGCCACTTCATTTTGTGCGTCTGCATCGCCCAAGTCAGCAGCGATTTTGAAGTAGTATGCAGCAGTCTTTTTGTCTTTGTGACACTGCAATAAAATGATGACCTTGCGTGTGTAAGCTTACTATATGACCCGTTGTGCAATTAAAGGGTAATAATGATCAACTTACGCCCCACCCATGACAGTATGCTTGTCCTAGCTCATAAATAGCCATCACCAATTCGCGGTTGGCAATGAACTTGTTACCGCGACCCGATACAAATTTCTGAAGGTCAAAAATAGCATGCTCGGCTGATTTTTGTAAGTATCTAAATGCTGTCCGCTCACTACGTTTACAGCCCTATACTCCACACTGGATTTAGTCTATTTTTTTCTCCTTGCTTCAATTTGTATAGAGAAGCTTACCCAGCCATGGCGCAGTGATAGGCCATAGAGAAACAGTCCGATCGGTGAACTGGCATTAGCAGCTCGTTGAAATTCAAGCGTAGCTTGCTGTATTGCTCCCTTTTCATGGTATTCGATACCCTGCTGAATCCATGCGTCTGTCTCGTCAGAACGTAGCGTGTACCAGCTATGTGTACTATTGGGAGGTGGTGAAGACATTGACCGAGTCGGCATCCGCTGTTGTGGCGGTTCGATCACATATACGGTGTTGTCGTTTTGTATATTTTCTGATGCATCTTCTGCTTCCTCTTTATCCATGTGGACTTTCCCGTCGACTTGGCGTCTATGGTCATCATTCTCTTCATAGTTCTCACTCTTCTCCTCGTGTTCGTCATCTTTTTGCTCTATAACTTTTTCGTCTATTACAGCAATTTGTATTGGTGGATCCGTACTGAGTTCTTCGATGACGGCAGCGGATGGTTCAAGTAGCGGGGTAGGTACTAGCTGTACTCGTACTCGGGAATCGGCTCGCTGAAGCCGCGGCTCCGTTGCTGCTGTTCCTGACGGCGGTGCTGGAGCTGACTGTGCGGGCTGTGCTGGTTTTTTTGTTGGCGGTGATTGTGGGATGCGCTTCTTGTTCTTTTTCGGAGATGCAGATGAGAGCGCTCTGTTTAATGAGGGTGATCGACTCTTGGCTTTATTGTAATAACGAACGACAACCGAAGCATGTCGAGAAATTGCGCTTTTTGATGCTTCTATTATCACAGTTGTATATTAGCTACTTCACTTTCCCATCAGAAATAGGTTCGAGTTTATTCACAGACCTAGTCTTTTCTTTTCATCTTCTGATTCTACATTATGTTTCTAACGCCATTTCATATTTATAATTGATTAGTTTATGTTTGCTTCCTATCCAGTGTTAGGTAGCAACAAGATTTAATTTACTTGCCTGTTGTTGCTGTTGCAGGCGAAGATCGGATACTAGGTCCTATTAATATTACCCGCTTGCTGCTTAATTAAAATTGTTAAAATATTGCATCGTGCAACGTTAACTTACATGAAGGCTCGAGGTTGATTGTGAACGTGGAATTCTATGTAGTACGCCAACATGATCATCAATACAAAAGTTACTTTGATTTGTGAAAAGCAGGGAGCCACACTCTCTACAACCCTTTCCTCCTGCGTACCCAAGTCTCGATATAGCTGCTGGATATTGAGGAACCTGGAGTTGTGTAGTTGTTGACCGCGTTGGTAAAGTATTGAAATGTGCTCGCAGCGGCAACGGCGACTTTGGTACTGTGGAAGTTGAGGACATGGAGTATATAGCAGAATGAAGGAGAAAGAGAAAGAAGAAGGAAAAAACAAAGTAATAAAAAGAAAAAGATATAAGAGCTCAATTATGGGGTACATGGATTTTTTTTTGTCGAGGCCCTATGGCGTATACATTGTCCTCTGGTCGGACCCTGCCTTCTCATCATGTCTGGCTGTGTAACGTATAATCAACTGAAACAGGTCCATTCTGTTGCAAGAAGCATTTTCTCCCGGTTGAGCTCCTCCATTGGATGATAATGACAGAAATTACGCTAAGACAGATCTAGTCACTGCAATCATCCAGCTAAAATTAACATGGACTGTGATCCATGACAGTTTTCCCTGCCAGGACCCTTTCTTTTTAAGCAGGTTATCGAAATCAGACGAGTGCAACCAAAGAAGCTAAAAATGATCACAGCCTAAATTAAGATATTACTTACGGTTGTAGCCTTTTTAACAGGTAATTATTCCTGGCGTATCTTTTTTTATTAAAGTTCTTTTTACGTGAGCAGATTCTGGACAAAAAATGCCACATTCGATTTTTCATCTGGTCTAAAAAATGGCTTTAATAACTGCCTAGGGCTGTGACCATACTTTTTCCTTATAACCCACACAAACTGACGAAGCATTGAATGCAGTGGCTTCTTCCTTCTTGTTAATCCTCATTATCATTGCTCTCTTCCTTCTTGACCATGCAGACAGTAAACCTTACTCACTCTAAGTATCGGTATTGATACGACGAATTGCTTAATATAGGGCCGTCGGCTCAACCTTCCATGTAAGTCACGATAGTCTCCATGTGAATGAAGCTTGTTTTTCCAAAAGAGATAATACCGGCGTAAACATCACGGTGCGCAGGCTGAAAGCTCTGAGTCAGGGAGGGGCAACATGGTTTGTCGTCACACAACACGCCAAAGCAAAAATAATTTACACTAGCGCTTGGCTTTTCCTCTGAACTTCTTTTTATACCTGAAATCCCTCGGTTCCGCAAATCAGCACACAATGAGCCTTACACAATATACCCACGATCCGCGCGATCGTGAATTTATGCAACTAGCGATCGAAAAAGCAAACGAATCCATTCCAGTCGAGAAAGCGTATTGTGTCGGCGCCGTACTTGTACAAAATGGCCAACAACTCACCAGCGGTTTTTCACGCGAAATCCCTGGCAATACGCACGCTGAAGAATGTGCATTGCTCAAACTTAAAGACATTGAGGAAGCAAAAGGAGGAACAATGTATACGACTATGGAGCCTTGTTCGACACGACTTTCTGGCAACAGACCGTGCACGGATCGATTGATTGAAGCTCAGATTGCTCGCGTTGTTATGGGTGTCCGTGAACCGCCAAACTTGGTTCAGTGTACAGGATTGCAGCAGCTTAGAGACAGTGGGATTGAGGTCTTCGTAGTGCCCGATGTGGAGGACGCATGTTTTGCGCCAAACCAGCATATTATTAAGCACTAGCATCTATCATTGTGTACATGTTGTCTTTGTTATTTAATGGATATGTGTTTTATACTGAAAGAACCCCCACTAGAGCGTTGCAGGATTCACCAGCCTAAAGAAATTGAATGGATGACATTTATACGGAGAAGGACGCTGGATCAGCAGAAAAAACAAGCGCACCTCCGAAATTGGTTATCATGCAGTATACGTAAACCTACAGAAAAAGAAGGATGAACAGAGATCAATAGCTACTACTTTTTGCTCAATTATGAACCAGTATATATGGAAGTGATCAGCATAGGATAGGAAATATAGATAAAACCAAATTGATAAGCATGTGAGGGTGGAAGACGGATCTAAAAGCGGATATAGTGTTTTAATTATCGTTATTTTTTCGAATCTTAAGGGTGGGCTATGCAGCAGAAAACCTGTCCGGCAACATTATTATTATGCTTGGTAGTATCCATTGGCATCGTAATTGAGAGCAGTCTATTTGAGTGTTCATCTTCGCAGCCGAAACAGTCAGTTTATAGAAACCGGGACTAAAATCAATTGTACTATTATCCCTCTATTACCGCAGTTAAGGCATTTTCAGCACTGTGTGCCTGCTGCTGGACTAGTTAGTTGATCACGAAGAGTTGGATAAGTGTGTTTACCCACAGTTTACCCGTCCCAACTCTCATCCCAATCTTCTCAACGCGGCTAGTCAAGAGCATGTATCTCCATAAAGCACCCATCTTAAATATTGTAACACATACTTCTTGGTCTTGGTCGAAAACATATCCTGTGCCTCATGCTCTACCTAGAACAATCAATGCAAGTACCTTACCTTTTTCAAAAGGTAATAGCTTCCTCTGAGCATTCGGTCATACGCTGCAGTCTCTTCTCTTCTAGGCTGGATGCCATTGGTTTTTCGACTCACCATACCGGTGTAAGCTATGAACCTCACTGTCATCGTCCCGCAAAAGCCCAGACTCTCTTGCAGTACGAGATCTGACATTTGTCTGTCTTATGTGATAAGAAGTATCAAACTACTATCTAGAGAAAATACAAGCTACGCAAAGGTCAAGCATGCATATGTTGCACTTTATATTAAGGTGACCCGAGTATGTGATTGATGTTCAGAATGAAGCGCTACTCGGTGACGATGACGTTAAATTTCTTTCATGAACAACTGCCAACGGCCCATACTGACATCACTTATAAATATATACTTCGATTTATTGTTCTTGTTTAGCGACAACACATATGTATATTTTAAAAATATACACACTATATACAGTATATAGCTCGAATTCGTTACTTATATGAGAGCATGTACATCAGTGCGCATTGGTTCTAACCCCCGAGGGAATGTATTTTCATGTGGAGGGATTTACAAAGTCTGCACACTTATATACAAGATAGCTACGACAAGCTAAGGTCGATATCCAAGTTAAACCAAACCTTCACTAAGCTACTTGGCATATCAATATCAACTGCACAAGTCAATCTAATATGTAGTAAGTATCTATAACACAGTATTGTATCTTTGAATGTACACTTGCTTCGGTAAAAGCTGTGTAAGATCTTTTATTCTGATCAGCTAGGATCCCAGGTAGATTACAGCAAAGAAATCTGGGTAATGACCTTGAGCTGGTACTTAACGAAGAAGTAAATGTTTGTATGGGGTTCACATTCTACAAAAGCAACTTAGTTAATCAGACAACAGATGAAATCATGCAACGGGTGTCAAATGGACCACGAAGATGAAACTTAAGGAAGAAGATTTGATGCTGAATATAAAAGCAATACTGCCACTCAGTGTAAAAAACTCCAACGCGTATTTTAAAATTCTAGGAGGATGATACTGTGCACATATCAGATTGAGGTTCGTTCAGATTCCAAGCATTCTTCCTCTTATAAAATGAAGGCTTTTTTCGCCGTGTTCATCGCTAACACGGCAAAGCAGTAGGTCTCACAACACTTTCTATGCATCAAGTGCCAAGCAGCTGCACAACGTTTTATATTATTCAACTCGATCGCGCAACACAACCAGGTACACATAGAAAAATAAAAAATATAGCTGCTGAAGTCTATATCTAAAGCTTTGGAGAAGAAAATTTCAAATAAGAATTGAGTACGCCATAAGATGTACTTATGGAGCGACATGATGCTTAGACTGCGTCAGAAAGAGACGGCACTTGCAATTAAATAGTACGTAAATTTTTTAACACTTGAAAAAGGTTGGGATTAAGTTAAACTGGACTTTGAGAAAAAAAGGTTTATAATGGAGATATATCTTCTCTTGGTCTGCTTCATGCCACCTCGTACCCGCTACCGATTCGAGTTGGTGTTTAATACAAAAAGCAATGCTGCACTAGATGCTGAGCCAAATATCATCTGCATCAACGATTAACATGATAGGCTAGAGCGGATAGTGATCAAAATATACATGAAGCAAAATGATCATCCACTAGTTTCTTGTGCCGTTCCGGGCTTCAAAAAGGTGTTTCAGTCGCAAAATAGGCCTGGTCAAAGGCCGCTGAAGCTTCAAATCTGAAGGTCGTACAATAATCACACTGAAGTAAACGGATTACTTAGAAAAGGTAGCTTCAGCTGTGATCATTAACCTCCAAGGCTAAAGGACCTTCAGCCTCGCGCTCTTTACTTATTAGGTAAAGAAATATTTGTACGACCTTCAGATTTGAAGCTTCAGCTGCCTTTGACCAAATTATACTGTGAAAGGAGAGAGAGAGAATTGTTCTTATGTTCGAATTGTCGCTGGCTAAAAATTTGATGTTGAAATCACCAGTAACGATAGCGACATGGTTCGCCTTTCCGAATGCTTGCCTCGTATATAAATCGTTTTGCAATCTCTTCAAGCTTATTCATTACTGATTGCCTACGATGGAGAAACAGAAAAAGTTCAATACTGTGATAGATTTGTGTACTGAGCCAAGTTATAAAAAAAAGAGGGTCTTACCGTACGCTTGTAGATGTTTTGGTGAACTCGTTATAACGTAATAACAAACAAAAATTCCTTCGATCTGTTGCGTGCTTAAACCCAAAAGCAAAAGTCACGGTATAGTATAGTACATATGTATCTTGCTTCTGACAAGTGGGAGACAAAAAAGTGGCGTAAGACATGTACTATGCGTTTTTTGTGCACCTAACTACTAAGTGGGTCCGGGGAAACGCGCGGCATTTGTTCGACAAAGTCTAGCAATTACTGCAAAAGATTACTGCAATTGCAGTACTGCAACATTACTGAGGCCCTACAGGTACTACACTACTTTCATCGTACACCAGACGCAGCAAGCGTTTTCGCACACGTCGCTAGGCGCATTCTATACAGTGTGATGTATAACCTGGAAGGGGGTAACGTGGTGAGCAACATTTTAACACTGCCCAAGACGTCATAATGTGAATATTCGGTTTAATACCAATAGCGCGCACAGATAAATTGGTACGGCAACCAGCTAAGCACTATGCATAGAAACACCTCATTTGAATTATGTACAACATGGAATCATTCCAATCGGTGATTCAGCTTATGTAAACACGACAACAAAAAACCTATCAACAGATGGCGCGGCCACACACCAGCTGTCGCCGGTTTCAAGAAGTGTTTTAGTAAATGTTAGCTACTTATCTACAAGTTATGATACGTCGTCCTTGATCAGTAATTTTACATATAGATTATTCAGCAGCCATGTGAATTGACATCGCCATCTTAACAGCTAGAATTCAAAAGAAGCTTGATTTATTGTTGTTGGAATAAAACATAATCTCAAAGATACTTATCTTCAGTTTTTATTACCTTTTTTATCCTACCACTCAAGTTTATACAGGTCACAAGTGAGCTACTACCTAATGAAAATTTTGTATGTGTTGCAGATGTGCTTTTGCTACCAGTGCATCTGCATAGTCTTGTGTTGCTTCCACTGCCAAGGCCAGACGCATCGCTTTATCAGTGTGGTAAATCGAAATAAGCGAAGACAAATAATTCGTTTAAGAATCGATTATATTCAAGTAATTGAACGAAGTGCAACATCAACTATAGAAACTATCTTCTTCTATACCTAACTTTCCCAGAACTCGGTCTTAACGGAGAAACAGATCTGAAGGTGGAAAGCTTATTAACGTCTTTGTCAACAAGGACCTTATTAATTGGTGCTTTGCTGTAAGAACGATGTAACAGCTTATATGATGGTGTGTGATGTGTTCTTAAACGGTTGTTTCATACTTAGTTTCTTTACTCAGTTATATGAAGGATTCATAATATAATCCAGCTAGGTGTATGTGCGCAACTGTGTCCCTTATTGGATCGCGGTGCGGTAAAGAGAACTTTTTAGAAAGACATCTGTCTGTACCGGATTATAGTTTACCACAGTCAGTCGAGGTTGGACCAGAAAAAGACAGAGAAAGTATTAGAAAACGTACACCTACTTGGCCTGAACGCCATTGTGCAAATAGTTTCATGGTAACGGGTTACATTGGCAACACCTGAAGGAAGAAACTGTAGATTTAGTAAAGGTATGCTTTGTATGCCAGAAGGCCAACATTGTACAGTAAGGCTACCATCCATAAAATATGGTCAAAACAGATGCTCCTGGAATCAATGGTCTATTTAGATCTTGCCACTTTTGAAACTTCCAGCCAGCAGGGCAATAAAAATGTATCAGTATTGGTACTTATATGCACATGCACTTGCATATTAAATGTGCTAACTAACAAGACAGCAGAAATTTATGAGAACGTTAGTAGCAGTATACCAAAAGCAGGCCAGCTAAGATTGCAGTGTTGAATGAGTGAGCCAACATATGAAAAGGCTCACGAGGCACGCAGGATTCTCTCATGCACTTTATACCTTATCACCTTAGAACACAGGGAAGTGCAAAAAGACTTGTACAGAAAGCATCCATTACAGTCAAGAAGATGGTAGAAGGAGCCACATCAGGTTGGGATATATACTATGTACCTACAGTTCAATTGGCAAATAATGTCACAACGGTCGGTGAGCGCTCCCCAAATAACATTACAGTCGACGGAGTCGTACGCCGCTTTGATATCAAGAAACGCAA